CCTTGTTCGTTCCCTGTTCCTCGTTCCCTCGCAGTTTAGTAACATCTTACTGCGGAAGAGGAAATATCCGACACAAAATCAGGAAGGCAGATATCATTCCCAGAATATTATTTTGTTCTTTATTTAAATTTCCCTATATATATCAGCAAATTGTATGTACACAATACACTGCACACGAAAAAAAAAAAAATAAAATAAAACAACAGCAACAAAACAAAACTGTCAAGGAAGAGACCAAGGACTATTCAAATAAATCCTTTTCACCATGCAGTACCGTCAATTAGTTCTGTTTGTTTTTCAGCCGGGTTTTTTTACAAATAAAAGTACACTTTCGCATTTTTCCTTGTGCTTTATATATTTGGCACACTGATTCATTTGGAATGAAAGGACAATCTAGGCGGACCTACGGGCGCGTTTCTAATTTCATCAGCGAATGACCTTAAATTAATAGTCTAAAGAAAATACTGATCACGGATAAACTTGGCTCAGGTAACCAAGGAGAAATATATTGCATGAGAACATGCTCCTCAGACATGTCTCACGAGCAAATGTCGTCAGATGTTCATGAATATGCAAAATATAGCAATGTTTACGGAAACTTTACTTTAGGCTTCATCGTGTTGGGCAAAAGGCTAAGTTCCATCTTTGGTGCAGTGTATCGTATTTATTTCCTTCCAGAAAATTTCGTAGAACACCGTCTTTCATTTCAACGATATTGGCCAATTTTTCACAGCGTTCTACAAAGTAGGGGAGGGTACACAGATAAGAATGCTCTTTAATATTCATTGCCGAGATTTACTCGGAAGAATCCCAAACGACATTTAATTTAAGTCAGAATGGGGAGCTCTCCAGTAAAAAAGGTAAGAAGTTAAATGTTCTTCGCTTACCAGAAAACGCGCCTTGTATTTTGTCTTATGTGTGATGAATTGTGATTTCCGTTGGTTTTCTATGAATCATTCATTACATGATACTGAACTCGTGAGATCCAAAACAATGACATGAATGCATGAAGACTATCAGTGATCACAAGATTTTTATTATTTCTTTTTTACCCCAGAGTACACACCTTGGGGCGCCCAAATTGGTCAATCTTTATTTAACTGACTATCACACAATTACGGGCGAAAAGAAATAACGCACTTCCGTTTTCTGTGTCGAAGTATAGGTCCATTTGACATTGGAAACTTTTCAAGTAAAAGTTCAGTGAATGAAGACGGTTTCTGCGCCATTTAAAAATAGAAATAATCCCGACGAGATATCTAGCTCTTTGTTTTGACCAAGTTTTGAGCCCCGTCTCTAAATTAACTAGGTTATTTTAGCTGACGACGGACACGGACTTTGAGTTAATTTAACAGCCTCTATTAGCTGACGACGGGCTTTAAATTGATTCAACAGCCTCTAAACCGCAATTCAGTATCGTTGCTACCTGCACATGTCAATATTCACGGCTGGTATATTATTTGCTCTGTGAGAGAGGTCCGATACCAGTTCACCAGTACCAATATTTTAAGAAAAAAAAGAAAGGAAGAAACCGTCTAAGTACTACTGACACCTTCTCAGGTAGAATGAACAACCAGGAGTAAAGCAAAAAGAAAATTCGGCTCCTGTTTCTTATGACCATAATTTTGAATACCCCGACAAGGGGCAAACAGTTCGGTAAATTAAAAAAATGATTGTGTAGCCCTTAAATAACCATGGAGACTCGTCACTTTGTTGCAATACCAGTTCTGCCATATTTGAGTTCGTCGCATGTGAAGATGGACGTTTGTCCCAGAGACGATCTTTAGACGCACGGATAGAACGTGTTGGACGATCCAAACTTCTCAGACGAACTTAACTGAGCCAGACGTCGAACTTTTCACGAACTTAACTCACTAAGTTTGGTTCGTCGCACGAAACGTTCGACGTTTGGCCTAGACCTTAGACTCCTGTACACAATTAAAGAATAGAACTGTTTGTACAGACTGGCTGGTGGGCCCTTGATGTACCCCATGTGCGGTCAGCAACAACAACAACAACAACAACAACAACAACAACAACAAAACCGTACCGGATGCCCGAAATAACCAAAAGGGATTAATTAAAAAGATCAAGCAGCCATACTTAAGACATTAATACAAGGCAAAATATTAAAATATTGTCAGGTACACCGTACAAGCAGGGGAAAATAGAACTGAAAAGAGCCTTAATCCGGTCATCATCAGCCTTACGCAAATACTAGTGAACTGAAGGCTTTAGTACGTTAAAGATCTGCCACAAAGCTGTTTTCCCGGGTGTGTACGGTGCTTGAGCACAATTACGAACGTCACGCGCTAATAAACGACTCTTAGTGTTTTTATTTATAAGAACTTGTAGCCTGTTTACATGGAGTTGGGGGACCCCAAGTAGGTGAGATAACATGTGGCGGGTCAACCCAGTTAGACGCCAAAAGTGAACTGACAGCTTTCATTAACTCCTTAACCAAACCAAAACCAAAATGATGCGGGAAACCAACCGATCACATAAATGAAACCAAAACCAAAATGCTGTCAGTTCACTTTTGGCGTCTATCATGTAAAAACGTGATGAAATTAAATTCAGAGATTATATGGACAGGCGGGTTACCCCACCAAAGCGGGTTACCTCACCTACCTGGGGTCCCCCACCGCCATGTAAACAGGCCCTTAGATGCATCAGTTTCTCCCAATCACACATGATGATTTATCGGAACGAGTCAGTTCGCGGTCCGGCTATACTGATGTAAGCCAAGGGCAGCCTAGTCCCTAGGCGTTCTCGGCTCGGTCAATCCTGGACTCTACCGTGAGCTGTGTCGTCACCGAGTGATACGCGCGGACAACGGGGCAAGAGAGAACCCCTAGGGACTAAGCTGAGCCAAGGGCATTTTAGGCTTTTTAAATTTAAACAGTATCAACAAAATTATACAGTCTAGCTCCACTTTACGGACACCTCGTTATTTCGGACAGTTTTCTTTGTCCCTGGGGAAAGAAAGCCCTTACATTCTTTCTAATTCAACCCGCTTAATACGGACACCCCGTTACTACGGACACTTTCTATGGCCCCTTAGTGTCCGTATTCACGGGGTTTGACTGTATTACATAACTAACAGCCGACTGAGAATCAGCATCATCATCTTGCTCCAGACAAAGTTAGGGTAATGACTATTTAAGTGAGAAAACCGGAAATCCCGAATGGAAAATCAAATGGTTAGAGCCATTCCGTTTGGGAAGTTTCAGAAAATATGGGCGGTGTTAAGTAAGGCGATATAATTTTTCTACTCGTTTTAGTCCGTTCAGAATACTTGGATATATTTTGTAGCTGGTCGCTCTCTTGCTTCGTCAAATTGTATAGTTTTATTTTTTTGCTCAAAATTTCCACTCAGGTGGTTTGTGTAAATGAGTTATGACAAGTACCCTTACAGTCTTTTGAGAACTTGCTCTTGGTCATGGCTTACGGTAAAGATATTCAAAAAATTCGTATGTCTACTCCTTTTCCTTCTTTTAGCTAAAACAGATTGGGTCACTAAATTACTTTTGAGCAGCACATACTAGATGAACAGTGTTATGAATCTTTACAGACCAATCCTGTTAAGTGGGTGATCTACCACTGAAACGTCAGCTAGCATTATGCCATCCTCTTGACGCGGTCAAGTCAGTTGATATAAATCAAAATTTGAATTCAATAATCCTTAACTTCCACTTAAACTCGCACAGTAATACTTTTCTTGCCTATACCAGTTGGTACCTGTTCTAAACATGATAACAACCCATGATTACAACCGTTTAAGTTGAACCACTGTGAATGAGAGTGTAAGAGCAATTCTCTCTAACACCCGAAGATAAGGAACTATATCTCCATCGATCACAAAATAGTCTAACAAAGTATTATGAAATGATTTTCAGGTCAACTCTTTTGAAACGCTACGTAGAAACCCCTTCCGTTTGGCAGAAAACGAAATACTTTTGAGAAGCTGGTGGTACTTTAATCAGTCTATTTGCTGAATCCCAAATAACATTTCTCCCATAAACAAAACGACACTGAGAGATCAAATTCAGAGGATTTCGTTGCGTCGAAGTCTTTCGGGACATCGACTTAATGAATAACGCAAACTTTTGACAGACACTGCAGGTAGTGAATGGTGGTTATTCTACTTAATATTGCTCTTCATTTAGCATCTTGAAAAAGCATGGCTCTAAGTGGTTATTTCACGGACGGAAAACCCTCGCCTGGCACCCACTCTCCGCTACTATCTCTTCCAAATAATGATATCGAGGATTCCCCGCCAAAACAACCTACAACACCACCGAAGGTCAAGAACTATGACACAATGGAGGACAATATGGGCGGTAAGAACTTATGTACCTTTAAGCTAACGCACTCGCTCATGACATCAGGTCAAGAGACAAGCCCACTTTTAACTGTCATAGTTTGTTAACCTAATCAAGCGTTAAATTAAAACCCGTTATTTTTTTCTCTTCCTGATGTTAAAACCTAACAGTAGAAATTAATTTTTTCGCCAAATCTGAGTCAGAATCCCTTCAAACCTCTTTGCTCGTAACTTAGCCACATGTAAGGAGGCTGCACAACAAACCTGTTTTTCTTTCTTAACTATCTGCGCAACAGACATTCGTGCAGTTGAAAACAAGGAAGTAATTTTGCTCCTCGTATTACATCTCGATTGTCAACTTATAATAACATGCGAGTCTCTTTAATTTTCTGGGTCAAACGAACATGTTACTCAAAGGAAATATAACAACACTAGACAGAAAGACCCTTTTCAAATACAACTTTAGCTTCCTGAATTTTATTGGTTGCGAAATTGGTTGCGCTGATCTACCCGGAAAATCACACAGGCTGTCAGCCCTCCCACGCTCCTCCCGAGACGAGACGAGGCAAAAACTGCTGCGTGGAGGAACGTGGAGGCACGATAGGAATTGTGGGTGATAAAACAAAAAAAATCATGGTGGCTAAAGTGGTTTGTTGTCAGGGTTCATATATCTTATACGACAATTATTCGGAATGTGAGTGTATGGATATAGTACAGATGTTACACGAAACAATTCATCCAGTTACAAACATCCAATAAAAAGCCGGCAATTTAAAGGTACTTGTCGGGCGACACGTAAACAAAATTTAATGATGGAAGGCTCGGAAGGTGAGTCTGATGAATTTCACTCGGATATGGAAGTTGCGTTTTCGAAGGCAAAATCGCGATCACCGCAGAGGCAAAGGTTAGAAGAAGCTGATGAACTCTCAGAAGATGTATTCATGCCTCTGGTACCCGGCGATGAGTTCGAAGAACAGGATTTGGAAGGTAAGGTGAAGCGATTTTTGAAGTCAACGCGGAAGGTTAATTTATAATTATAAAATAAGCGTAAGTTCAAACGGAATTTCGTGTTGTCTGGCACATCAAGACTTGTTTGGCGATTTTATTTTGCTCCGGTTGAGATGTTTTCCTGTAGATGAATAAATTTGACGTATCATTTAAAGGTTCATTCAAAGAATTTCTACGTATGGTTTTATTGATTAAAAAGACTTTCAAAGAGTTTCAAACTGAAGTTTTAAAGTGCGTTGTTCCAAGTTGCAAGATACTTTTGTTACGGTATTTTAATGCAGCGAAGCTTCATATTTGAAGTAATATATTAGCATTTAAAATATCAGAGAAATATCAACTTACAGCTGATCTATATTTCAAGCTAAGCTTATGAATACGATAATAATCTTTTGTTTATTAATCAGATGCAAATAATTAACAATTATCATACATTGTACTCACTATCTGTCTTCTCATTCGCTAAGAGCCTACGGCTAATTTGTAATGGTAACAGGACTGAGTGGAGTCCAATTCGGTCTGTAATCATACGAGTGATTAACAAAATCAGACGACTGCATAGCGGGAGTCCGATTTGTTTAATCATGAGTACGATTACGGACCGAATTGGACGACACGAAGTTCTGTTACCAATTAATCATAGCTTTAACAAAATTTGTGATATATAGGGCTCTTTTTAAATCAAAACACAAGAAATTCCAAGATTTTTCCGCTAGCAATGAAAAAAAAATCCATTTAAACGCGCGCGTGATGGTCGCATGACAGGTTAATGAATCCGTACTGCGCATGACAGGATAATTTGACAGGATAATTCCGACTTTAGTCCCGTCAACTCTTGGTTAGTCTAAACTCTTAAAACAATATCAATACTTTATGGAAATTAGCGCAACCTACAGATTAGTTAGTTATCTGCCAGCAGATAACTGACTAATCTGTAGATTGCACGCGCAATGCATGAGTTTCCAGTAACAATAACTTTTCAGGTTCTTAGCAACGTTGTTGTTATTCTCTTCAAAACAATGTATAATTATAAAACAATTATTAGATTCAGTTTTTGTGATATCCTCAATTATCAAAGTCTTGGTAAGTGTTATCACACTTTGGCCTTCGGCTAAGCTGATAACACTTACCTCAAGCTTGATTATTCCAGATATCACGAAAACCTCATCCAATAATTGTCTAATGTCATACTAACCTTATAAAAGTAAATTTAATAGTTTCTTAGTACACGCTGAAAAGATAATTTTTTTTCTGTAATAGTAATGATAAGTATTGGACAATGTTCCAGACATATTTAGAGTTCAAGTTTAAATAGCTTTAAAATTAATGTTGTTTCCTGGTATTTGCTTTCTCTGCAAAAAGTATGTTTTCCTTAATTGTTTCCTAGTTGTCCCATTTCTCCAGCAAAAATAATTTAATAATAATAATAATAATAATAATACTATTATTATTTTAATGTAGTGATAGTAATAACTGCAAGTTAACACGGATATTGTAAAATAGTCCTCTGAGAGGAGACCAGCTCACTAGCAATGAATAGTCTGTACTCCAGTAACCATAAAAAAGAAGAAAATTTGTGGAAAAAAATACGGCCAATGGCGAGTTTTGAACCTAGTACTGCAATGACAACGAACTGAAACCACATGCTTGCAAAACAACAGTCATGTTGACTGCTGCCCTAGCATTACTTTAAAATAACTGTGTATTATGTAATATTCTCTTCAACATTTTTATTAAGTTCATGTTCATGATGAATTTAATCAATACTATAGTATAACATCTCTCCACCACTTGTATAGGAAATGTATTGGGTAATATATTATGAGAATGTATCCTTTGATGTTAGGGTTTAAGAGTTATTTATCCCTTTTTCCTTTGTTTCTTTTGACTACAATTATTTTTGAAAATGAGTAATGTAGTTTTAGGATATGAAATTGTTTGACTTAAGAAAAAGAAGAAGAAAGTAGAATTCTATTTTATTTCTCAAAAAAAGGGTGATAGCAGGTATCAAACCCAGTCCCTTTGGCTTTGAAGGTCAAGCATTACTGCACATACAAGAACAATTGAATGACCATACCATCATTCATTCATTCATTCATTCATTCATTCATTCATTCTTATGCCGACAATAGCGTAAAGTTTTCTGGCTCTAAGGCAGTGAGCTCAAAAATGATCACATTCTTGATTTGATTTATGACCTCATCTTTTCTCCTTGCACAGATTCTGGACAGCCAACTTACACTTTGTCTGAAGCCGTAGAGAAGATTGGCTTTGGCAAATTTCAGATGAATATAATCTGGATGGTTGGCTTTTTTGTCGTAAGTATCCCTAACGTAAATTCAGTTAATCATACTTGTTTTTACATGTGGACAGGGATGTCATCACTGGTCAAAATAAATTAAAGGAGTGTGTAGAATAATAATAAATTATTACAAGGCCCTTTGTGACCCTTAATTTTAGGCAAATATAAGAAAAGTTAGACAGAGAATCAAGCAGTCTATGAGGCATCGTATCTGTTGTGCCCTTTTTTGCTATCCCTTCCCTTGAGGAGGGTAAAAGTAATATTTAATAATAATAATAATAATAATAATAATAATAATGGAAACTTTATTTGTGTTTTTGAATGTAAATATCACTACGTATAGGCAATTTACAAATGCTGCTTGAGATTGGATTATTCAAAAAAAAAAAAGAAGAGAAAAGAAAAGAAAAGAAATCAAAATTGCATTAAGTCTGGGCTATCCCAATTCCTATTTCTACGACAAAAGATGTAATATGTTGCTCTAATGGCTTTTTTTTGTCATTTTCTTGATGATATAAAGTTGCTTCTTTTTGTCAATGCCAATGTAATAAGAATGATAATAATAATAATATAAATTTAGTCGTAGATAATTAATTAACTAACTAGGTAACTAACTAGCTAACTAAAGAACAAACATCTGTTTACAAAAGTTCTCTTGAAACGCTCAGTAATCTGACAGGCGGGAGAATATAGTTATGCTGCCTCTTACGTAACATAACTGTAGTTTGCTCCGGTGGCAGAAGGCTTTAATTATCCTTTCCCCTTATGGGGCTTTCCAGGGATAATGAAACAAATAATTTAAATGGAACATACATACACATGTTGCAACATGGTTAAAAGGCCCAACTGGTGGGAGGAGAACCAGTTGGCTATTTTACAATGTGGCGGAGGAATTGAACTTGGGACTACGGAGAATAAATCCAGCGAGTGGTCAAGGCAGCACTTGAACTGGAGGCCTCTGAATTACAAGTCCAGTGCTGTAAATGTTCAGCCACGCTGTCTCCTCCTGATCAATACCGGATGCCCATTAGGAAGTGTAATAATTAATGGCTCTGTTTTTGCAGAAGAGTGGATGGTACTTTAGGAATTAAACAGAAACAAATATCTCTCTACATGTATGCTATTGATCAAAATTTTAGATTGCTGATGCACTTGAAATGATGTTGCTGTCTATTCTTGCCCCAACAATTCGCTGCATTTGGCATCTTCCATCTTGGAAGGAGGCTTTGGTTACCACGGTGAGCATTGATAATGGCACTAGGTAACAACTTCATTCATTAAAATTAAGCTACGTGCAAATGGACGCATATTGAACAACTCCCAACATTGTTGGCCCTAGAAAGTTGCATCCATGTTGGCAGTGGTGTCGAACAGATGCAACAACTCCCAACAATGTTGGGACCTGCAGTGCATTGTGGGAAGGATATAACCCATAAGACTTTGTAAACCATGTGTAATGCACATGCGTGGCCCCAGCAATGTTGAGTAGTGATTACTAGAATGGCAGAGTAAAAGTGGAAGTAATTCAATAAATTGAAAATAGATGTTTCACTAGTATTGAGTAAGATGCCAGTGAAAAAAGGTAAAGTAACTGTGCCTTTCTAAATCTGTTTTGAAGGAGGGCTATGAATTAATAAAATATTATCATTATATGGCAGGTTGTCTTTGTAGGAATGATGATTGGATCATCTTTTTGGGGTTGGCTAGCAGACCACTATGGCCGAAAAACTGTAAGTTCAGGTACATGCACATAGCTAGGTAAAGACACTTATTTAATACAATGCACAATAAAGTAATACACTATAGTGTATGATTTGGTTGGAAAATTTCCAAACCAGGTAAATGATTACCCTTTTCCTTTGTTTCAACAATTTGTCGACTTTTCGACTTCTTTGTGACAAGCTTGAGTATAGCCAACATTCTTGTCGAACTTGAGGGATCGAATGGGCTGTTAATGTCATGGTTGTTGCGTTTTTCATACTTCTGTCAATATAACGTCAAGACTCTGGGAAACAAAACTATTTCCCTCAGAAGCTGGCAATGAGTGTGTATCTAACACAAAAACATGCCCAAAATACTTCATGTGTTCATGATTTTCTTAGTCTGTTAGTAAATTTATGAATAAATCCCTCACTTAGGCAAATAAAAATTGCATCCTGCTACATGTAATTAACAGCTGTAAGGTGATTATTAATTGTGTTTTTTTCTCCTGATTTGTTGTCAAGGTCATAGTAATATGTGCAACCTGGATCTTCTATTTTGGATTAATTAGTTCATTTTCACCTCACTATTATTGGATCATAGCATTGCGTTGTTTAGTTGGTTTTGGAATTGGTGGTGCACCACAATCGTAAGTGCTATTAGTGCATATGGAAATTATTGATATACCATATTTCCTCTATTTAGCCCTTGGGGTTTATCTTTGTAGGTGTATGCTTCTAGGCTAGGGGCTTATTAGAAGTGGGTGTGCTTTTTAGAGGTACAAAAAGTGTAACCTAAAGGATGGGTGCAGGGGCATATCTGGAGTTTTGATTATGGGAGAGGTCTACCTCAGATATGCGAGGTAAAGAACGGGTAATATACTGGTATGATAATGGGAGGTACTTGTTGCTTGTGAGACATAGGGTGTATGGACCCCCCCCCCCCCCCCCCCCCCCCCCCCCCCCCCCCCCCACCTGGGGGGGATTGCTTTTTGGTTTTTTTTTTCGATGTTGTGTGTTGTTGGTGTGTGTATTGGGAGAGGGAAAAAAAAAAAAAACAAATAAATATAGCATACTTGCCCGCCGCCCCCGCACTCCACCACCCCAGGCCTGTACTTGAGGGGGAACTTTTTTGAAGTTCAGTTTGATAGGCAGTTTATGCTGGCATTGGAATTAGGACAGGGTTTAAAATTAAAAGCAATAATATCATACCGATTTACCCCCCCCCCCCCCAAATTTATTCTCTTGTTTTAAAGATTTTAAATATATATATTTTAAGTCAATTATTAACGCACTGTAATGTTTGTTTCTTTCTTGTCTTTCAGGACAACACTTTTAGCTGAGTTTCTTCCATCAAGTGTTCGATCATACTGCATATTATCTCTTTCTGTAAGAAGTAAACTGTTCATGTTTTAAGCTGTTATAATGTAAGATAGTATTTAAAATATTATTCATTTAAGCAATTTACAACATGTAAAAATCTGTGGAGATTTTCAACTTTGACATGTGTACATATCTGCTTTATTGTAGCTCCAACCGTAGGCTTAACATTAGAGTTAAATATTCTTATATGTATAAAATTGTTTTAGATACAGTGTAGTTATTAGTTTTTCTCAGAGTAGTCAGTTTGCTATTGATTGCAACAATGAACTGCTTTCCGCCTTGGTCTTCATCAAGTGATGGTGTTGATGGACTGTGCAAGATTATTAATAGTACCACATTTTGCTGTTGGTAAAATTTGATGCGACTAATAATCCCTGTGGGTATACCTCCATATGATGGTGTATATGGGCAGGCTCTTTCTGACAGGGGGACCTGCTGAACCTTTGTCTGTTTTCAGGTATGTGAAAGGTTATGGATTTCTTAAGTTGCAGTATATGAAAGTGTAGGGAAATTCGTCATTTCAGTATTTCAAAGGGCCTGTAACAAAAATACTAATATATTTTAAACTGACGTACAATAGCTGTATCATGGCTGCCATTTGAGAATTTATTTCAAGTAATTATTGTGCTCTTACATCGCCTTTCACATTCCTGACAGGTGATCACTTGGACATTAATCAGATTTGATCAGATCTTGTTTCGGTTTTGTTGGCAAGATATAGAGATCTTGGGTATGAGAGTAATAAAATAAATAATGTTATTAAAATATTTGCTTCTTTTCATTACAGTTTTTTTGGGCAATAGGATCTTGTTTCACAGTAGGAGTTGCTATGGCTGTGATGCCATCATTGGGATGGAGATGGCTTCTTGGATTTTTGTCCTTACCACTTCTACTGTTTGTTGCTATGAGTTATGTAAGTAAGACTGAGTGAGCGCTGCTGACAATTGCAAATTTTATCATTTATTGTTAAAATAAAAAATATTTGATAAGAACTTTAAGATAAATAATCATTGAATTTTTTATTGTTAGATTGTTAGATTAAGAACATATGCATTGCATCAGAGGATTTTTTTTGTTTTTTGTAAACCCTCAATAAAAAAAACATAAAGTAAACCTGTGTCTTCACTGCAAATAGAATTTGACTAATAGACCAGTTTTTTTTTTAAGTGAACTGCTTGCCCAAAAATGTTACACTGATCAAAAATAATAATTATGTATATATATTTCTTTTAGTGGCTCCCAGAGTCCTGCAGATATTACCTTGCTGCAGGTGAGAAAGAAAAAGCAGTTAGAATGCTTCAGAAGGTGGCAAGGGTCAACAAAAGTGAAATGCCTGTAGGAATTCTTAAAGATGTTAGTGAGGTAAGTTAAGGATTAATAATGGTAACTGAACTGAGTGGAGTGCAATTTGGTCTGAAATCATGCGAGTGATTTTAAAATCGGACAAGTGCGAGTTCAATTTGAATGACAAGTATGCATGATTTCAAACCAACATTGTATGACACAAAGTTCAGTTACAACTTATTGCAGCCATTTTGAAATTGTAGAATTCAGTCAGTACCAATACTATTAAATTTTGACCTAGTAGCCAGTTTAATTTCTTGAAAAGTGGAAACAAAAAGGTCTTATCTCATTTTGTACCCGAAACAGAAATGATGCAATATAGAGCAAAAATGGTGTGATTTCAAAACAGAAATGAGGCAATTTAGGACACATGAATCATGTGATTCAGGACAGATGTGATTTGGGGCAAAAAATAGTGTGATTTGTGAATAAATTGCTCTGCTGAGAGCCAATCAGATTGCAAGGATCACCAGTGATTTCAAAATGGATAATAAAGTTATTTTAAAACAACAACAAGTAGGAGCATTTTATCAATAAAACATCACCACCATGCACTGATTATCTACAGATGTCTGCATAAGACAGCTTTTGATTTTTTTAAAAAATATATCTTCATTGAAAACTAGATAATAGTATTGTTACATAATCTTGACTATTCCATTGATGTATGAGTACTCAATAAAAGCATTAAATTTTGCCCTCAGAATGGTAGACAAGGACAATTTAAAGATTTGATCAGTCCAGAATTTAGAAAGACAACAATTTTGTTGTGGTTTATTTGGTGAGTATTGTTTAATTTAGGTTAGGAAAACAAGTAAAACTCGTGAACCAGAGCACTGATAGATAGAGGGGCTAAAATGAGCACACCATCGGCCTCAGTGTTTTTTGTTGGATAAGGACTATTTCAAGTTAGTGATGTAAAATAAGGACTACTTTTAGGTAATTAAGTGGATTAAAATATCTTGGCTGTTGTTGGAGCTACATTGTACAACCTCAGTGTAATGAGTAATATTATGTTACATTACTGAAAATATTCTGACATACTCTGAAACTTCACCACAAAGGTATTCTCTTAGTAAGAACTGATATCTCAGAAAACGAAATATATTTTAAGGTAATTGACACATTTGAGGTTATTGTTTGTATAGATAATAGCATGATTAGTAGCGATATTTGGCTTAAGTACCATGAGTGAAATTTGAGACAATTTTGAAATATCACAAGTGGTATTTATGCCAAAATAATGTCACAAATTACAAATCCTGCTATTATTTGTTTATACTACTGCGTGCAAAAGGTTTGTAATTTTCACATGTAGCCTGAAGTAGGTATTTCAAATTAAGCTGAAATACCACTCCTCTAAGCCAATCAAATTGCAGAAATTTCTCAGTTAGTAGCTAGTATAAGGATTGAAATATCATGGCTGTCATTGGAGCAACCTCAGAAGTGAGTTATAATATATTAAAATTGTTGCAAATATTCAGGCAGAAACTTGCCTTGTGGGTATTTCTATCAGTAAAAACTTTTACCTCAGAAAATTTGAGTCGAGTAATTAGTGTCCCTTTCCAAGTTAAATGATCTTGCAGGTACAAAGTTTGACAAAATTTTGTTGTCATTTACAGGTTTAACTTAGCATTTACATATTATGGAATAGTGCTTATGACTACAGAGATGTATCAAGGACTAAGTGAATCTGAAGGAAGCTGTGGAGGTACGAATGAAACCACTTGTTGATATCTGTCATTAAATAAACCATTTAGCTTACTGATACAAAACATATTTCTTCACTTAACAGATAATTTAATGAGTAATAAACATTAGCACAATTACATGTAAGGAAGCAGTTTGGTTTAGGTATTTTCAACAATAAATGGACCATAATAACTTTATTGAAACTTGGACTACTGTACTTGTTAAACAGTTTAAGTATTTATTTCATGAATATCTAGAATGTTCTCCACTAATTATTATGATGAACACCCTCACGGGGTTACAGTACATGAAAATACCACCTCTGCATCATATCTGAAGGCAAGCAACTACCATTATTTTCAGCCACAGATTCTGGTGCAGTTAAGAATCCTGACTGTGGATGTCAGCTTCTCACTTTTAAGGACTACACAGATATGCTGTGGACCACACTTGCTGAGTTTCCTGGTACAGAATAAAAAATTATTGCTTACATGTTTAACTTTATCTTCAAGGGGAAAGGAAATGAAAATTATAGCATGATTATTGAAATAAATTGTAATAGACTAGAAGTTGAGTTTCAAGGACCCCTGTGCACTGTATGAATTGTGTGCAATGAGTGTATTATCATGGGTTTTGGAGATATCTACATGGTACCTTATATTCCTGGGATCCTGGAAGAATTATTAGTTCATTGTACCGCAACTATATGAGAATAAAAATGGCGTTTTTCAGCCAAGGGCACAGGCACAAAAAAAAACCCAGAAACTATTTACATTCTTCAATTCAATTACCACATTTTTTGGCTCTCTTCTATAAAAGTATTTTGTGCAATGCAGGTAACATAACAGACTGGTCCTCTCTCCCACCCCAGATCAAAACCACCTGTCCAGTTGTGCGTTGTTGAAGAGACTCAAGAGGAAGGGACACTTATGTTCCAGTTTAATTTCTTCTTGGAAAACTCAAACAGGGGCACCCAATGACAGTTTCCTCCTAAAAGCATTGTCAACACTTTTTAGGCTATCCAGAGTACTTTCAGATCTCTAGAAAGCATTCTGAGCGGCGCTGTAAAAATGGTGTCTGTTCAGTCAGGTAGGGGAACGAGAGTCTTTTCGAAATTACAGGGGCTTGAGTATTATTTTGCTGGAAATTTTAGGGGAAATTTGACATATGACGAAAGTAAGACATTTTGTAATTCCTCTCTCCATCACCTTTTTGAATGCACAAATTTTAGGTTTCCTTTTATCTACGAAAAATAGCCTAACTTGGGAAGTAAAATGCGAAAATTAAACTTCAGAAAATCATAGGGAATTTATTAGATAAGCTTCAAAAATTGTACATGAATGGAATGGTCATCTAAAAATTTTTAGCCTTCCTCAAGTAATAGAAAATTCTAGGCATTTTTTTCTTCTCTGAACAGATGTTTTATAGAAAACAGTCGTTGAGTGCTCCTGTTCAAAAGGATGGTCACCACAATAATAATTTATTACCATCTGTTTGGAGAGAGTGTCTGAAGTAATTTTGATTCCATAGTAGGTCTAATTAATAATTTCATACCTTAAAATGTGGCAAGTAAATATACTGATCAATGTAGGACAACTTAAAAATGAATTGGTAAATGATAACACATAAAAAATTTGTCATGATTAGTATTAAGATATTTTCCCTTCTTGTTAGGCATCATTGTGACCATGTTGATGCTGGAGAAACTTGGAAGAAAGAAAACCATGGCAATCGAATTCTTTTTAACTTCAGTTTGCTACTTTCTTCTATTTATCTGTTCTGGAAGGTAAGAGTTAAATTTCTTAATAATTGTTTTGATAAGGTAATGAGTCCCTCCAGTTGAAAATAGATGTTTAAAATGATAACTAGACTGTTCATAGCCCCCTGTTTTCTGCATTGGTCAGGGAAAGTGATTGCCGAGTTTGAAATGCCTCTGTCTTGATATGATTATCCAATTCACACTGAATTCACCTCCAAAGCTTGTCCTTTTCTCACCTCTACAGTCAATTTGTACTTGAAAGACATCAAATCAACTTGGCAAAGCCTAGAAAAAATCTATCCAAAATGCTTATGTTCTAAGGAGGTTACAAAAGCTGCGGAATGATGTACCGTATCGAATTTTAAGGAAAGATGAATTTAAGCTTACTGATACAGAATAATTCATTATTCACTTTGTTTGTGTATTTTTCTTACAGAACCATGATGACAGTGTTTATATTTGGAGTTAGAGGATTTATATCAGGAGCATTCCAAGGCTTCTATGTTTATACACCCGAGGTACATGTAATAGACTGAACAAAGATTATGACACTAAAGAAAACATGTAATACTTATGTAACAGAAATAGGTCTTGCAAAATTGAAGAAAGGCTGATTTATCCTGTTAAGGTGGCATTAGTAAACCTGGATCATAAGCCTTTGAATTTGAAACAAATTAATTGATAATTACAGACGATGTGTTTCTTGTATTTCGTTTCTTTTTTAGGTTTATCCAACAGTAGTTCGTGCTCTAGGTCTTGGCTTCTGCAGTGCAGTTGCTCGTGTTGGAGCAATGATAACACCTTTTATATCACAGGTATGAATGAGTTTTTGAGACGCATTTTTTCATTGACTAACAAATGATATACCAATACCTTTCATGTGGGGGGGACCCAAACCTCCTACATGTGCAGCTCCTGTAACTTGCATTTTCGGCTCCCAAGGCATCCCTTGTCTTGGCTTCTTTCCTGTAGCCCTTTTCCCGTTGCAAAATATTAAGCATTGTTGCCTATGTTCCCCTTATTTCATCACTCTTCCCACCCTTTGAGGACTCCCTCCTCCTGTCCTTTCCTCTCATGCCTCCTAACCCCTCTTGCCCTTATTCTTCCTGGCTCCATCCCCCCTCCCGTAGTCTCCCACTTAGATGCTTCTAGAATTTTAAGCCTCTTTCCTAAGGTGACATCACAATCAATCATTTTCTTAAGACACAACGTAATAGGCCCGGAGTTGAAAGTTAGAGAAATTAAGTGTATTGAAGATTGTTGACTACTGAAATTTTGAGTGACCCACTATCTCTACTACATTTGATAATAAAATCATTGGAGCGAGTAGTAGTGAATCAAACATAGTAAAAAGATAAGTACAATAGCATCTTTTGACTGAGTAACGACTGGGACAATAGTTTTTCTCTTACAAGTTATAAGAATGTTTGTAGCATAAAAAAGTTAGAAATGAATGACGGGAAAAGGAGGGTGTAACGGTTCTTTTGCTTCCCATCAATCGGGCAAAATAAAGTTTGACAAAAGATAACAAAAATAGACGAGAATTTGGTTTTCTGTGAGTACGAGGTATCATTTCTAACTATGGTTTATCATTATTGTTTTTTCTTCTCAGGTGTTGCTCAGGGTCTCACTACGTTTAGCGTTAGGTGTCTATGGCTTAATGTCCTTGTTATGTACTGTCTGCACGTTATTACTGCCTATTGAAACCACAGGGAGACCAATGGTGGTAAGTACTTGTACAAATTCATAACAAGAGAAAGTTCAATATCAATAACAACGAAAAAAGGATGGGGAAAACACAGGCTTGACACTGATAAATTATTTCCATTTCGGATTGACCTTTTCCTTTGCTTTTGTTTTACAGTCACGTTCTTGGTCTGTGGTGTTGTTAATGATAATATTTACAACAACGACAATAACAACAATTATGTTTCATTTTATATCATTATTTTTAACTTTGAACAGGAATCAATGCATTGATTGGACCTCCAGGATTCAACGGCAGTATTTATTTTTGTGTTTAGTTATAAAGTCATGTATTTTTGTTATGTTTAAACTAAAGTGACTGTCGCACAAGCATAGAGTGGTCCTTAAGGTTGGAATTTTCACAGTTAAGCTTAAATTATATGGCGGGTCCATTCCAACGAAAACTAGGGTATATTATTTTTTTGGATTGCCAGAGGTGTGCCCCGAAAAGGTTTGATTTGTAATCGCTTCAAAATGTAATAATTCAAAACTCCACATGGGACTTAGTTTGAGCATAGTTAGTAGAGGACACAGTGGTTATGACAGCCGGCAAACATCAAAGTTGAAAGCAACGGTGCTGTAGTTTATGTTGGACTCCCTGACCGTGCACAATCCTTTGTTTTCTTTTCCCAAAATATGACTGAATAAATTAATGCGATATTTCTATTGGTCAGTAAGTTCAAAATGATAGGAATGCTATTGAACGTTGTGCACGGTCAGGTCCAAAAAAGGTAACAAAACCAAATAACAAAAGAGTCTAACGGGTTTCATAACCATTCCACTTTTATATTAATAACTATGATATGGGGTGCTTTGGATTTTAGCACCATGTTTTTTTTTTCTCAAAGTATCTATCAGTATTTGCCTCTCGCGTATCCAGAATGTTTTAACGTTGATGAAAATAGACAAATATTTAACGTAATTTTGCACGGTCAACACCGCTTTTCAGACGAGTAAACAGGCAAGTTTAACTTCTAAAACCAACTCAAATAGTAAATGGCGGTCGAAGCAAAAAAATGCTCTATTTAATTTCAATCGCAAATGCACAGATAACTTTATGAGAATTCAGCACATTTCCTTGTAATTCGTGAAATATATTTTGTACAGTATTTTACCACTGGAATTACCTAAGCATTTCAATGCGACAATTGGAATGTCATCGTGAAGAACTGCAAAACTCGGAGTGCTCTCTATGACGTCGTGAAAATATACGTCATTAAGAAATAGTTATTTATAACCACCTTTTGTTTAAGGCTTATTTTTCACTCTGTTGTACAGTTTTTTGTCAGGCAGTATTTATAACATGATAAGGTAATGATGTTATCACGGATTGTTAGAGCTTGTATGCACCACTGATGAAACAGTATAAACTGTTATTGTTTTCTCTTTCAATTAGATATAAATTATAAATTATAGTATAAATTGTAGAGTGGCTGTCAGCATTCTCGACGTTGTATAAAAAGGAGAAAATTTCGTGGAATATATAGGTCAATAAAGTTTTTAAATTGCTTTTAACTTGAGTCTGATTTTGATTTAGATTTTTGTTGCTGATTTATTAGAAGTCCCCTTAATAACCCAACTTGCGAACGTAGACATTTTTCCGGTCATCGCTTCTCTCCACTTGGAAATGCGGCTGTGTTCGGAAGCCTATTGGTAAGCCAATAAAGAGACTAGTAGCAAAAAAGACTTAAGCATAGGACATCCGGAATATGAACATTTCGATATTTGACATAATGGAGAGTATGGAGATTTACACAATAAACGTATGACAGACTACTCCCAAAATATTAAAATTTCCATATTTTACATAATGCAGAATATGGACACTCAAGAGTTCAATATTTGACATACACAAAATTGAAACTTCGATATTCTACGTGATGGAAAATATGAAAATTTACACATTTATTATAGATAAGAGTAAAACTTGAGTGTTTGATATGCATAATATTTAAAGCTCCATATTTAACATAATGCAGAATATGGAAATTTAAAGAGTTCAATATATGATTTACAAATATTTGGAATTCAATGTTTTACATAGCAGATAATATGGAAATTTACAAATTTAACATAAAGGAGTAAAGTTCGTCTGTATCACATCCGGAATATAAACATTCCATTCAGTTATTTGACACAAGGCAGAAAATGAAAAATTTAAACATTAAATGTACCTTCGAGTAAAATTTCAGTAATCAAAATAACGAATAAATTTCTGGATTTTACGAAATAGAGAATATGAAAATTCAAAGAGTTCGATATTTAAGATAATTAAGAAAATTTCTGACAGTTTTAACGCTGTTTTTACGACTATTAGGCCTTCACTTGACAAATGACCACGCCCTTTGATATAAAATTCTTATTTTTGGTTCAATTACTTTTTGAGGAACGAAGGTAACATTTGTATTAACAAAAAGCTGCAATTAAAAACATGCAACCCTTTCAACATCGTACGTAACACGTGTTCTTGGCAACTGCAAAACCTCTCTCATCCTGTACCAAGAACGTAGAGGTAAAAACGTTTTACGGCTAATTCAAAGGTTAAAACTACATAAAACTAATAAAAAGGGCAAAAGATGCCCAGGAGTGGCCAAATGTGACTGTACGAAGAGTGGTGGGATCGTTGTTATCACGAAAACTTTCTCAGCGCTTTGCTGATGGGTCCTATCCTACGACCTGGGTTTCCATATTGGTGCGCAAACATCAACGATGTCGTTTAATATACACCAAGATGACCGCTTGATCCACAGAGAGAGTGTCAGGGGGACACAACAGCAAAATAATGAAGCTGAAAATGCACTACACTACAAAACTTTGGGGTGTTGTTCACTCAGACAAAAGATCCCGCCCGCGACTTCGGAAATTGTCTCTTGTCCAAGTTGTTCTAAGGGACACACTCAGGTTGAAAAGTTTGTGGAATGTAACGGAGGCTACTTTCTTCAGACGGAAAAGAAGAACGGGATTAGAAAGTTGAAAGTGTTAGAAATAGCCTCGAGAAAAACAGTTCTGCAGGTAGACAAGAAAATTTAATGTTGTCTAGTTACGGGTTATGAATTCAGGAGCGACGTGAAAATGCAAGCCATATTGAATCACGAGTTAATGCCACTGCCACTGTCTCTCGCAGAAATCATAAGCCACAACCTACGAACGGGAAACAATTCTTTTTAGCCGACTTTGTGTCAGAGAAAGCCAAGTGTTCGGAGTCAATCACAATATAAGAAAATGCTGCTTTGTTTATCGATGGCTAATATCTTTGGTAGCAGCTTATGGAAAACCAGAAATAGCAATAGTGTCGCTATTGTTCGTCATGGTATTCTCCAAGGGTCCTTACTTGGCCCCTTGTTATTTATCGTCTTTATCAATGACTCACCGCTTTACGTCACTTCATCAAGAATTGATTTGTATGCAGACGATACAACGCTGACTTCCAGTACGAACTATAGCTCTATCGGAAGGCTAGAGGGTACCCTAAACTCGTCAATTGCCGAAATCGTCGATTGGGCAGCTTCGACCTAACTGCCAATTAATGAAGGTAAAACCAAGGCTATGCTAATCACTGGCAAGCGTCTCCCCTCAAAGGTCAATGAAGAAATGACTTTAACTATTAAAGGAACTGAACTCGAACTCGTTCCCAGTGCTAAGCTGCTAGGTCTCGAAATTGACTCTGAACTGTCATTTACTTCCCTTGTAGAGAAACTTTGTAAAAAGCTGTCTCAGCGAATTGGCGTATTAAAAAAGATAAGATCTTGCTTGCCCACGAAACAAAGGCTATTGTATCATAATACTATGATAAGATCTGTATTGCATTATGTCAGTTCAATCTGGACTAGTTGTGATAAGGAGAATTTAAGCCGTGTTTTTAAGCTACAAAAGAGAGCAGCAACGGTAATTTCCCGGGGGTAATTTCCGACGCTAATAACCAGGCGTCTAGTGTTGAGCTTTTCAATAGTCTACAGTGGCTTCCTTTTTATGAAGAAGTGAAAATAGCTAAATGTTGTGTGACATATAAACGCATCAAGGGTGAAGTTCCCTTATATATTGAAGACTCCTTAAGACTCAACAGTCAGCAACATAGTCGTGTAACTAGATATAGTAATATAAATTTTATTTGCCCAAAATTTAATCGGGTCACCGAAGGCGGTAGGTCGTTCGCAGTTTCTACTTGCCAACTCTAGAACAGCTTAAGTCTAGACCTTAGAAATGCAGTATCACTAGAATCCTTAAGAATAATTATCGAAATATCTTATTTAAAGAGAGCAGGAATTACACCATTTCATAGTTTAATCATATTCTTGTATGTGTTTCACTAGCCGTATCATTAGCTCTTATACTCATTCATATTGATATAGAACTTTTATATTTCCTTAGTTTTATTTATTTTGTAGTTAGACTTTGCATATTCTGAATCTTATGCTTTTTGTAATTTTAATTTAGATAGAGGGCCACAAGTTTACTAGTTTCTGTAACTATTCCGTGCTACCCTCCTTAAATAAAGTGTATTATTATCATTAAACTATTCGGAGGCTTTTGCAGCTGCCACGTGGACTTTGTGTTACAGAGAGGGTCTGGACTATTACAGGATCGTTGTGTTGTTCGATTGTTATCAGAGGTAATCCATTAAAGCAATGACAAGAAGTCGGCGCTCAAAGAACATTTCGCAGATTGTTCGAAGAGTTATTGCAGGAAGAGAGGTTCCAGTTGCAAATATTTCTTGCACTAGGACACAAAAAAGCGCACTTAGCACGGTCCCTCTCAGATGAACGTATCGCACAAGCAGCGGGTGACACTACAATCGTCGTATCTGGTGGTTGTTCAAATTAAAAGCAAATTTCCTTTCAGATCCTATCCTTGATGTAGCTGGTTTAAAATCCAACCACGAAGAAGCCGAAAGGGAATTGTGTTCTCCATGTAATCTTTTTTAACGGGCATAGGGGATGTGGACAGGGTATGGTTTTCGTCCTCTCTGTTCTAAACAGGGTATATAATTTCGCACGAGTCTGTCCTAAACAGGGTATACAATTTCGCGCAAGTCTGTCTTAAACAGTGTGCATGATTTGTGCGAGTCTGTTCTAATTATGAGCAGGGCGTTGGGCCATAAACAGGGTACTAAAATTGAGCGTGTTGTCCTAAACAGGGTATGTATGTCAGGAATTTTTTGTCCTAAACAGGGTAAGGGTTTCAAACCCTCAGCGGCTCACCTATACCCAAATATTGGTCGAGTCCCCCCTCCCCCCCCCCCCCCCCCCCCCCCCCATTGGTCACAACAGGAGCAGTCCAATTTGATGTTTTTCTGCTTAGAGTGTTTTTTGTTTAAGTTATTTTTGTCCTGAAAAGGGGGTGGGGTTCCAACCCCCCCCCGTCCCCCCCTACCCAAATGATTGGCGGGGGCCCCCCCCCCCCCCCCCCGGGCAGTCACTATCATGAACCCAACAAAGTAAAGCGTGAAATGACTTAGATTCAACAATAACAATGAAAATGTTTTTCGCCAAAATATCAAAACTATACAAGGAGTGTATTTGGCACCTGACTATACCCGTGACAAGGTGAATTGTGTATGAGAGGGCGTGGTCGATGGTGACGTTACGTTGTTAAACAGTGCAAAACTGTCGGAAATTCTCTTAATCATCTTTAGAGTACACTTATATAATTTCAAAGCGTTTCTGTTTATATGTAACTTAAAATTGTTAAAGGAAAGAAAACACCTTAATTGGACAATGACGTCATATTAAAATGCCCCAGAATACCATCTTAACACAAGAATTGAGGTTAGCAACAACGATTTTCGAAATCAGCGTATTCACGTTAGTCAAAATAGCTATGTTGCCAAAAATCAGACAAAAATGCCTGTGGGTGTCACGTTTTGGTGTCCTGTGTACCCGACTATAATGCAGAATACTGAAATCAAGGTTTTACATAAGTTTCAGTCTTTGACACGTCGAATATAAACATTCCCATATTCGGCATAATGCCAAATAATGCCATCGTCGATCTTGTATTTGTGTACAGCGGTAAAGGTGTCGTCAACGTAGCGTAACCAAAGAGGTATGTTCGTGTATAATTTTCTAGGACCAGGATCCTGCTACAACAGAAACTGGCGCGTCCATAGCTGTTCGGCGTAACTATTTGTAGTGTTCGCCTTTGTACATACAGCAGGTCAAAGTTAGCCAAAAGTTGAGCAGGTCGTGTGTAGGTGGTGGTAGTTCAACATTACAATTCTTGGTGTTCTTAGGGCAGTCTAGGACCAGCTGAAGTGGAACACACTCTTTTTTTTTTTTATAAGAATGTTGTTTTTCCGGCCCAGGCTGAATATTCTTATTTTTCTGCTATCCTATAGTCATAGCTTTCTATCGTATCCTTTTTTATCTTTTAGTTGTTTATTTTTTCTACAGGACTCCATTGACAACAGTGTTTTCATCCACTAATGGGTACTTTATCTTTTTAAAATATTCGCTATTATTCACTATTATTCATTTTATTTATTTATGCAGAATATGGAAATTTATAGAGTCCAATACTTGACAAGCAGAATTTTGACAATTTGATATTTGAGATAATGAAGATTATTGAAATTTAGAAATTTAACATATTATTTCAGTATTGACATAATAGATATTAAATTTTGATATTTGACATAACGCAAATATTGATATTTACAGATTTCAAATAGAGGGTATTACATTTCAGTATTATTTTGTCATGCAGATATTACAATTTTCATATTTGACACAATGCAGAATATGAAAAATCAAATTTAATTAAAGAATTCAATATTTTACACGCAGAATGTTGAACATTCGTTATTTCGCATAATGTAAAGTATGAAAATTTAACTAGTTTAGTGTAGCTTAGGGGTTGTCAGAATTCCTTTAAACTAATTCGTTTTATGAAGGTTGGTGTTTCTAGAACTTCCACATTGATTCCCTCTGAGAAAGGGCTAGTGCTAAAAATGCTAGACTTTAAATCTCTTCACTATCAACTCAATGATTCACACATCCGCCTACTTTATATGCAGCACAAGAATTTCAATTATTGTATTTGTTCGATGAAGCGCTCTGAGCGCTTCTCAAATTTTGGACCTTGAGAGTAGGCGCTTATTCGAGGTGGACGCTTATTAAATTTTCGCAGTTTTCAGCAATAGTTATTAATTTTGCAAAAAAAACGTGAAGATGTTCCGGATGTTCCAAAGCAGAATTTTAACAGTTCATTGAAAGTTTCTTTAAAATGCTTAGAAAACTCGGTCTCCATGGATTCTCTTAGTTTTAATCTCATTGTCAGTGAGGTCAGTGTTTTTTGTGGGGGGTGGTAGGTGGGCACTTATTAACCTTTCTTGCCTATAGGGTGGGCCGTTGTCCGAGGCTGGGCGCTTAATCGACTAAATATGGTATTTCAATTTCAATCCTGTATCTGTGTCCATGACAAGGGAGTTCATTCAACGTTTTACATGGTCTATGTAACAAAGACGGTACCATGTATTGTCAACCACAGGCTACAGAGATCCTCACAGATTATATGCTAGTAACCTGGCTAATCTGTTGCCAAATAACAACTGCATACAGCTTCTCTCTCATAAATAATTATCATATTACACTTTGTGACAGTGAAAGAACCATAAAACAACTATTGTTACTATTTAAAACCACCTCTACTTTAATTATATTGTAACGTGTACTAACTCATTATCATGTCCTTGTCTTGAGTCCTTTTACTGAGTAAAGGACCCAGTGTCACCCTACAATGTTTCCCTAATTTCATTGATTCTATTCTTACTTAATGGATCTTAAGGTTTATCGATTGGAATTCATTTCATTATTTAAAAATGGATCAATACCCTGTTAGCTAAGAGATGCTAATGAACAACACTCTGCATTTATTGTCAAGATCCCGGCCCAGTTGTTTGAAGGTGGATTAGCGCTTAACCCAGGGTTAAATTTAACCCGGGTTTCTTTTTCTTTTGTTCAAAAAGCATTTTCTCCAACAATTTTCTCTGTTATTTCTAAGAGCATCCAATCATCAACTTGTTGACAGAAAGAATTAAACTGAATGTACTTTTTAAGCATTCAAATCTGATTTCAAATTTCACACTAACCCTGGGTTATCTTAACCGCCTAGCTTTGAACAACCCGGCCCCGGGCAATACTTAAATACCTACTACTCTGTACACTGGGAGCAGTATAAAATTTCACGTTGTGTTCATCCTTCAAACTGTTGTGCCCAACAGTCCAAAACAACTGTTCTAAGAAAAGTGGCTCTTTCTCGTGCAAAACTGCATGGGTTAAATATAAGTTAAACGGCCACTTATTTTGTTTGACATTTGTGTAATGGCATTGACATGACTCAGATAAAAATGAACAATAATAATATGAGAAAACATAGATATGATCTCACACATTAACTTGATTTCATTTGAAAAGCAGTGATGGTGTGTCTCAAAGGCAAAACAGTGATTTTTTACAATTTTCCACACTGTTGTGAGCCGGTTGACATTGATCTCTGGTACCCAGGATACAAATAATTCTATATAAAAGACACTTCTTTCGTCAGAATTTTAGATGCTGTCACATTCTCACTGTGTGCAAACTACAGTCAAAGAGAAGTAACCTTGTGAAAACTTCTTTCTTGGGATTATGGAGCAAAGAAGCAAAGACATACAGACCAAAAAAGTTTTGCAATTTTCTTGCCTGTAACTTTGGATTCTAGGATTACTTTGGTCCCTTAGTTTATCATCAGTCATGACAGTTCTGTGTTGTGTGCAATTCAGGTTCGAGCAAACTGCTATGATATTACAGTATATGTTTGGAAATTACACAAAGCGTAATTCCACTGATTTCTCAAAAAAACAATTCCCCAGTTTATGAAGAGTGTATAAACCATCTGTCAAATAAATCAGTTACAGAAATATTTCTATTGTGGATGGTGCTGTCCACTTTCTGAACAAACACAGACAGAAATACAAATAGATCACCAAATAATACCAGCATTAATGAGACAGAAAAGCTTTCTCTAAGACTAAATGCCTTCTATACTTTGTACCTGACATCCTGGAAAAGGCTACCGACAGTAATGTCATCTACCTGTGTAAACTACCTGACTTTGTACAATGTACCTGCAAACAATATGTGAGTTCTGTATTATGAAGTATCCAAAAAGTGATAATAACTTAAGATGTTCAATGTACAATCTAATAATATTAATAGGACTAAGGATTTTAATCTTCAGCTGGGTTCCAATCCCCCTGTAGGGGTGGCATCTGGGGTATGTTTCTGAAATTAGAACAGATAAGTTAGCCCACAGTTAATTTCTATTGCCACGTAAAATCAAGCAATTTGCCCTGCCAATAATACAGTGTGATTACCTTTTTCTTTTTCTTTTCCTTCTTTTTCTTTTTTCTTTCACCGTCATCATGCTTTTTCTGAAACAAGAAATGAAAACCTAAGATAAAAACCTGCATTTTATAATAATTCATGTTTGTAGCAAGGACTAAATGCAAAGAGGAACAGAGATCTCCATAATCCGTCTACCTTAAAGAATCGAGACCTCCAAGAAATCATTTGCAACATAGTAGCATATGATAAAGATTGGAAGTTCTCTTACAATATGTACACTTTATTGGATACTGGAGAAGTACTCTGCTACAATGGTAATTCTGAAATTCATTCCTAAGAAAAATGTTTAAGCATTTTCAAAAGGCTCCTACTTGGCTAACCTGTTTTTTGTGTTTCTTTGAATCATGACTTCCCTCTGATTTTTCTGTTGAAAAATAAACATATTTATTGAAGCTACATATTATTATTTAGCACCAAACACTATCAATAAGGCTCTTGTTCAAAGTACAGTTATAAGCTAATCCAGGCTTAATACTGTATCTGAATTCAAATCTGAAAGAATTACAAAGCCAATTTGATTTTTAGATACACTTAAATGACTTACCAGTAAGCCCTCCACCCTAAATATAGGCCCCCTCCTGTATTGAATTAATAGCCCTTATGCATGTTTACGTCAAATGAGCAAATTTCACCTTCAAACCTCATTTTGAAATTGTAAAGTTGCTAAGTTTTGCATAAAAGAATTCACGAGGCAGCAAATTTGAAAAGAATATCCACAGACAAAGAGTGCAAATGCACAGAATTTTCCTTGCAAGAGAGGCTTGGTGGTGAAATTTGCTTGTCCGACGTAATCATGCATAAGGGCCATTCTATTTGTGAAGTTTTGAAGGTTAATTTTTAACCCAGACATGCAAAATGTATTTAGTTCATGCACTGGTTATAGCTTGTTTCAAAGCGGTTGTAAGACCCCCCTTTCCAGATATAAGCCTCTCCATTTTTTTTTAACATACCAGCAGAAGAGGATGCAGGCTTCTCTTGCTCAAGTTGCCGCAAACCTTGACCAACAGTTTCGCTATCTTTATTTCGTTCAGTATCTTGACTTTTGTGTTTCTTGTGTCTGTGTTTCTTCTTCACTGGGTGCTGACTCATGAAACGGAACTGCTCAGGGATCTAGAAAAATACAAAAAATTCTAGACAATAAAAGACAATATGGCAGTGTTTCAGGCAGAGTTAAACAACACATGAGTAAATGGCCACTCCAGTAGAACCTTGATTATCTGGACTTGGCAGGACTGGGGTAAATAGTCTGGAAAATTCTAAATATTTAAAATTAATGATATCTTATTTGGAAAATAGAAGAAAAATGGAACCAAAAGAAATCCCTAGCTGTTTGATCCTCTGCCTACTTATTGTATTTACCTAGCAACTTGAAATCTTATAGCGACAACCCTGCATCTTTCAATGTTTGAATAGAAAAAAACCCAGCAAATCATATTCTAAGATGTCCATGATTATTCATCATATTAAAAAAAAAAACGGATCAAAAAGTAAAGAAGGGAAATCTGGTAAATTTAATTCCAGACAATTTTGAGGTTGGACTGTTTACTCATGTTTGAGCCTATTAGGTACACTTACTGGACCAGGATTTAAGCGAAATCCAGACAAAGAATGCCCAGTTAGCGGTAAAAGCTCTTTCCCACCAATAGGTGGCTTGTCAACCACAGAACGTAGACTGAAAACAGAAAATTAAATACCAAAAAATAAATATATATGTTACTTTGTAGGTGTAACACTTCTTTTGACCTAAATTGGATAAAAAATTAGAATTGGTGTAGTACATGTACCATGTAACTCTGAAAGTGAATTGTGGAAGATTTTCCACTTGGTGCACAAATACTCCCAAAAAAGATAGAGATTCCTCAAATACTGGGAGGGTACCGGTCAGCGGTTACAGCCTGTGCAGATATTAAGTGATCTAATGGCAGGCAAAGCAGAATGCCTAAAACAGCTTAATGTAGAAGATGACGTAACTCCTTAAGGGAGCAGATTACAGACTCTAATAACCCAGAGCTGGAAAGATTGCAGCTGCCATGATCAGTCACCACTGACCAGTGGTGAAGAATCCATATGAGCTGATATCACAAATCTGTCTTTTTAGTCAGAAGAATTAAAAAAAAAAAACCTTGAGCAAGTGCATGTGGTTACAGTTTTTATGTCTGTTGTACAGCAGTGATATTTTCTGGAAAACATATCATGCAACCTAACAGATACTACCCTTAGGCTTGTGACATACTATAATATTGCGCATTATTCCGACAAGTTCATATTAAATTACAGAACGTTCACCAAAACATTATACGGTAGTTATAGTTTCTCACACCACAACTGTAACCACAAAACATCTCACAATATATGTGGCACCAACCAAAAGAGTTAAATTGGCAACTAGGTAGTTTTCCTAGTTTATTGATAAAATTTGCACAGATACGTTATTCTAACTGTGCTTTTACATTGTATCAAGTGCATGTGTCTCATGCTGTTAGAATAGACCATTTTACAGTTGCAAGCAGAAACAAGGCTGGGGTTGACCTTGTTTTGATTTAACCCTTCCTGCTTTATCATGTAAATCATGTGGTTCTTATGCTAACTAGTATTTTTTAAGCAGAATTTACATTAGAAAAGGGATGAGGTTTGTATCAAAACAAGATCAACCTCAGCCTCACGTACACTCAAAGCCTAGGACACTAAGCCCACAACTGAAACATGGCCTATTGGGGTATAAAATTAATAGCAGCTGCAATATCTGTAAAGCAATTTTCAATGTCTATTTACCTAGTTTCGGGTCCCCCCAGTTCATCTATAACACCTGAACAAAGAGAAAAGGAAAAAGGGAACACACTTAATTAGTCAGACCTGAAAATGCTCCAAAAGGCAATTGAGCCTGAGTAGTCTATGTTCCATATATATAAGGGGTTTTTCCTATGGGCAACCTCCATTATATTGGGTGGTTTTGCTTACCGCCTGTAATCACCTGTATCCATGTAGATATCCATGTCCCTTGTACTGTTTGTGATGTTATCAGTTTTAAGAATCAAGGACAACTTAGTCATTGAACTTGTGCAGGGAGAAAAGAACTTTAAAACATACCAGAATGAACACAAGCAAAAAATTTACCAAGCAATATTACTGCAAAAATAAAGTCAAACTTTAAGCCTTTAAGTAAAATATCGTAATAAAACTGATTCCAAACAATGTATTTGTCAGTACCTGATTTTAAGTTACTATGGGTTTGAGCAGTCATTCTACATACTTGATTTTGATAAATTTCTCGACTAAAGGGCTGCAAAAGTGGGAGTAGTTGTTTTACTAGTTGATTTGAATAGACATATTGACTAAAGGCAGAAACTCATAAGGGATTGAAACATGTAGCTCACGTTCCATGCTCGTTAATGTTCACAAGCATCAGATAAAGAGTTACATGTTTCAACACCTCATGAGTTTTCTGCAACAGGGAAATGGGACTGTGGGAGTGTGAACTGAGGATGAACTATTTCCTTGATTGCTGTCGGACCACAGGAGCAGTTGATGTGGTCAGGTATCTTGAAATTTAATTTGCAGATATTAAATACTGTACATGCTTGCTCAGCATAAATGTAAATTTTGAGTAGGAAACTTCAGCATATTGTTTAATTGAAGCTTATAGTTTAGAGAAATCTGCATTTCTAAACTGACGCACCAAATTATCAGCTAAATATGTCACAAAAATTAAGCTTAACACAACATATTGCATTTGAACACTGAGAAAGTGTTTTAAAACAATTATTTGTTAAGCTTATTTAGGCTCATTTGGCCGATATGTGCTTAACTTATATTGAATTGCCATTTTCATTTATATACAGGGTAACGTAAGCCACGGGACAATAGATTTATGCACTTCCTTCTTCACATGTAGACTATGATTAAAGCATTGTGGAAGAAGCCTTACCAGGTAAATGCGGAAGAAACGAACTGAGACCTTCCTTCACCTTTTTGCCTTTTTGTGTCTGGTCGAAGCCATGTAAAAGGCTACCATTTGTTTCTAGCGGTGTGGCTGCAAAAAATAACGACGTTGAATGAAAAAAACACTAAAATACTGTAACGCTATTCATACAAAAGTAACTTGTTATAAACTCACGAGGATCATCTCGTAAAAGGTAAAACGGAGAGGTCGTCGCTGATGGGGTTGGTGCTGAAGTTGTTGAAACCATTGTCGCTCGGAAATCCACGTTCAGAACTTCTCCATGTCTAAAGCGAGAAGACGTTACGTTCAATGTGGCGCTCTTACTTAAGGTGTTGGTTACATTGTTCAAAGTGTGACTTTGAAAGGAACTTTGTTTCACTAAATCTAACTGCTGTTTTCGAGGACAGCTTTCCATTCGTTTCTCAACGCCGCCATTAGAGACTGATTACCCCTGAGGCGTTGCGAGCGATCTTAGCAGCATCAACAACACGCGAGAACTCTCGCGACTGTCCATTTAGCGCGAATTACATCCTTCCCGCGTAATATGTAAGAACATTGTATTTCCTTGAAACTTAAGACTTAAACAAACTATTGATTTTATTTCTACTAGGTTCTTAAAATTTCTGTGACATCTCTGTCATATTTTGAGGTATCCGACGTCCGACCAAGCCTGTTTCGGAAGACTCGGAAGGAAGTCTGGATCCGACAAACGACAAGAATCTGGAGATACTTTATATTCAAACACTTTTGCGCCTTTTTGCGTCGGAGACGCCGATTCTCGATCTGTTCAAGTTTAGATAAAGCACCATGAGTATAAGTAGTAGAACTTCTCGTGGAATCGCAAGCAAAACTGCAGTTTCCTCAGAAGCTCACAAAGGTATTGTGATTTTTTTTTCACTTGCTGTCACACTTGAGTTGTATGATTTCCGACCTCCTGAGAGACAGGAGGCGAAGCGATCACCGCCAGTTCAGTTACGATTTATAACCGGGGCTAAAATTTCTAAGTTTTAAATTAATTTAAACACTAACTCTTTTTTCTTTATTTCCATAACTGACGGATTTTGGGCAACGTTCTATTCACCCAAAGACCCGGTAAGTTAGAGTTCCAATTTTTGTGCGTATCCATGTGATGATTTCGTGCACTGCACGCTGAGCACAGCCTTTGGCTTGTTGTGTTCTTGTCTTAAACGATGAATTTAGCTTAAATACCCTACCCGTAACTCTTCTGTAGAGAGTACATGAGGCTAACAATCTTCCTTATTTGTGAAGTTGCTGAGAGATGGAAATCCTGCGATCAATGATGTGTTCATTTGTACAGCTGTAAAAATCGCGAACTTTCGGTCATTTTGTTTTGCATTCGAATTTTCCAAATTTTAATTCATGTCACTCAACGCGATTGAGAATTCACTGCTTTTATCACGAAAGTTTTAAAGATGTTTGACACCCTAAGTTTGAACTAATTCTTTGTATACGTGGACGATTTGACTTTTTTCCCGCGATTACGTTAATTCAGTGAAATGGGAAGTTGATATTTGCATTTCATATAAATTTTCCTCCTATAATCTGCGATCGGAATTCAATTACATCCGCACTGCGTCAAGTATGGACCTTGCGGTTGGATTTTAATCCTATTAAAGAGTCCTTTTCTAAAAGCACTTTTTTATCCGATGTCATTCATTGTATAGTTGACCACTCTGACGCAGAATTTGCACCGAAAAAAAAATTCATTCTGTTCTTTTGTCTCTAATAATTATTGAAGATCGACGAAATAAGTAGCCACCTTGTTAAGTGCGGATGTTGTTAAGGGGGGGGAGGGTCGAAAAGTAGTTGGAGGTGTGTGCATTTATGCCTTTAGTTCGTTGAACCCTCTTTGTAACAAAAACAGCTATTGCCAGAGTATTTTATCCATTGCAGTTTCAAAAATAATTATATTAGACATAAGGGTTGTGCCAATTATTCTATTCTTTCTATTCTTGATACCCAACCTATCACTGACCTTGTCACTGAAACCCCCCACTTAAGACACAGCAATAACATTATTTCATTGGTGAGCCTCAAGGGGCAGTAGAATTTATAGAAGCAATATCAATTATTATATTGCTTTTCCAATTTCCACATTTCTTTTGTTACCATGTTTTGTTAGAATAAATTGGTATCAACTTGCTTAAAACATAGACACTGGTGCCAATTTTGCTTCACTTGTAATCTGAGTACACACTGATTTGAGTGTCCCTTATTGCTATTAATTGGTAACTTTGCTTACTAAATGTTAATAACACCATAATTCTACTTACCAGTAATTAAACTAGCCAAAAAATTCCCAGTGAAAGTTTTCTCTGAGGGCAGAGGAATTATTGTTACTATGCATGGTATGTTTTAAAATGTAAAAATCATTTTCCTTTTAAGGTGGACGTCTCTAACTTAAATTCATAAGCATGTTTTCAAGGTGCCTTACCTGAACAAGCTATTTTTAGACTTGATTTCACTTATTTTCATTGCTGAATATAACCAATAGATTGTACTCTCAAATGAATCCAGTTTTGAAAATGGCATGGTACAACCAGTCTTGTTAAAACCTAAACAGTGGCAAATGTAATGTTTTTGTTGTTTAATAGTCACAAATAAGGTGCTTCTTATAACCTCAACCTGTCCATAACTTAAGGTTTCTGTACAGGTTTGCTGTTTTGTTTGTTTAAAATGTCTAAATGGACATAAAATATTATAAAGTACTCTCAAAGATGTTGCAACCAAGATTAATTTACCAAAGTGCAACTGTTATATTTATCCAAAATGAAATTTATTGTTTTGCATTACAATGTTATTTGCAAATGCCTCTCTAGCAATGAGCTTGCCTCAGTTGACATGCATAGAAGATACAAGGTCATGTTGTGGCATATTTTCTGTTCTCTTCACAGGAACCTGGTTATGTTGGTTTTGCTAACCTCCCTAACCAAGTCCATAGAAAATCTGTGAAGAAAGGGTTTGAGTTTACCCTTATGGTTGTTGGTGAGTGCTGTGCAAGAAACAATCTCAAATTAACTCATTATCGTTATACGGCATAAAACTCTCACCTGTCTAAAGTGACTATAGCTTTTGACTTGGATGATCAAAGAACTTGTAACACACACATCTGGCTGGATGAATATAAATGTTTAAGGCATGTGATAAATAAGTTTTGCTACAAGCTGTGATAGTCCATCAGGAAACCTGTTGTTTTTGATACATGTTGTTTCGATACAAACTCAAGCAGTGAAACATTATTGCACAATACATCTGTATTTTCAATCACTTATTAGTCCATATATATAGTAGGCTATTGAGGGAACTTTGATTGATACATTTTTTTTTTGCTAGACCTAATTAAGACCAGGCTATTCCCTTCTTTCAGCAAACAAGATCACTACCATTGAACTTTTTTAGTTTGAATGTCTTTTGTTACTGATGCATGATATTTATCATCAAACCATGACAAGAAGCTTGTTTTCCCTTCCATTTGAAAACTTAAATCATCAAACAGATGAGTTTTGACCCTGCAGTATACTTAATACCATCTAAATGGTTCTTCACCTCTAATAATATCGATAATTTTTTTAAGTAACTGATTTTTATAACCGATTTTTTGCTATTCCAGGTGAGTCTGGTTTGGGAAAGTCAACCCTTGTAGATAGTTTGTTTCTTACTGACTTATATGATGAGACAGCAATTCCTAAAGCAGTTGGTATGTATAAATAACTTCTGAGTGTAAAACCTAATCATTGGTGGAACTAGGGAGGGGCCCAAGGTCAGGACCCCTTTGTCTGACAGACCCAAAATGAGGTCTACAGAGCCAATGTGCCAACTGAAGATAACTCTGTTTTGGCTAAAGGGAAGACTATCTCCCTTTATTTAAAATGTCTGACACCTTTAACCCTTCCACCTCAATTTATCATTTTTTCTTTAAATAGTCTGGTTTTCCTTTGATGGCAAGCTGATTAGGATTGAAATATTCATAAGGGTTGGCAGGGAAAGCTAGGAGGTCTTCAACTGATACTAAGACTTGTTAATTGTACCAAAGTGTGTGACCTCCTTTGGGAGATTAGATAAATAAGTTCCCTCTCACCCCAATGGAAGACGTATACCTCCTTGTACAAGCACACTGTCTTGTTTTATCCTTAATTTGAAATTAGAGCTGCCTAGTGATTCTGGTAATTACGTTCCTCTAGGTCTAAGTACCTCTAGCCTCAAGGGAAAGGTGAAGTCCTGATTCAGTTCTAACAGGTTATATATTCTGGCTAGAATGATGAGGGTGTGGAAAATGATTGTTTTATTATTTGGTCTTTGCAGATCGTATTCACCAGACAGTACAAATTGAAACCAATACTGTAGAAATTGAAGAGAAAGGTATCAGGTTGAGATTAACAGTGGTAGACACTCCAGGATTTGCTGATGCTGTAGACAATACAGATTGGTAGGACTTCTCTTAATCTGATACTTACATACGGTAAACTGCCGCTTATAAGTCTCCTCATATAATCCCTCTCAGGTATAGGCCCATCTACCTGTAAATATAAAAATACTTCCAATTATAAGCCCCCCCCCTTGATATAAGGTCCCATCTAGCTTGTATTGAAATGAACTGGATTTATTGTGACATCTTGAAGCTTAATTAAAAACCAGTAAATAAAAAACATATCTTAATCAGCACTGCTATAGCTTGTTTCGAAGTGCTTTTCTGGTCCGGTTGTAAGTCCCACTCCTTATGAGGACGTATAAGTCCAGGGCTTATTAGCATCCATTTACGTTTTTCTGTCACTAGCAAGGAAATTTGAAAATTTAGACATCACTTAAGGAGAGTGCACTGTAGCATGTCTTGCTTGATGAATTTGTATTTAAAGGTACTATATGTAGCTGTTAGAAATTGGAATAGCTTTCCCAAGATTGATGAAGGAATATTGTTCTGTATGCTTATATTGGAAGCCATTAATTGGAGACAAATATAAGAATGTTTTTTTTTCTTGTACTGTATAGTTGGCAAGCTGTAACTAACTACATTGACCAACAGTACGAGACTTACCTGCAAGATGAATCAGGCCTTAATCGACGGCACATAGTAGACAACAGAGTTCACTGCTGTCTTTATTTTATATGTCCACATGGTCATGGGTTGGTATTTGCATTTGTTGTAGATTTTTTACGTTGGATAGCAAATTTTGCTAGTTATGTAGAGTGTGTACTTCTGCATTTGTGGTCTCTTTTCGTGGACAGTCACCATTACTTCTAATCATCAATTCTTTTTGTGCAATCACTGTTTCAGTCATCATCAACTGATCTCATCCACAAGAATCAGAATCGTCATTATCACTTTGATATTACCCATCGTCATTATTGTTACCCGTGACCCCTGTATCCACCTTCCCATCACTATGACATTCACTGCCATCGTCATAAATCACCCCATGGTGGTTATCTTGACCTTCAACATCATCACTGTTATCATCATCATCATCATCATCATCATCATCATCATCGTTATCACTTTCACCATGCCTTCAGAGAATCATAAACTAACCCTTCTCCAGATTTTTGCAAAACAGATTAGTAATAACAAATTATTGTCCTGCTGAGCCTCTCTGGCAAACAAAATACATTCAAACCCACAACCGTCACCTTGGGGGTGGAGGAAAGTGGCCATTTTAGTGAGGTGGTTATAGTATAGATGTTCAGAACATGAGTGAATGTACCCGTTGTAGATAAAATCATTTTTTGTGAGGTTAAACCAGAATTTCCATTGTCTCCTCTGAAAAATCAGGGCTATCAAACAAATCCTGAACCAAACTAGGTTGAATTATGTTTTAACTTAAGAGTGGATTTTACCCACAACATAATCCATAGGGAAAAACAAAAGTGGGCATTATGGAGAAGTGGGAGTTAGCAGAGATTCCATTTTGATAAAAGAAAAGGAACAGAAACAAACAGCGATCTCCTTGAGTCTTTGTTTTTCTAGTACTTCTTGCACCTTACCATTCAAGCTCTTAAGAAAGTTTTATCTCATTGGTACTAATATTATTGCTGGCATTGTGTTTTTTCCTTTTTCTCAGCCTAAAACCAATAGACATCACGTTCATGAGAATGTTACACACCAAGGTTAACATAGTTCCTGTTATAGCCAAAGCTGATTGTTTAACAAAATTCGAAATGCAAAGACTTAAAAGAAAGGTGAGAGAGTGGTCAACTTTATTTTTCATACATGTATGTGTAGTGGTGGCCCAGGTACCCCAGGCTTAAAACGATAATTTGAGTGTCTCAAAGTATTTTGTGTAGCGGGGGTCTTTTTGAGAACTAATCTATCTTAAATGGGATACAAACTGAGAGAGCACCTTAGTCAAGAAACTGGTTATCAGGTAGGAAATATCATTCATCTGTTAAAGATGTCCTTGTCGGTTGCATACATGGCTCATACCTGCTGTAAGTCTCATGTATCTGTAGGGTGATCAGAGAGACTTGAGACAGCTTTTTTCTTCAATATTGTTCCCGGAGCTTGGGGTACCTGTGGTGGTAAAAGGCAACAAGTTAAAGACAATCCTTTTAAAAATTGCTAAAGAAATGCAAGTACTTCCCTGAAATATCATTTTTTATGGCGCCACCTTACAAGACCTTAAAGACATAATTTTTATCCACAGACTCTTAAGCTACAACAAGTTACAAAAAGTGTGAGACACTACGACGAAAAACCGGCCTTTTTTTCTTTACTTCGCTGCTAGTCAGGCAGTTTAAGCCAAAGTAAGGTACAGTGTCTCAAGTAGTTTTGCAACTGGTTGTAGCAATGTAGCAAGCTACCTTTACAGCCGGGGTTTACGTTATTAGTGAGCTTATGCAAAGACGTTTTTGGCGATGCACGTCAACCGGAAGTGAACTGTATCCATTTATGGGTAGTTCTTCCCTTATTTTCGGTCAAATCGCCTTTATGAGACTATAGACGCTTAGCAATACAAATTTGGAAGTGTTGTGGTAAATTGAAAGAGATAGGGGTTCACTTCCAGTTGATGTGCTTCGCTAAAAAACGCCTTTGCTTTCGCTCCTTTATGTCGCGTAAAGGGCTACATGCTAAGTTCAAAATTTTGACTCTTTTGTTACCAGGTCCTAGACGAAATTGACGAACATGGTATCAAGATTTACTCATTTCCAGATTGCGACAGCGAAGATGATGAGGAATTTGTTGAGATAAACCAGGAATTGAAGGTAGAAATTCCAGTATTCCCTTTATCTTAAAAGTTCAGCAAATCGAAATTACTATACCCTAGAGAAGTGAAGAATTAAAACGTGACTGAAACGACGCTCTAAGTCAAGAAATGACCCACGAAAAACATTTCACATGCTTGCAGCTTTCGTCATAAAATGAATAACTTTGCCCAATACAAATTACCTGGGACCGCTTTATAATCTCGTTTTAAAACAAAATTTATTTAGGCCTGAATTAAAACCAGACAAACTCTTTCTTTTCAAATAAGTAATCATTTGAAAGTCAGTTTGCAACATCACACAAGAAGCTTCAACTAACTTTTACCTGGATTGTCAAAGGCGAACTTGGCTTTCGCCTTTAAAGTCACCGAATAATATGAGAGTTGCAATAATTTTTTTGCTCTTAGCGATTCTTAAAACTTTATTACTTACTTGTATATGTTCAGTTTTCTTTATAAAGAACGCCGGTGGGCATACGATTTCCTGGCAAAAAAAACTGCAGTTTGACAGGCTTTTTACCGCCAAAAACGCGGCGTGCAAATTGAATGTGACCTTTGAAATGGGCCCTTTGCACGAGACGGTCACATGATACAAAAATCACCTTCCTGGATGGCAAATGGCGCAGTGGGACCTTGAAAAGAAAGGTTATGAGCTTTTTGAATAAGGTTACCGTAAAATTCCGAAAATAAGCCCCTCGATGTATGAGCCCTTCCAAATATAAGCCCCTCAAAATCGTAACGCAAAAATCCCTCCGTTAAATCGCTCCTCCGAATATAAGCCCCCCGGGGGGCTTGAACTTGGAATTTGCCCTCGAATACAAAGTAAAACAAAGCGAAAATGGTAAATTTCCTTCCCACTACAAGCCAGCCCAATCGATTTTGAAACGCAAATTTCTCTCCGTACATAAGCCCCTCCAAAAATAAGCCCCTCAAAAAGGGCCTTTGAAAAATATAAGCCCGGGGCTTATTTTCGGAATTTTACGGTATCTCTTTGTTTTTCTTGCCCCTCTGCGTCGTTTGCCATGACCGTATCATGCAAAATGCCCATTGGTTACATGGAAAGTGGAAAAGAAAAACGTCACTATTCAGTTACCAGGTCACATCTCTTATAGTCTCTGCTCTATGTCTGTTCATATCTTTTTTCAGGGTAGTATTCCTTTTGCTGTGATAGGCAGTAACACAATAACGGACGTCCGAGGCAAACAAGTACGAGTTAGGCAGTACCCCTGGGGAATGGCAGAAGGTTTGTTAATTCAGTCCCACTCAATCTCCACATTTGCAAACTTTGTCAATATTATTTATAAACGCAGACACGTTCTTTAAGTTTATAACAGGGAGCTTAATCAAAGGCGTTTTTGAGGGACACACCTTAACGGGAAGTGGACTTTTTGCAGTCTTAGGCTGTGGTTTTGCGCAGCAAATTGTCGCTGTAAGAGTGAAAACACTTCACAGTAAGTGGCGCCATTGCATATTAAAAGAGAAAAAGCCCCACCTTCCGGTTGTCATGTGTCGCTCAAAAACGCCTTTGCGTAAGCTTCCTATTATGTCCTCATCATGACAGTAGCCGGTGCGAGCGTGATGCGCATGTCTATAGAGAGGAGAAGTGTGACGTCACGTTACCATGGAAGCAAAATTTTGGGGTGACAACAAAAGGGAGCTTAGGCGCAACGATGGCGACGGCAACGAGAATGGCAAAAAAGCAATAGGTTTAGATAAAAGCAAAACAACAACTTTGCACGTGCATCACGCTTTTTTGTACATTTCTTAGCCGTCATTGCACGACTGCGACGCCCCCTTCATGGAGTAGGTAACCACAACACACAAAAATTTTCTTTTCCTTTTTGTAAACTTAGATACCGTACTTTCGGATTCAACCCTGAAATTTCGCCAACATTTGACAAATTAAATGAAACTGAATAATATCGATGAAGTTTCAAACAGTGCGACTGCACTTTTATGTGACGTTTTCGGTTTGTTGTCATCCAGAAATTTTGCTATTATGGCAACGTGACGTAACGACTTCTCCTCTCTATTGAAAGGTATGGCAGTGAGTATGGCAGCTTTAGACTGGGTCGGTGTTGTGTTGAATTGCATTTTGGGACTGTTTTGGGGGGTGAATGTAATAGAACTACTCAAAGGAACTACTCGTGGTATAGCCTGAGAAAAGGGCCGACATTTCGTGACGCCACCACTGGTTTCGGTTTCCCACGAGAAACGAGCGAAGAATTTCCGATGGCGCTTCATTACCTTTATCTGGGTAGTGCTTCTAATACTATTGGTTTTAAATTTGCTTTATCCAATCAGAAGAACTACCCAGATCCGGGTAGTGACGCGTCATCAGTATGGAATTTCTGCGCTCGTTTCTCAGACATCATTTCGCCGGGAAACCAGTGGTGGTGTCGCGAATTGTCGGCTGTTTTCTCAGGCTGCTCGTAGTAGACAATTGAAAATGCGCTAGTGTCCCCAAAACAGTCCCATCTCCCATAGGACAAATTGACACAACAACAACCCAGTCACACTAGTAACCAGAAAATGGGCATTGGTCAGGAACCATAAAAACGTGCTTCTTACTTGTGTTCATTTGCAGTTGAAAACCCCGAGCACTGTGACTTTATCAAGCTTAGAAACATGTTGATCAGGTGAGCGAGAGACCTTACATTACTTTACGCTTGCAACTAATTTAAAGTTCCCGCACAAACTGCGCTGATTTTCTTTGCGATGCTCTATACTTGAAAGATAAATTAATCAAGTGACGCTGCTATGTTTGTTGTTTCACTCCAACATGACGACGGAGTAGCGTTGTTGGGTTCGTGCTCTCGAATACAATTTTGTTGGTTGATCTGCTTGTGAACTCTCGCGATATGTTGCAATTTGCCAAACTCTTGCTAATGTCTTTATCGGGTGTCGATTCTGAGATTGAACATGTTTGATTCCTCCAGACACCGTCGTGCAACGAAGGGTCGATTGTACGATGGCCTTAGGGACTTGAGTCGTGTTTTTTCAATAAAATGATTTCACTACAGTTAATTGGGATACACCAAACGGGTCCTTATTTAGGGATAAGCCCAAACGACACAACGCCCAATTTCTCTTCAGTTCCTTCCCCTTTCTATCCTTTCACTGGTATTCCTGTTCAAGGGAAAAGGAATGTTATATCTCATTGTGCTTTCTTGTCGTGTCCTTTTGCTAAGAGTAAATCTCACCGATTTCGTTTTCAGAACACACATGCAGGATTTGAAAGATGTCACACAAGAAGTGCATTACGAAAATTACAGAGCGGAGCGTTTGTCGCGAGAGGGGCAAGGGCCCCCCTCACCTCGTAAAACTATAGAGGCAATGTATGTAAACCGTTTTCCATAACGTGTCCTTCATATTTAATCGAGGCCCGGTGGCAACTTTAGATCCGTGAAAAATAAATGATCTTTTCAAATTTCTTGTTTTAGGAAACGCAAAACGGGAAGTTTTGAGCCGGAACAGGTGGATGCAGCCAACATTTCGGAAAAGGATCGAATGTTAAAAGAAAAGGAAGCCGAGGTATTTAGCAACTTGATATATTGTTTCGCCCAATGTAAGGGAATCTTAGACTGTCTTGGATTCTGGATTCCACTCGGAATTCAAGTACTGTTTTCCGGATTCCAATCCTTAGTGGGATTCCGGATTCCTTGAGCTGTATTCCAGATTGCCTTTTTGGGTGAATTTTTTACTGTAGAGGATGGAATGTAAATCCCAAACGTGGTAGTATTTTTTCCTTCCTCTCCAAAAATTCCCCCCTGAACTTATGTTTTCCAAGACCAGACGTTTTTGATCCCCTGGGGAACAACAGACGCGAAAGTTGCGAAAGTTCAAGTTTTGTAGGTTATATATCGCCGGTGCCTCCCAAGGGGTTTTGAGCGTTCCAATTTTTGACGCCTTTCATCCGATCAGGAAAAAAAAAACATTTCTTTTCAACAATAGACCTTTTTACCGATACGGCGGCCATATTGAATTATTTCGATTTAAGGAGTAATATAGGATGCCCAGGGGGCAAGAGCACATTTCGTTTGTATTTTCAAGCGCTTTTCGGGACATTTTTTCTTAAAGTATTCTTAGAATAAGATTGTAATGGTAAAAAAGATCCTTGTGCCGTGTTTGGATGTAAAAATGATCGCCTTTTTCTAGTCTAGTATTAGAAATGTGGTCTTTCGGGAAAAGGCGATCATTATTACATCAAAACACGGCACAAGGATCCTTTTTCCCATTACAATCTTATTCTAAGAAAACTTTAAGAAAAAATGTCCGGAAATGCGCTCGAAAATACAAACGAAATGTGTTCATACCGCCTGGACATCCTATAATACTCCTTAAATCGAATTGACTTAATATGGCCGCCGTATCGATAAAAAGGTCTATTAGCAGCTGAACTAAAAACAGGATTTGGCGCCATATCTGGCGGGCCCGTGGTTTGTTACAGCGAATGGAATTTTTTCCTTCGAGAAATGTGAGTTCTTAGAAAATGTTGGACTAAATTACTTGGCATTAACGATAAAGTAGCTTCCTTGAGTTAAACTTGCATTTTTTTTTCTTTCAGTTGCGACGAATGCAAGAAATGGTACTTCAAATGCAGAAAGAGATGGCGAAACAAAAAGCAGTAGGCCAAGATGAAAAAATGTAAAGCCTCTACTGTATTCAGGGACCATTCTAGTATATAATTATAATGTAATGAAGTACATGAATTACTGAATTTGCGCGATGTGTAAAGGCTGTCGTCGAGCGTTTGCTTTATCATTTTGGCCTTCATTCTGCTCTTTTCCTGGTTCACAGATCTCTTTTGACAGCCTGCAAAACTGAAATCATATGATCCTAGACTGCGTCGCAGCGCTGGCCTTTTGAATAGACTTTTGACTTCGTCGCTCGCTCGGGCGACTTCGCAACCTGAAAAGCTCGCTTTGCTCCCTTTACTGCTTTTTCTGTGGTGGAACTCGTGAGGACGTCTTGAGGAAAGTCTAGAGTTTAAAGGAGGAGGGAAAAGGGGCACCTGCCACTCAGTCTAATATGACCTACGCTTGTTTTCTTTTATTGCAATGTATCTTCCCTTTCGTGTTGGCTGGTACCTGTTGGCTGTGCTACAGTCAGACCAACCTCGTTCCCAGGGTTCTCTCCTAGGGGTTGCTGTCAGACCATCCTAGTTCTCTTTTAGTCAGGGGCACCCAACGACGGTTTCCTCCTAAATACATTGACAACACTTTTTAGGCTATCCAGAGTATTTTTAGATGTCTAGAAATGCGTTCTACGCGGCACTATAGAATTTGCATCTGCTCGGTCATCCTAGGGGAACCTGAGTCTTTTCGAAATTACAACGGCTTCAGTGTTATTTTTCCGAAAATTCTAGATGCAATTTGACGTATTACGAAAGTGAGACATTTTCTAATTTCTCTCTCCATTGCATTTTTGAGTACAAAAATTTTTGGTTTCCTTTTTTGTACGAAAAATAGCCTAACCTGGAAGTGAAATGTGAAAATTAAACTGCAGAAAATCGAAGGGAATTTATTAGTTAAGCGTCGAAAATTGTACATGAATGGAAGGGTCATCTAGAAAATTTTAGCCGTCCTCATGTAATAGAAAATTCTGCTCAATATTTGCTTCTCAGAACAGATATTTCACAGAAAACAGCCCGAGTCGTTAGGTGCCCTTGATTAGTTTTTAAACAAATATTATTAGCAACCGCCAAAGGACCTTCACACCCATAGGGAACCGCTGATAGACAGTGAAATGGAATCTTGCAACAGTACAGTAAAGAGAGAAATCAGTACCAGAAATCCTTTGGCTATATCTTACGGTTTGTAATAAAAATCAAGGCGATTCTGGGGAAATTATCAAACAAATTTCAGAGGGTTTAAGACTCCCACAAACCTCTTATATATAGAAATATATACAACAATTAGTCATCAAGGCAAAGCTATTTGGCTTATATTCGATTCCAGAGTTATTTTATATTTAAGGCGATACTTAATGCAAACCTGTATAGTATTGGATATATGTTTAATGTTTCTCGTATTGTGGACAATCTCTTCATGGTACAAAAAAAGAATCTCGTTAGTTTTCAAGAACAAACTAAATGTCTCTTCAATTGTAGGTAGCCACAAATATAATAATAAAAAATTGATAGATCTCTAAAATGTAAATTTTTCCTACTTTGTTAATGAAAAAATAAAAGTGGTGCGTACCCTAGAGAAGTAGTGTATTTCTAAAGTTAGTCTGGTGCCGTTGTTTTTAATATATATTCTCTAGATAACAACGTCGTACTCTAGCCTCCCACGCGGGCGATCTCAGAGGTTCGTCACGCGTTCCTGCCCCACGAACGTTGGGGAGGATTGCGTGACGAGCCAAAAGAACGTCTTCGTGGGATGGTAACACTTACATGGTGCCATTCCTCACCGTATCGTTAATGGCCTGCTGCATGGTCCCTCGCGCTTCGTCACCATTCACGTGCGTTTTGCTGGCCTCTGAGCGAAAAACGAAGCGCCTGGGGTGGGGGAAGGTTCATTTTTATCTTTACCCAGATGCCACTCTCTCTTTGCTCGTGGGCGATTGGCTCTGGTTTATACTGTAGTTCATTCGGTAGGTTATTTTAGAATCATACGTTACGTGTTATTGCTTCATTTCATTTGTATTTGACGGTAATCCTACGTATTCCAAGTCTTTCAAGACTAGAATCTGGGAGGCAGGACATATATTATTCAGAGGGACTTACCACGGAGGCTTTGATCAATCTCTACTGCTTATGGGTCGATCGTTGCCAGTCAAAGCCCGGCTACGTTCACTTCCGTTTAGAGAATGGAGGTCGCCATTCCGACCCTGTTAGATATGCTGTAACGGCGTCAAGTAAAAGACTTATTAGGCTGATTTAGCAACAGAACGGGAACGTCATTTGACGTCGGCGCGCGCAAATCAAACAACTGGCTTGACCAATGGCAGAGCGAGAAATTGGGAACCGGAAGTCGAGTTTAGTCTTTTTCACGCGCTTTTCCGTCGTCAAATGACGTTCACGTTCTGTTGCTAAATCAAATTATTAATCACTACACGTCCATACACGATGGCCTACAATGGGTCAAAAGACGTCTTTGTTTTCTGCTCAGGGAAAATTCTGCTTGGTATTGTTTCATGGTTTTTGTTCTTTTGTTTTACGTCATCTGTGTCCGGTACACGAAGTAAATGCCCTTCAATGAAAAAATTGTCCATATTGAGTCATCAATCCCAAATGTGAGCCATCTTGAATGTCTCATGGCGCTCCATCCCCAAAGGCAGCTCTTTTACTAAAATCCAGAAACATAACTTGAAATTGAAACGATAGTGATATCTATCACTTGCTTGAGAATTTCCTTTAAATCTGGGCCAAGTTGAAAAATACAGCACGCCGTGGACTTATTCACGACATGCATTTTAAAAGTACCATTGTCAGTAGAGTAAAAATGGAAACTGTTTACTAAACATGTCAGTGTGAAAGTGCAATGTTTACTCTCCTGAAGATACAAGTAATTTGCGCTAAAAGTGGTTCAGAAATAGCGAATGAAAAGTCATACCGCTAACCATATGTGACCTAATCAGGATTGGCTTCAGCTTCAGGGACAACGGTTACTCTATTACCCTGGTTTATAAGTAAATATTTTTTTGGTGGGTTTTAAATCGGGCTCTTTTTTTAAAAGGTTGTCCATACAGATCGACTGGGTAACTTTCTTCTTGAAGATTGCGTGTGTAAAGGAGTTTCATTAAATCAGGCTTAGTGTAAGCTAACAGGCAATAAATATTAAACAGAAATCTTTACTTTCCTCGACGAAAGGTCAGTGAGACCTCGATGAGAGTTTCATTAAATCAGGCTTACTACAAGTCAACAGGCAATAAGTATTTAACAGAAATCTTTACTTCTCTCGACAAAAAGGCCGGTGAAACCATCCTGAGATGTACTCGATAGCTTCGTTTTTAGAGAAATCGATAATTTTAAACAAACAAAAAAAAAACTTCGCCCTTAGGAAAATTCTTGGAAATCCCTTTATTTCCTATTTCCCTGCTACAATTGCAGACCAGTGTTGTTTTCTAAATGAGTTTTGCTGTCAAAACATTTTCCCAGATAATTAATTGACTTATAAGTAATATTAAAGCAAGAAATGAAAAACTTGACTTCATTTAAATCCGAGGATTTTAATCTAGTTTTCTTGAAATTATTGTTTGCTAATACTGCGTCAAAAATCTCTGTCGTTCATCGCTCTGATCTTCAGAGTTTGATAACAACGTCGACATTCTTGGTTTTTGAGATAACAATTCTGCGGCCGAAATGAGGGAATTGATTCGTCGTTACAAATTTTGACTGAAAGACAAAGTCCGTATTTATAATTAGAAATGTAAATTGAAGCTTTCTGTCATTGTTGTGTCATTTGTTTCGAGTGTATTCTGTGATGTTTCTGGCACGACCTGTCATAATGCATACGCTTACTGTTAAGTTCACTTCTTGAAGATCCCTATCGACTCATATGTGAAGAGATGAAACACACAACAACTTGTATCTTTAAGATGCTGAAATTTATGCGGTTTTTTCGCCGAGAGCGACGCTCCAAGGACGTCAGTGAGCACAAAGAGCCGGCTAAAGGTAAAATGAAGCTTTTTGTTGTTTGTGTTTAACGTGACATTTTAAAGTTTTTCTACGCAATTCTCTTGTTTTTAAAGTGCTTTCCTCTTTATTTATTTGTACGTACAAAGTTCCTCTCGGCAAAATGTTTAGATCGCATTTATTTCTTCTTCCATCCTTTAAAGTTATGTGTATTGAAAACGTAACAAAAGTCTTACCAATGAGTTTTTTGAACCAAGCCGAAGCCCTGTGAATTCTTAACCAAAAACTGAATCTGATTTTCGAAATGAAACGTAATCTTGCGTTTTTTCTTTCCTGTGTCAGTGTCTTAAAAGCAGATAACAGTATTCGCAGAAAATATTCATTTCGCAAGTTTGTTAATTATGAAGAAAAAAAGGTAGAATGAAAATTAATCGCTTTAAAATTAAATATCTCGCTTTGTTATAGGGCAAGTTTACAGCGGTCCTTTTAGTCATAAATTACTACTGTCCTCAGACGTGCTCAATTTTTCTGCGGTAAATATGAGAAAAGAAAACTGTTCGTACTTTCTTGTTTCATCATATATTAATGAAAATACTCTCGGATAGTTTAGTTAGCCACAACATGATAAACTGAAGAACGTCTTAGAAGGATTGACATTTGATATGAAAACTTTCATCAAAATGCATTTTTTCTATCATTTTCATAACAATCAGTGACCTTAAGTGAAATTTATTACACCTGGGTGGATTAATGAAGAGAGATATTTTAAAGATATTTTCCAGTCTGTTTTTGCTTGATTAATAAGTCTGCCTTCATCAGTCGTATTAGCATCTCGCTGGTTTTGCGTGATACTTCTACGTAACTCTGAAGTGCCAGACAAAATATATTATTTAAAAAGGTTTTTTTTCTGGTGTTCTCAATTCTTCCGCTATATTCTGGAGCAGCAAAAATTAAAATTATGCGCTTTATAATAGATCAGTTTTAGAAATTACGGGTTCCGTTCCTGTCCCCAACCGTCCACTGATCTCGACGTGAAGTCGTGAATTCGCACTGAAAGTACGTAAACAATCCCGGCCACGTAATCTTCACCTGACCGCGGAAGTCTCATTTTTGCGTGCAACAATCCATATAAACACCGTGGCAATTCATTGGTAAAGTAAATAACGTGTCAATGACTGCTAGGTTTTAATGCCCTCCTTCCTTTTTAAAGGTTAGCGAAAGATTTTCAACCACGACAAGTTTTTGATTCTACCAATTTGTTATTTGGTGTTTTAATAATTACTGCTCGTGTCCAGGCGCCATAATCGATCCCAAACTGTGTCGCACTGCATCATTTCCCGAAGATATCACGTGTCTCCCCAGCCGTTCCTCTGTGCTCTCAGTCACACGGAATAGGGTCTCCAGCCGAGATCCACTTCGTTCCCCGGCAGGATCTTTCTCCTTTACCTCTCTTGCCGTTGAAGGGAGAGGTAACTGGAGGTAAAGGGAACACTATGAGAAATAGGTTGGTGCTCTCCCGTCAGACACCGCCATCAAGTGTTTGAGGTGCTGCCTTTTTGTTTTGTGTGATTGTCTTAACAACGAGGCTCGCGGCAAGGATTGTTGTAAGAGTAGTTAGTTTATGTAAACGGTTAACCTCATGCCTAGCCGATCGGCGCTTCTTCCCTATCTCCTTAGAACTGAGCTAACTGGAGGAAGATGACTTTTTTAGCTTTTTTTTTAACCGAATTACTTTATCTTCGTGCATCGAGGCTGCTTTTGCGGCAGTAGCTGATAAATCGTGGTTCAGGGAGACTTTCGAGCCGATCGACCGTGACTTCATCGCCCGAGCTGAAAAATTTCTCTAAGAGTTCGTGAAAACGGGATCCTACAGAAGGTTTTGATTAATTCAAACATCAAGCGTAACGTCACCAATAGATTTTCAAAACAGGAAGAAGCTCTACTTTTCCTTAAAAGCATGACAAGGCAGGCTCAACTGCTTTGGAAGATCTGTAAGGATCCTAACAGTGACCAGTATCGATCTTCTTTCTCCTTAATCTTTATAACCGATCTTCTATCAGTCATAAAAGGGTGAAAATAGGGGACACTGCTTACCAGCGAAAAGACTTTCTCTTAGTTAGTGCGATATCAAGCAAAGGGAGAACAATACATGAAGACGATGTGGATATTCATCTATGTTAAAATGTACTTAGGCCAAAAGAGTGATTGTTGTATTTATGTGGGTGTAAGTGACTCACGATTTGAGTGTTATCGTTATATTTACACAGTTCTGTCACAATGTTTTCGTAACGAGCCACGCAGATAACTTTGATATCTCTCAATGTTGTGTCTCATTTCTTGTTCTTTCGCTAAGCTAACAGCGCCTTTTAACTGAAATACAATAGATACACAAAAAACCGTTATGGTGTAAAAGCCTTTGTTCTTATCATTTGTGCGTATCTCAGGTTGTAAAACATTTTTGCCAGTAGTTGTGGACTCTCTCAACTTTGCTTGTTAAGACTCACTCATTGTGGTATTTTACACACCTACAAGTAACGAGGGCCTCGCTCATGCACTGTAGAACGCGTATCAGACGGTTTTTGGCTGTTGAGGATCATCACAAAGATCTATAAATGCGTAAGGAAACTTGGGCCAGCCGCTTAGATAATTGGACAGAGGTAATGATACGCTGTCAAAAATAAAAAAAAACTCAGTCGAAAGTGTAAAGACCGACAGTTTGTTTTCTTTAAACTTGTGATTTCCATTGTTGTTCCCTCTTAGACTCTTTATACCACTTTAACTATACTTGCTAACATGTGGTACTTTCCTTTTCATTGCAATCTGCAATATTAAGGTTGATTTGGCTTGGTAAGAAGGTTCCAATCTTAGGCAAACCATGCAATCAGAAAGTCGACGAGCTGCGTCGCTAAAAATTGGACCTGAACCGGAATTTTCAAATTTTCTACACCGGGATTAGGTCAGCTGGTCTGGATAACGACTTATGACAAACGCAAAAAAGATTTTTAAAGTTGAGAATTTTATCAGACCTGCAAATGACATGCGCAGAATTTTCTTGGCGGGAGACAATGTCTTTCAAGAGAATCACTACATCTGCTAGTCCGACAGTGGAAAAAACGTCTTTATCACAGCCTCTAAGCAAAATCCACAGGGGAAATCGCTATTATAAAGTTACATACCGTATTTATTCGAATAAGCGCCCAATCTCGAATTAGCGCCCACCTCGAATAAGCGCCCATCCTAAAGGCAGAAAAAGTTAATAAGCGCCCAGCCTCGAATAAGCGCCCAACCCAACCCCACCCCCTTTCACCTCCCAACCGAAAAAAATTGAATAAGAGACTTCCCTGAGGACGGAGTTTTCTACAGAGTATTTTACAGAAACCTTGCTTTGTTACATCTTCGAGTTCGTTATTACCATTTATTGTTTTGTTGCAAAATAAACATACTACACTTTTTGAAATTGTGAAAATTTAATAAGCGCCCAGCCTCTAATAAGCACCCACCTCGAATAAGCGCCCACTCTCAAGGTCAAAAAATTTAATAAGCGCCCAGGGCGGTTAATCGGATAAATACGGTATTCATCATTCACTACCTTTTATTGGCAGCAGACGAATAACATGTTTTGGATCTCTGATGCCGGCTTATAGTGATACAGCACGTCATCACTCGCGAAGAGACATGTTTATTTATTTTTTGTTTAATTTCAGTGGGAATCGGTCCTTTTAGAAGTCCTATTTTGCATATCTTGATGGTGTTTTAGCACTTAATACCTGAGCAAAAATAAACCATAAAAAAGAATTGTTGTCGTTGACCATTTTCTGAAAAGCAACATTATCGACCTTAACTTCCGCTGGATATGTAAAATTTTAGTTATAACTTATGCAAGCAAGACACAAACGTGAGAAAAATATAAAAAATATTTAGATTGCTGGTTAAGGTTAATCAAGAGATAAGTCGTTTCGTGCTACGCTTCTAACATAATAATAATGAGGTTATATACATAAGCCAAAGTGCGAATTATTCCACTGTTTATCGTTGATCTTTGAACGTGACTGACAACAATTAAATTAAAGCTAGAAGCGAGGCCCCTCACACATTGTTAACGGACATAAAGGAGCCTTTTTTAAAGAATTGCTTTGTTGTCTGCGTAAAAAGCAACTGGACTGTAGGCCAAGTTCAATACAAGAACTTCAGAAGAATCAAGCAACACTTAAGCAACGACCTTGACAAACGGTAGAACGGTTTACACCGACTTTTAAAAAGTTTTGTTAAAAATTGTATTTCTTCAGCCTTAAGACAGGTTTTGAAAGCTCTGCTTTTGTCGTTATCATATCCACTCTTCCGTTCTTCACAGGTATCAATGACTAAATTTCATCATATCCTGTAATCATTATTGTACTTCCCTGGTAGCAGAGGTCTCTCACGACGAGAGAACAAGGAATCATTTTACCAACAGGGCTTCCAATAGCAAATTGAAAGAAAATTCTTTAAGGATCCATAAATTTTACCACTGGTCTTTGATTCAAATCTTGACACAATTCCACTCACTTTGAGTATCAATTATGAGTGTTTCTAGAAAACATTTTTTGGAGAGGTTCCTCACGTTTAAATTATTTTAACTAGCAAGAACTTTCACTGCATTTACAGCTGTACTTATCTTTGTTGAATTAGTTGCGTAATGTTTTTTCAAAATCCAAAAGGAGATTACGCAATGATTTATATTGTGAGCACAAATTAACTTACTAACTAAACAGTGAATATTTTTATTCCTAGTTTTTCATAAAAGTTTTTTTTAATTACGTAACCGTTAAGAACAGTGCATGCACATTACGAGAAGGTTTAAGGTTATTTTGCGGCATTATCTCTGCTTAATTATCTCTGAAAAAAAATGTGTGGTTACTCCCAGTTTTCTAAGTTGCTACCAAAAGTCCATTTTAAGTACCGCTTTTCCTTTTCATTTATAAACTACTTATCAAGTAGCATCATCTTTTTTAACCCATCAAAACAAGACAACGGATAAGAAACATTTCACCGACTTTTCCTCAGGCAATGAGCATTTCAGTTTTTGAACTTTCCAAACCAGTTTGGCCATTAACCTCTGAAAGCGTTCGGAATTGATAATAATCAACTATCAATTTAGGTTTCTGGTAAACTGCCCACCTACCCGTCCCCTAAGACAACATTATCGCTTGCTTCTCACTTAGGGCAGAATGTTGGCTTAGGGGAGGGGTAGGTGGGCAGTTTCCCAGAAACCTAAATCAATAATCACTTCTCTCCTTCTTTACAGAAATGAACTTCGTGAGTACCAAGAATATGGCACGAAGGCGAAAAAAGAAGAAAGCGGGGAAGGGAAGAGAGGTATACTATTTGGAAAATACAGCAATGGCTGATTCAACGAACGATATTGAAATTTGCACGGTAACAAGTACATTGCCAGCAGAAACAAGTCCAATAAAACATAAAACAAATCAAATGACTGGTTGCACGGAGTGTATCGCAAGCTCATCTGTGTGTGGAAGAGAAAGAACTTGGTCGAGATCATCGGCAGCACCAGTCTTGCATTCTACAGACTTTTGGGACAGGCATTTTGATGGTACCAACTCGGTCTCATGGAAGACTTTTCGAGCTGCATTTCTTGAAGATTACGGATGTGTTATTCAAGAATTCGCCCCTCAGAGAATCCACTGGATTTTAACCATAGTACACAAGGACATTTTTGCCGCAGCAAATGATATTCACAAGCTGTATTACGATAAGTTCTGCGGTAAATCACGCCACCCAGATCGTCTTTGGGTGAATATCAAGCAATACGCGGCCGAGAGGATTTTTCGGGAAGGTGTCATAGAGTCTATGTTCGAGTAGAGAAAAAAGGTCGATTTGACTTAATGGCCAGCTATTTGTATGCACGATCGCGTCATTTGACTGCTACTACCACAATTCATTTCGTTTTCTGATTTATATTCAACTAGTTTTGAATAACAAAAGCCCAAATTTGCACAAGAAAGCAAACCCTAAAGGGTTGCGGGTTGCGGTAGTAGTGGTAGTAGTAGTAGTGGTAGTGGTAGTGGTAGTGGTAGTGGTAGTGGTAGTGGTAGTGGTAGTGGTAGTGGTAGTGGTAGTGGTAGTGGTAGTGGTAGTGGTAGTGGTAATACTAGTAGTAGTAGTAGTAGCAGCAGCAGCAGCAGCACGTCATCATCATCATCATCATCATCATCATCATCATCATCATCATCATCATCATCATCATCATCATCATCATCATCATCATCATCATCATCATCATGTAGAATGACGTAATCGTGCAAGGATCAGCTGAAGCAACTTCCTTCATAGGGTGCTCGAGAGAAAAAGCGAGAAAAACATGGGAACGAGGCTGTATGGATCAGAAGCTGATTTGAGTATTTTACCAACGGATAAACGTTACCAGCATGTGGCTGTAGGAGGAACAAGAAATTCAACTACTACCAGCATGATTGTTAAATTTGGCCAGTGTTTCTTTTCCATTTCCTCTGCTGCTGTTGTTAACTCTGTTAAGTGTACTAGGAATCTTGGGGACCACTACAAAACACGTTTTAATAATAGCAATGGAGACTTGGCGAAGATATATTAATTAAAGTACAATTCGCTGGTTCTATCTTGAGTCACATCTCCTCTGGAATTCCAAAGATATACGCTAATCATAAAAAAGATAGTAATTAAAAACTGGTTCATTTAAATACTTAAAGACTTTGTTTTTTCGCTTTGTTTACCTTGTTTTTGTTTGTATTTTTATTATGTGGCTTTTGACAGTAACCTTCATCAGGAGCCGATTACTGTATCGGCTCCTGCCTTCATTCCGTATTTGATAGCCAATAGTTTTACAATAGAGCAGCCGAAACCTGATGCTAATTTGGCAATATTCTGTTTGGTCATGGTGGTGGTACCCTGGGTGCCAGAGGCTTTTTATGCGTGGTTTTCGGTTTCGGTTAAGTCTGAAAAAGTGACCCGCGCGGGCGAAGACGTGTTGGGCTGCGGCCGGCGAAGCGCCTTGTCGCACGCGAGAAAAAAACCTCTGGTACCCAGGGTATGTTGATGGATAAGTTATTGTGATATAAATTTAAAAAAAAAAATTTAAAACGTAAGAGTTATTCATCTAATGCTTCTAATTATTTAATTTAACTACTGAACGCGGGTTACGAAAGCTATAAAGAACAAAATGTTAGGCGGCTAATTACCATCAATTCACGGGGAGACCACAGGCATCCCAAACTCACTCATGCTAGCGCTTGTGTTCCCTAGGACATCTAGTAATTTTGCATAACGCAACGATTTTATAGGGTTCAGCCTGGAAAGAGAAATTTTGAAAAAATTCTTTATCTTAGCTTATTGACTTTAGAGAAAAGAAGTAAAATAAAAATACTTGTGTTGTCTTTTTCAAGTGAGTGAGGATGTTTGAACACTGTTTGATGGTGATTTTAGGACGTGTTGGGACGCCTGTTGTTACAACCTCGTCCCCAGGGCTTTTCCCTTAAAAAATGGACGAGGTTGCTGTTGTTAGTAACTCAACGGCCGTCGCTAGAAAAAAAAGGGTATTTTATTAAAAATCCAAACCTGGCAAAACGAAAAGTTGTTCGTAAAAGTGCTTTCAGTTATGAACACAAAAGAAAATTGTTGTGACAAGAAAAATAAACGGTTACATGAACGGTATTTGCCAGCAAGCTCTCTTATTTGGGAGAGCGAAGCGAGCCGCGCGAGAACGCGCCTCGCGTCTCCTCTCGCGTGCCTCTCGCGCGTCCACTTTTTACGATATTCCCCAAATAGAGAGCTTGCTTGCAGGCTAAGACCGGGGTTGAAATCACTCATGAGGTCGTGAGGTTACATTCTACTTATTTTTCTACCAACTGACCCTACGTGACGAAACGTTTTACAGTATTTTTTAAAATAGCAAAAGATCCTGATAATAAGTAACGAGGTGTTAGATACAAAATGGTTTCGATGTGAGAGAACTCAAAAGGCATGACAAGCATCATTTACATCCTGTGCGGTTACACATGACAACTGACACGAATCACAAGTTCCGCGCCCATGCAAGTGTCACAACATCACAAGATTTTCACGGTGTTCAAGACAACTGGAGGAAAACTACTTGTTTAACAAACGTCGAGCGCCAGAATATCGAAACGACCTCTGAGTTTCATCTTGGCCCTCAAAAGACAGAGTGCACTGCTCGGAATTTTGAATTTGAATAGTTTCACTCATTCGGCACGTCAGAGACTCTGAGAGGTCTGGAGGCAAGCATTGCCTTTAGGAAGGAAGTAAACAAGCCACCTCGAAAAAAGGCCACGTTTCTCCAGTTTGTTCCAAAAAATGTCAACTTTACGCTTGTTGGGGAAAGTCTCAGATAAAGCCTTTGTGTTTGTATTGGTTACAGCGCTCGTGACTGTGTGTGTAGCTGATGGAAAGGATTATACTACCACAGAAGATCGCGGGCAAAGGAGTGACGTGCGGTGCCGTATGGGGGAGTGCATGAATAACAAAAATATGTCTCAGAATGACCAGAATGACTGCTCTATCAATGACGACTGCTTAACCTTCCACGTTTGCTGCAAAAACAAATGCGTAGAAAGCCGTGGGGATTGTTTAGAACAGACGTGCACTTCAGACACTGATTGCCAAAGAAACGAGACCTGCTGCACTGGTTTCTGTAAGCCTGGAAAGAACTCATCATGTGCTGATCGGAAAAACGGTATAAATCCTGATGTGGCCGTGATCATTATGTTATGTCTCATGTTTATTTCCTTCCTGTTCTTCTGCTATTGCGGCTGCCGAGAAAAAGTTTTAGATAATCGTCTGTGTTCTTCATTAAGATCCACAGAGGTAACTGTGAGCACGAGCTTATCTCGAAGCCTTGAATTCCCGTCTAATCAGAGATTCAATACTAACGGTCCGTCCCTTCCATCTCGAAAACTCAAAGTTCACTTTTATCTGCCCAGAATTTACAACCCACCGCCTGTCAGTTCAAAGAAACAAGACAAAGCCTTTAAACCTGCACCGCGAACTTGGTATGGTGCTACTTGTGAAACAGTCTAACCTTACCAATCACTGTGTCTTTTGAGCTCTAATATAAAAAAAACATGTTCTCTGAACTCGTCTCCCTAGAACTTAGAAATTAAGACAAGTAACTGTGCCGGAGATTATTATTTTCTTTATTCGGATAATCTTTGTACCGTATTAAGCGGTGCAATTATTACGAGAATTTTTTAATTCCCAGACTGGAGAAAAGAGATTTTCATCCCGGTGAATTTTCGTCAACCTAAGGCTGTTTTGTAAATTCGACTCTCTAACAATCAACGCTATTTTTTTTTGGTGAGGTGTTGATTTCTTTTAAAAATTTCAGGACAAAAAACATCCTGTCGTTGTTGCTGTATTTTTGTTTTACTCGAGTGACAGTATATAGAGAGAAGAAGTAAACTAGAGAATCAATTCAGCTAAGGGGATTCTAGATTCCTTGATTTTAAAATGTTATATTATATCTCGACTTTTTTTTATGTCAGTCATTAAGATGGAAATGTTAGTTTAGTAAAGGGATTTTATCCTACCGTGAAATCAGTTTTTTGAGTCTGGCTCTGGCGCGAAAAAAACCGCACGAAATGCTGTCCCGCGCTTAGGTACCAATACGGGGCTTGCATGACTTCTCACGCCTCCTCCTAACGGGATAGCTTGCTCGCTGACTAATTTCAGGACAACTCGGATTAATATTAATCGGATTAATAATAATCCTAATGATTATTATAATCTAGTAATAGATTATTATAATCCAGTAATAGATTATTATAATCCAGTAATAGATTATTATAATCCATTACAGAGGTTTGAGCCGTGCCTTAAGCGATTAGGATTAATATTAATCTGATAAATATAATCCCACATAGCTCAAATTTGTACAAGTCTCTCAATAAAGAAAATATTCTATTCTAACCACGACGAATTTGCTACTTGTGCTAGTAGTTTGTGAACAAAACTCTTAATCAAATTCAGTCAATAACCGCACTCCTTATTATACGTTATTATATTTTAGTAGCAGAAGTCGGCAGTTGTCTCAGCTCTGCTGGTAATACAGTTGCAACTGAATTTTTTGTAAAAACACATGCCCACCGCACGGATTCGCTGGCCCAGAGGCGCTTGTTCCTTTTCATTTACTTCTAGGCTCAACATCGCTACCAGCTCTTAACATATGCAAGTGAGCGTGTGACTGATGTGATCAGTTTTATGTGCCGTCAGTCCCTTGTTCAGCGTGTAATATCTGCAGTTTGTCTGTCATAGCTCTGATCTGGATTATAATAGAGATTAATATTAATCCGGATGATTATTATTAATAATAATCTAATCCTTCCAATTTTTGCCGTGCCTTAATCTATTACTGGATTATAATAATCTATTGCTGGATTATAATAATGTATTATTGGATTATAATAATCTATTACCGGATTATAATAACCATATTATAATCTATTATTATTATAATCCACGGATTAATATTAATCCGAGTTGTCCTGTAATTTGGGACGGAAAGTGATCTGGCAAATCACGAGGGGGGAGTACTGACTCGTACCCAGCCTTCTCTTTGTCTTGGCTCTTGGCGCTGGTTAATTTTTTGGTTAGCCGTTTTATATAGTGCGCAAGGGGAACACGCGCGTGCGTCCTCTGAATTTCTCCCTTTGCCCTTATAAACCGGCACCTGATACACGGACCATCCCTTTCTTCGAGATGCCGGGAATAGTTACCCGGCACCGTCCCAAGCTGACCGAGTACAAATGATAAGAGACGGTGACTGGGGACGACTCAGGTGCGAGCATGTTACGTGGCTCCTTAGTTACGAGCAGTCAGTACGAAGGAAGTATCTTGGTGACGAACGTCTCTCTCCAGTTTCCTTTTCGGCTTGTTTGTTCTCGTAAATGCTCTTGGTTTTTAGCCCGTGAACAGGCTACTTGGTTTTTGGCCACCTCAGTTTTAAAAGCAGAGTAACACACAAACTGCGGCCACAAACATCAGAAATAACAAACGCATTGTATAACTTTTATAATATCATATTAAGGGTCACTTCTGAAGATGTAAGTTGAAGCATACGAAACGTCAAGTTAGATATTACAAAAGTCAGTTATACAATGCGTTTGTTATTTTTGATGTTTGTAACCGCAGTTTGTGTGCTATTCGTTTACTCCCTTTTCGGACCAGTTAAGCCTCGGGCCTGTCACGATTTTGCTTGTATCGTGCTGGAAAATTGCTTACTTGAATATCAAAAGTTGCTACTTAAATTTCAAAAGTTGCTACTGAAATTTCTGCATATTTTTATATTAAGGTCAATTTACAACGTCATCCCCAGGGTGCTTTTCCCTGTCTCAAGAGAGGGGCTTAACTGGTCCGAAAAGGGAGAAAACGAACTGAAAAGGAAACTGGAGAGAGAAGTTCGTCACCAAGGTGGATACTGCACCACTGGCAAGTATAAAGGTCACGTCCTTCGTACTCTTTCGACTGCACGTATGCTCACACCTGACTCGTCCCCAGTCACACAGTCTCTTATCATTTGTACGTGGTCAGACAGTCACGCGGTCACGGAACGGTGGCGCGTAACTATTCCCGGCCGGCATCTCAACGAAGGGAATGGTCTGTGTATCAGGCGTCGGTTTTTTGGAAAACCGATTTTGAGAAAAACAAAAGCCGACTGATTTGAAATCTAATAGATCAAATGCTCAGTTGGCAAAAATTATCATGTAACGGAAAAGTAACATCTAAACTTTGCGGTTAGGGGATCAGAAGGTCCATCAGTGGTCCATTGTTGCAATCAAGATTCTGTTCCACTCGTTAGGGTTTGGTATTATCAAAGTAGTTCAAAATGTTGATAAAGGTCGTTAGAACCGCTTCCTTTACCCAAAGGGTAGAGAGACTACAAAAAAGGTATGGTGACCAATGCTGAGAACCATCAAATCCGCAAGAAAAACTGCCGCAAAGCAGGATTTTGTCTGCATAACTGAAGAAAGACTATAAAAGAATGACTAATAAGGAAGTTGAAGTTGACGTTTCTAGACTCACAACACAAAGAAGGACCTTCATTCCACAGGGACGCAGCGTTCAACGAAGAGGTGAGAGTAAGACCCTCGTCCAGGGTGGGAAGGGGAGAGGAGGGGAGGGGGGAAGGGTCAGCGGATCCTTGACATTCTAGTGGCCAGCGGTTTCTTCTTCAAAAAGTAAGAAGATAAGATGGCGATAGTGCGGAATTTCTTTTATGGTTTGCTGCAAATGAGGAGGCATTATGCCCGGTATGGTTTCAGTTATCTTTGACATTGACTAGTTGACTCATTTTTCTGTTACTTAGTTCATGTCATGCTTTCAGACTGGCAGAAATCGGGCGTTTTCAGGAACTTAAAACCAGCGGAAAATATGAACCTGGACAGGTAATAAACTTCAGCTTTCGTGACGACTTAACGGTACGATGACGATAGAGAGTTGAGAATTTTCACGCTGTGCGAAGGGAGGTGTAAAAATTCTAGGGAAAGGGACTAAATTAGTTGCCTAAACAACAGAATGCAGGGACTGACTTAGGAATCATCCCATATCATTAAAATTATGTACAAAAGCATCTATTGTTGAGCTCACATGTCACGTTCTTCAAAGCCCTCGGACAAAGTGGACGTGAATGTTCCTGAATCACGATTCTCCAGAAAATCTGAAGAAGAAAGAGAACAACACTTAATGGGCGAAAACTGATTTCTGGATTAAAAGATTCATCTTTTATGTGGCACAGCTGTGTGAATGGGTAGATAATAGGTATGGGATGAGGTTGCAGGAGTAGCCCCCTCTTTCATTGGAGGAGTCCAGGATTTTGGGTCACATGAGGCACAACTTTTATCTTTGTGAAAAATGTGTTTCATGAGATGAATACTGCAAGATCCTTAAACATTTGTTGCCCAGATTGGTTTGAATTTAGAAGCATGCACTTTTCTAATGACTTGAATTGTTCCTTTAATTTTTGCATAGCTGTTCCTTCACAGAATATTTGGCTACAGAGGCGTCATACTTTTCACGTGGACAGCAAGGGTGTATGATCGGGACAAGGAAACAAGAGAAAATGAAAAGTTAGTCACAGCAAAAGGCTTTAACCCATTTGTCCTTGGCACATTTTCCAACAATGGGCTATTGCATTTTATATCCGTACCCCCCCGCCCCCCCGGTTGAGGACTTACCTTTTCTTCTTACCCCTGATGAAGACTTATATAAAATATGGCTTTACCCCTGAAGACCTGGATCATACCCCTGAAGAATATGGGTTCACCCCTGAAGGATTTTGTGAAAATTAAGGCTTCAGCCCCAAAGAATTCCATATTTTTTTTTACTCTACACCTAAAGAAATCCTCAATTTTTTTTAACTTACCCCTGGAGAATTCCATGGTTCCTCAACCGGGGGGTGCGGATATTAAATGCAATAGCCCAATGCCATTTGAAACATGTCTGGTTAAAACCTGGCCGAGATGGATGACGCAGCCTCTTGTTCTTGATGATAAATATGTACTCTTGATGGTAAATACTTGTGCCTGCCCAAGCTTGGAAGGCTCAAGTGCTTATGTGCCAGGGCTGTGCTCTTGCTGGTTGGGGTGATAAGTGCAAAAAAGAAGGTCTCATAATTTCAGACCTGTAGCAGTTGGCATCTCCAGTTTATACATGTATGATAATTTATGTGTACCTTCAGGTCATTAATGCATGTTATTCTGTTAACAGGTCATTTGAAGAGAATGGATCTTTCAATCCTGGGAAAGAAATAAAAGCTGAAACACAGACTTATTACCAGGCACTAATCGATAACAGGGATTCTCCATTTATTGTAAGTTTCAGTTTCCTTTGTCATAAAACAATTATCCTTATTAATAATGGTAGTACGACTGAGTGGAGTCCAGTTCCATCTTTAACCATACGATTGATTAATCAAAATTGGAAAACTGTCTACAGGGTGTTGGATTTGGTTAATTACGAATATGATTTTCGACCAAATTGAACGACATGAAGTTCTGTTACCAATGATTTATAATCATGACTAAAACAAAAGTTGTTATAGTTTAAACTTTTCTTTAAATTAATACACAAGATCTTCTGAGAGTTTTTTGCTACATGAGAATAAAGAACCTATTTAACAGTTTGGGATAAATTATAGGCTAGTAGGTATTGTGAAGTAGGTACATGTACACAGGTCAGTGTGTTTCAATATGGGGTGGACACGACCCAAGGGCCAGCTAAGGATCAGCAATTATGTCATCTTTATGCTATTTTTTTTTATTTCAGAGAGCTCAACCTGAGATTGTAACATTTCTTGGGTATGAAAGTGACAATGCGCTCTACTCAATTCCAGGCAAGCACATAGTTAAATCTGTTTCTCTTTAACAATTTCAGAAACTGTAACTTGAACCGAAATGTACAGAATGGATCTAAAACTGCCAGTCATACATTTACTTATATATCCATCAACATGACCTTAAAATTACTGGTAATGTTGGTGAAAGTGCTGGTTTGTAGAAGTGTACCTGTAGGCTCCTCCCTGTGTAACTAATTCTTATGTTACTGTATTTTAGGTCTGGACTACATATCTCAAGAAGATGTTCTTCCATACACAGTTTCAGATGCATTTTCTCGTCCGATTCATCATGAGCTCTTTGACAGATTCTTGTATCCTGAACCAGGGAAAGGTATTAAAAATACCAATGATGAAATAAATATTACCTTTTAATTCCAGCACTGACTACAGTCGCTGAGGTCAAAGATGGTGTAAAAAGAAAATTATTCACGATTGTCTCCATGCAAGACAGTGGTGCATTAGGTTATCTTTTGCTGCTTTTTATGCAAAAATATTCATAAAACAGCTATGCAAAGACCAAACTGACCAGTCAGAGCATGCACTTTTGTTTTGTTATAGAAGTATTTTTTTTATGACAGGCATTCATTATTCATACTAAGTGTTCTGAAATACAAAGGTAGCCTCAAATGCAGACATTCCTTTGAACTGTCACACATTCCTCAAGGAGCAAAATGTTACAAAAGGCTACTGGAAACCTTGACTAATAGTGTGGTTTTGACTATAAATTTCTTTTGTCTACTGTCAACATTATGTTCGTAGTCTAGAAACAGGCCGGTTATTGCATATTGCATTAACTTCTGTCAAAAAGTGATATTTTTGTACGTCCACTGTACTAGTACCACCTTTCGCACCTCGTGAGGCTCTTCAAGCATGGCAGGAAAAGAACCACAAATGGTTGGAACTGACAGATGTGCACAGAGAAACACATTCTAATGTTAGGATCACTGTCATGCCGTTTTACATGGGAACTAAGGTGTGCAACTTTTTTCCGACCTCTGTTATTTTGTACTTATCAATGGAAAGTATTTAGACATGTTTACCAGGTCTCCTTGAACTTGTGTGTATTTAGCCACAAAAATACTGTGAATGAAGAAATAACTGAACATATAAACAAATAGATTTGTGAAAAAATACATATTATTATAATAAATCGAACTGAAGGAACGCCTGAAGAAAATTTTTCTTTAACAGATTCACTTTAAAATGCACTGCTAAAAACTAGGAATTCTTGGCTATTTTAAAAATTTTTTTTTTCAGTTTCACCGACATGATTCTGTAGATTTAGAAAAAAAAAGAAAATGAGAAAATGAGAAAAAAACAGATGACTTAAGGGAAAATGCCGACTGCAACTATAACACCTTATCTTTAGAAGAACTGACTGATTTTGTCATACTTTCAGAACAACCTCTCATCCCAGGACTACTGGGTGAGTATTTATATTTCCTGTGTTATACATAACCTCAAGTTTCTTTGAATGCTTAAAGGGTTGATGATTTTGATTTTATCACCTCCAAATAGCAGCTCTTCTACCATATTCCAACTTTGGTCCCAGGGTTCTGTCCTACCCATCCCTGTCAAGTCAAGATTGACCATCAAGATTGACCATATTCAGCGTGCAAAGAAAGTAGTGTACGATAGCCCGGGGCTAGTGGATTTTGCTATTGGGCTAGTGAATTCTGTTTTTAACTTGCCTGACAGGCAAGTGATGTTTTTTGAAAAATTCGAATAACAGAAGAACTGTGAAGTCAATTCTTCCCGCCAAAAAGCTTTCGGGGCTAGTTGTAATGACGTCTGGGCTAGTAAATGCTAGCTTTAGCTTGCCCGAATAACAAGCTGTAAAAATGATTTTCTTTGCACCCTGCATATTCCTGATCAAACTGGAATTTGAAAATTTTGGTTTTTGAGTAGAGGAGAAAAATGTCTTGGAGCAAAGAGTACAAACAAATAGATGAATAAACTCATTGGCATCACTGCCATTATTAGCACTCATTCATCCCCAGTCCACACTGGAGGAATGTGAGTGATGAAAAAGTAACTTTGCCACCCTTTATACCCATATTATAGAGGGACACCAAAAAATTCCCCTCCTTATTTCAGGTAGCCTGTGTGGAAGGCGTTCTAAAGGGAAGAGAAAGGCAATCTGGTGCATGGGAGAAGGGAGGAACCTTCCCTCTTCCTTGCACACCATTCGCTCTTCTCGCGAGTCTGAAATCCCCTTGTCCTTCCCCTCGGAATGCCTGCCACGCATGGTATATTTGAGGCTTCAGAGTTTCAACAACAGTAAGTTGGTTGTCACCTTGCCTTTCTTAAAGACCCAGATAACAATGACTGTGTATGAGACTATAGAACCGAGTTAGTGGCCTTAAAGTTCAGTTAGAATAAAGACCTGCTGATAGGCTGGAATGCAGCTTATTTTATTTGCTGACTAATTATTACACTTCTCACAAGATTAGATGTTATTGTTTCAGTGGCGATACTGCATCAGAATTGAGAATCTTGGACAGGAAATTGTTCAACTTCGAGAAAGACACTGGAGAATATTTAGTCTGTCGGGCACACTGGAGACTGTCAGAGGGAGGGGTGTGGTGGGACAGGTAAGGCTTTTTGGTGAAAAAAGACGCCTGAAGAAAATACACAATCTTTCTTTCCAATCTTTCTTACCGCGAGGATCATTTCCACTTTCATATCTTTATCCGCAGTTCAAAATATGAGTCATTTCATATATTTCCGCTTACTTTCCTCTGCCAAGAAGGGTTTACGGTCATCTCGCCACCATCCAACTCGCCACCAAGAAGTCAGCTCGCTGCCAACCAGCTCGCCACCAGCTGTTAAGTCTGCGTAGATTGGAAGATTGGGAGCAACAAGCCAAGCACCCCGGGCATAACAATCCACTGGTCGACGGGGGTTATCGTTTAAGATCTTGTCTTATCTTAGGCGAGTAGACTGTTTTTTAGTGGCGAGTTAGAGTTTACTTCTTAGTGGCGATTTCGTTGGTTGCGAGATGGTTTGGTGGCGAGGTGACCGGTTATCGTCCAAAAGACGCCCTAGGAACAGGTCTGAATTTTCGAAAATTTTCTCTTAAGGTAGAAATCATCGTTGCCTTGCTTTCTATTTCTGAGATCCGTATTGAAGGTAGATTTGTCTTCTCCATTTTTTCCGAACACAACTAACAAGCTCTTAACAAAAGGTAGGAAAGTTAAAACTGTGACGCAAATGACATGTGGCTGTTTAAAGATTAAGGTATCTCGGAAAGCCGATTAAAGTTAAAAATAACTCAGACGTTTCGGGAATACTGTCCCTTTTTCTGTGAGGTTTTAAACAGCAAAAAAAGGGTTAACGTTAGAAAATGATTTCTCTGCTCACGATTATCTAAAACAAGGCTGAAAATAAGTTACTGACGCCGTTTTGTGACTTATATAGGAACCTGTCTTGTCACCAGAGCAACCAGCTTTCCAATATAGCAGTCACGTGTCATTACAGGCACCCAGCGGAAACATGTGGTGAGTAAAGAGTAAGAAAAAACATTGAACCCGTGCCGCACGGTATACTGTCAGTATTTGTATGTTATAAGTGACTTAGCCTGTACACAGACCCTCTATTTTCTCTTTAGAGATCGTCGAGCGCGCGCATATCACTAGAGACCTTTATATATATTCTAGAACGAGGACGAAATTCGACTTAAAGTTTAAGTCGTGTATTTTCAAAAAAATATACACCTCAGAAAGCTTCATTGAACTTTTTTGCTCCAGAAAAGTTGGTAATACTGTATTATTCTGATTGAAGCACGTTAAGCCGTCTCCTGATCCTAAAATTATAAAACTTCTAACATTTGATAACTTGTTTCCGCCACTATGACATTCTCGCTAAGGCCTGATTTCCACTGTTGTGTAATTTTTGCGTGGGAACCCGTGTAAAATTTACGTACGTAAATTAAATTGAGGCAATGTCTGAAAGGACACGCGTAAACGTGAAAGTTGAGCGAGGTTCAGCTTTTAGGTGTACGCGTGACCCGCCATACTGTTCTATTTTACTTTCGCGCATAAAAATTTCGTGCGTGCGCACGTAAAAATTACGCGGTAGTGGAAATAAACCCTAAAACTCGTAGTAGAATGACGACGGCTACCACTTTTTCCCGCTAAAATGACGCTGGTTCAAGTGCTCACACTACGTAAAGGTCTCTAATATAAAACCGCCGGGGATTTATTGACTGCAAGCTCAAGGAGGTGGGGGTGGTTAAAGGAAAAAGGAGTTTTTTTCTGTTTTTCTGGCGCTTCGCGCTCGTTCTCACACGCTGTCAAATTCTTTAAAAAATAAAAAAAAGAAAGGAAAACATCCCTGGACAGGCTATAAGTGACTTGGTTTGGAAACACTATTCCACTGTAATGTCATACATTTACGGAGGAGAAACAATACTTACTATTCATCTGTACGACAGATTTCGTGATGATGGTTGCTTGTTATTCTTGTTAATACTTATTATTTTAGCTCAGGTTTGACTAAAAAATGGTATGACAGCCCCTTTAAGTAGCCTGCAGGCACTGTCTTATTTTAGTGGAATGACAGGCGAGAAGCGGGTTTTTGCTGTATTATCCTTCTTATCGTTTTTCTTTTAGGGGGAAATTCCGATTTGAGCGCTCAGATGGCAGCATGTTTGAAACTCCAATTCCTCCCTTCGCATTGGACAGCAGAAAAGAAGATACACCGGAACCACCGAGAACGACTTGAAAAAGACACACGAATCATTTAAAGAATTGCCATAGGCTTTCATTGAAGTCTTCACTACCACAACCGCGTGATAAGTCTGCGTGGCGGGCCCTCGAATACACCTTTTTAGCTTGTACGTTTTTCCCCATTTCAGACCACGTGATAGTAACCCAGAGAACTCTTTCTATCAAATATCGTCCTATGCCAGGAGCCCATGGGCTCCTGCCTAGGCACGTGGAAGCAAGTGTATGTGCATTTATAATTTATGAAAATCAAAAGGCAAATTCCCTGAAAAACATCACGTGGTCCGAATTTGGTAACCAAACATACAAGCTTAAAAGGTCTAGTGGAGTTAAGGGAGAAATTGAGCGTGCACGAACCCGAAGAACGCTCGTGGGAGGAGTTGCTACTTTGGCTTTGTTATATCTCCCTTGCTAGGACCCTTGGGAGCCCTCGTCGTTCTCGCGCGATGCCATTTCCCCCCTCCCTACTCCTTTCGATTGCCTGTCACGCATAGGTCACCACGCGCGACGTAGTTCCCGATACAGATTGTTTGCAGCATGGCCGCCTGCAAATGACAACGGATACGGACATGTGAAGCACTTATGGCCGAAGATGTCGGATAAAAAAGCAGTATAATGACAACGTAAATGAACTCTTGTAGGTGTTTCCTTTTTGCGCGCCGAATTTTTTTTCTATACTGTATTTTCACATACATTTTTGGCCCCATTTATATGGAGAAAAGTTGTCCGGGTAGAAGCGTCACCTGCCCACCCGTGCAACGCTGAGCGAGCCAACTTTACTCATATCTCCTTACAAAACATGGCGAACCGTTTACACGAGAAAGAAACGTTGGCTCGGCTATAAGGGTGGAGCTGATATTAGGAGCACTAGCCCTTTGCTAAGGATAGCACTTAGGGCCTGTTTACATGGAAGTGGGGGACCTCAGGTAAGTGAGGTAACCCTCTTATGCGGGGTAACCCGCCTGTCCATATAATCTCATTTAAATGTGATCAAGTCTACTTGATAGGTGGGTGACCCTCCATATGTACATGTTACCTCACCTATCTGGGGTCCCCAGCTCCATATAAACAAGCCCTTACAGCGTCAGCTTTGCCATCTACATAAATCAGTCTTATGTTTACTGATAACAAGGCAATCCTTGGACGACAAGTCGGAGATAATTTATGATTTCTAACCCCCACTTTTTTTTAGTCATCTTTATAAGAACTTAAATTTTTCCGTTCCAGATTGCTCAGTCGATCGATATTTCCATTTATAAATTGTGAATACATAGTGTATATATTATTTGTAGGTGGACGTTACTTTCTCCAAAAACGAAGTAACCATTCATATAAAAAAAACATTCCTATATAAAGAAGCAATAATGACTGAATAAAAATGTTGTTTATACTGTAGTAATTTCGTATTGTAGGAGGTGTTCCCTATATAGTCTAATTACATACAGAATCAATATCGTCATCTGCAGTGTATTTGCTTTGGTTCAGTCTTAGCCTTTCTGTCCTGTTTCCCGCGTGTTAGAAAAGAATCTGATGATTTCTGACGTCAAAATGTTTAAACTTCAAGTGGAACCACAAGCCGTAGCCGAGTGGTTTCAATGTAAGTGACAATTAGGCTCCAGTTGTTCAAAAGTTTGATAGTGTCATTCACCAGATAAATCACTATCCAGTTGATAAGTATTTGGGAAACCAATTGCGCTGCTGTCAGTGCATAGAGAGTTATCTGGTGGATAGCTCTAACCACTGCCTCGTACCCAGACGTCTCTCTCTCGATGAAAATGTGCGCGCAAAGGAAGGCGGGAAGGAGACAACGGGCGAGACGGCGCTTCGCCTGCCGTCCGGACGCTTCCCATGGTTCCTTGCCGGGTTCATCACCAGACGCTCGCCTCTAGCTTGCGAAAAACGATCGAAGCGCCTGAGGAGGAGGCTGCGCTAACCACCTTTTGAACAACTTGGGCCAGTTGTTTATAAGTTGGGTAGTGCTATTCACCAGATACATGTACACCACTACCCACTGGATAACTATCGGAAATACCACCATTGTTATTGGCTGGATACAGATTTATTCGGTGTAACCACCTTATGAATATCTGGGCGTTGCGAGTTCGCCTGGGTGCGAAACAGTGTGGCTACCCCCTCCCCTTCTTTGTAAAATCCTAGCTAATAGGCCCCTGTCTTGAAGTCATATCGTCGAACGTTTCGATCGTTCCACTTTATTACTAGAAGGTATAACAGTATCTTCTTAAGTATGGTCGAACAGTTCTTTGATGCTGCAAAAGTCATTTTTTCCGAACACCTACAAAATGTGGTAACACATACTTATATTGGGAAAATATATATAGAATTTCAAAAAGTCTTTACTCCGCTTTGCAGTCGACCACTTCGTAGTCTAAAAACCTCGCTCCACTGGCTTTACAGCCTTTCTCATTGCTGTGTAACTCTCGAGGTTGACAGACTTGTTGCAAGTCTTCACGAAAACGTAACTAAGCACATTCAAACTAGAGAGAGAACACTTGTCGAGAACACAAAAACTCTTCTTCATCCATTTTTTAGACCTGACAGTTTTTGAATTCTTAATTAAGACAGAGTAATTTTAGAAAGCATTGTGCGTGACAATCTAATACTGATGCGAAGTCATTAACTGTCTTAGGACGTGTAAAAAGGGTTACCCAAAGATTTTAAGCCGGAGAAATATCATATATCAAGGAATTTAGCAGGAATTAGCAGAAAAGAAAAAAAAATTATTGAAACGGGTTCTAATCTGATATAACTTTTAAACAAATTTTCTCTCCTGCAAAGAAAATCAAATGCGAGCATGCAAATCCCGCACGTATTGAAACTCAGCACTCCTGGTGCCTAATACAAGTAAGGACAAATAAAATACGAATCGTCTATCACTTTAAATATCGGAGTGCACACTGTCTTTCAAAATCTTTTTAATTTAAAAGATCTTAAAACCCCTGCGCGTCGTAATTACTAGGCAACGCGTGGGAGCTGCAACTATTTTTGTGCGACCAAGGTTATATAAATTAAGAGCCTACGTTTATTTGTCAGCGCTTAAAAGCACCTTCAAGAAGTCGTTTGAGCGAAAATGTTGTGTTATAATAATGGCTCTTTAACACCAAGAAAGAGCAGTAAACTGCTAATGACGTCATCGCAGTCGAATAGCAGCAAGGCTTTTAGTGGGAGAGAAATTTTTTTAGTGAGCGTCTTGCTGTCTTGGTGACCAGTCAAAGCGCGAAAATTTATGAAGATGCTTTGTGGCAATAAATGGATAGGGTACTAAGGGCGCGTGGGCATTGCTTAGTGCGCGGAGTGCGCAACTAACTGTCTCTCAGTTACGTTACTGCGTAACTGCTATTTTTAGCGCGATTGTACCCCTCTACCAAATATGGCATGTGTGTCCAAACATAGAACAAGCGGCTTTCCCTCTTGTTGGGCACTAAGGGCTCATTGCGCATGCACCAGGTTAGTTTACTCACAACACTCAACATGGATTCGGAATTTTATAGAATCGTTATCGCAATTATTAGTATGCGTCGGGCTTATTAGCGTTAAAACATCCACAAGCTATATTGTATCTATTGACCAGTTTGTTTCCAATGCTTTATACGCGTTATTTCTTGGAGGAAATGCACGAAGACGCGATCAGGTTTTGGGAACCCTTTTTGCGGCAACAGAGGTGTCTTTTTTGCAAAGATCTTTGCAAGTGAAGTGAAGAGATTGTTGTGTGGTGTAATATTGCTGCGGCAAAAATGCCATCTTCTAACATCCCAGTCCCAGAGAGAGATACGGGTAACTCTCCATCCCGTAAAAGCAACGTGGAGGACTTACGAAGACACAACACCAAGCTGCGGTCGGATTTGGAAGCCGAGCGGGCGAAAGTTCGGCAAGTTTTGCGGGATAAATCTGCAGAGATAAAGAGAATTCAAGAGAACTTTGAGAAGGAAAAGCAGAAAGCGGTAGAACTAACTACAAAGCGGTTAATGAACGAGCGTGCTGCAGAGATAAGGAGAGCGCGAGAAAGTGCTGTCAAGGAGAAAGATAACGAAGTCAGACAAGTGGTGAAATTTAAAGAAGAAGAGGTCAAAACGATGAAACAGCAAATTGCAGAGGAGAAGGAGAAAAATCGGAGCGCTGAAGAAGAGTTGAGAAGAGTCTTAGTGGATAAGGGTAAGGAAGGAGAAGATCGTTCGGAAATTGAACGAAAATTACGAAGCGAAATTGCTCTGCTTAGGGACCAAAAACAAAAGGCGGACGAAATGTATCGTTTGAAAGCTGCAGACGACAACGAGAAGGCCGAAATTATACGACGCTTAAAAGCCGAGCATGATGTGGAGCTTCAGAAATTTCTAAAGGACTCGAAACGCGAATCAATCCATAGTTTGCAGCAAAGGAGGTTAACTGAAAGAGCTTTGGAGGAAAAGGCCCACGAACTCGCGTTCAAGGATCACTTAGCAAGGAAACTAGAAGCTGAGAAAGATGATTTACAGAGAAGGTTATCACACTCAGGCGATTCGGAAACTTTACGATGGTCAAGTCTACGAACGGATGAACGATTGGATGAGAGTGTAAGTAAAATTTTAATTTCAGAATTTGGAGGCTAAGTAAGAGAATACAACCCTTTAAAACTAGGTTATCTTTTGTCAGTTTTGGAGTGGATTTTAATCGCTTAATTAAAATTATGCTTTCCTTCTACTCTATCGGCAAAGTGTAAATTAAAATCCATACAAATTTCAATTGTCCCTGTCTTAACAATATTATAGAAATAAGCTTATTCTTTTTCGGCCAGATTTTAATAATATTTATGTCTGGGGATCAGTACTGGTGGTGTAGTTAAGCTCGTGATATGTAATACATTGTTTTTCCTTCCGTTAGCGATGTATCAATATAGCCGTAGTAAACATGTATTTTCTCATTGTGCAAATGGGATTAGAGAGGGTCGTCGATTGATAGGAAGATGGCAGTGTAGCGTGAATAAAGTAGTTTATCGTGATCTTAAGTCGAATTTTTGTTATATCACTTTACAATAAACCTTGTTGGGCTCTGAATATAATCGATCCTGCTCAAAGCAACTCTCTCCAGCTTCTATGATTACTCTGTGGATTTCGGGTTTCTTGTTTTGGTCGTTCAAATTCCTTTGCGACAAGCTTGTGAAATGACCAGTTTGGTTAAATTTTTATCTCCTGTCAAAAAAATGTACGAAGCACACAGTTGAGTGAGGTTTGAGAAAAATTTCATATTTCCAAAGATAACTTGATACATGTAAATTTAAAAATCCATTAGTACAAGATTTCTAAAACTTTTCTAGCCTTAAGATTTGTTTACAAAGTGTGCTAACATGCGTGAGCTAAAATTAAAGTGTATTGTTTCAGCAAGATCTATTTGCTTAATTGTAGTAATAAAAAACTTAAATTTTTCGTGTAAAAATTCACCAGATTTATTTGGTACAATGTACATGTACCATTATGAGAACTTTAAATTTTTTAATGACGCTTCATCAATTATGGCTAATGACAGGCTAAGAACTAATGTGTACAGTGTAGTGCACTGATGCAAATTTGACAGTAATTTGAATGCTTTTGATTAACTTGTCTTTTTTTCTCTCACGAATCAGTAATATCATAATCAAAATTAGATCTTGTGTTTCAATATCATCACCTTACAATAATTTTCTCCAGGCTGTTATCCAGTATTTTCTGGCATGAATGTCTAAAATGATTATATTCCTCTATTAATCTTAAATTGAATATGAATTATACATTTGCCATTAAACCTACATGTAGCTGTTTCGTAGTTTCCAGTCATCAGTACACTTTTAAGAAAATTGTCTATTCATTGAGGTGTAATCTGGCACCCTTTTTTGGATGGCTGTTTAGTAATGAGCCTACCAGAGCTGAAAAGAATAAATATCAAGAACCAATTCAACTTACATGACTGATAGCTAGATTCTTGTAGCGTCAGTGTGGAGCCCCTCAAGCGAGGGCATGTTATTACAGTTTCTTTATATGTTTCCTGTCCATTATCTATGGTATATTATGTAACGAGATAGATACTATGTTCTGACAGACTGCGACAAGTGACAACATACCAAATGTCCATAAAAAACCACATGTTTGCAAGGCAACACCATTCTCCACGGCATTCTCGTTGTAAAGTGACTTCTAAACTGAATGCGCACTTTTTCAAAAATATGAGACAAGTATCCTAGCAGATGAGGTTGGTTCAGTGGCCACAGGCAAAGTCTTGAAATTTTACAGTTATGGCTCAGGTATTGTTGAAAAATGACAGGAAACTCTCTTGCCAAGATTTAGCATGCAAATGTCATTAATGTCATGTAAGTTTCCATATACTGTAATAACCTAAAAAGTTCATCCAAGTGTTTTATTTTTCTTAACTGACTTATTTTTGCATGGCTTTAACCGTTTAATTGAGTTTTGTTTGGATCTTTCTTTGACTTACAGCCTCTTGCAAAAAAGGACAAAGAAAGAGAACTAAAAAAGAGAAATGCTGAACTGCAATCAAAGGTGGAAAGCTTGGAGAAGAAGTGTGCAGTATTAGAGGTAATAGCATCACTGGCATGTTTTGCACCAGTTTGTATATTTGGAAATTACAGATTGGTAAATTGAGACTTGTGATAATTTACTCCCTTGAAATATCATTGTAACACAACATGGAAAGAGATCGATGCTTCTTGGTGTTACATGTATTTTCCTTTTTCTTATTCTTAAGTTTTTAAACAGGTTTAAGTGCTTTTGATTGAGTATCCAGGTAACTAATAGGCTGTATTGTTTTAGTGTATGTAGTTTTTGTCATCCCTGAACAATTTGAAATTTTTGTGACTTTTCTTGAAGGCTGAAATTATCAGGGGTCAACTGCACTGAATTTCGATTTCATAGACCTTTCCTGCTTTCTTGTGCACAAAGGCACTATCTCAAAGCTTGGGTGGACAAAAGTACAATATTCAGTGATTTGTATGAAATTGTCTACCTGACCCTCAACCTCATTTCTTTGTGTTTGCCCACTGGAGTGGAACATGGGAAAGGTCTATTGTCTCTCCCACCCCTACTTAAGAACACCAGAGTTAACATATCATGAAGCATTAATTTCTTTTGTAACTGTCTCCTTATAAAAAGTACAATTATACGTCATGTTGCTGAGATCTTCATAAACACTACAGTAATTTTATGATGTGCTCTTTCATTACTGAACATCTTGAAAAAGGAACATGTTGTTTCATTTATTTAAGGAATGCATTACATGTGCAGTTGTTCTTTTTTGTGCAGAAAGAGGCTTCAAAGAGTGGAAACTTAAAAGTGACTTTTATGGCTGAGGAAAAAATAAAGAAGCTTAAGAAGAGGAATTCAGAACTTGTGTCCATTGCTCGCCAGCTTGAAGATAAGGCAAAGAAACTACAGGAAGAAAAAGTAACTGCACAGGTATGTTGCTCACTCTTTAAATATTGCCTAAAATATTAGTGGAAAAAGACATGAAATGTAAGATTGATGTGAGTAGAATTCTTTTCTTTGAAGGGGCATAATATGCTTGTATTACTATTACTAATCTTTATAACATTTTTATTTTTTATACAATTCCTTTTATGATGTGATATTTTTGCTTTTTATATTGTAGATTTCAATTCAATTTTTTTTGTAGTATATTATAGTTTTTCATTTTTTATATTGTAGTTTCTAACAGGTGAAGAGCCACTAGGTGGATACACTGTTAATAAACCATTATTATTATTATTATTACTAGAGGCGACTTTTTTATCAGAGTTTTGAAAGGCAATGTTTTGTCATTTCTTTTCGCTGATGAAGCTTCTGCAATAGATGCAAAAGCTCCAAATTAAAAAATAATAAAGCATCCAAAGAAAAGAATTTCACGCACTTTAATCATCTAAAATGTCTTTCCTTGTAAGCTTTAACTGTTGTCAAGAACCTTTTTGACCCTCTCAGGGCTCGACGTTGCGACCCGTGGGGTCGCCAATGCGACCAGCTTTTACTCAGTGGCGACTAAATTTTCATGCCTGGTCGCCAACCTGGCCCCCAAGATAGGTGACTTTCTTTTTTGGGTAAACGTACACTAATGATAATTTGTTATCCTTTACACAACTAACGGATAGCTAACGGTTTTTCTAACGCTCTAACGTTTTGCCCAAACGCTCTAACGGTTTGTCTAAACGTTTTAACGATTTGTCTAAAGACTTTAACGATTTCTTCCAACACTCTAATCTACGTTTACTTGAAAGAGGATTGTGAAACGAATGAATTCGACGGAAGACTTTAATCGACTTTCGGACAAATCGATCGCAATTCTCAACAGATCATCCCGTGTTTCTCCGGGAATGACTTAAAGCGCATTGGTATTTAAAACAATTTCTTTATGTCGAACATGTATCTCGATTGCGGACTCGATAACAGATTAGTCTGATAAAAGCTCAAGCTAATCGAAGCTAATCGAGAACGAATGGCGCTTACTTCTCGAGCTTCGCAATTCTTGTAAACAAGTTTACGCAAATTTCTGTTGAGCGTGACGACGCAAATAAAAGCTCTGCCGTATTTTATTGACTTCTAATTAAGTAAAGTTGAAGTCATGCTCTTTGTCTAACAGACTTCTCGCGAAATCAACTTCTTTGCCCGAAAACATTAGCAACGTTTCCTCTTTCTGGTCTTTCTGGAGACTTTCGATCACGTGTTAGGCAACCGCGCAATAGATGAAGTTTCACCGATGTTCAGTTCTGAACATGCAAATACATGGGACGCAAAACAAATTTTGCAGATTTTGTTCTTTCATAACCCAAATAAGTTTTTTTGTGATTCCTAAATTTTGTTTTTTTAATGTGTATTCCATTTCCTGAACCTTAAGCTTGAATACCTGTTTGAGGAGATTTACGCTTGAGTGCGGATTCATTTTACAGAACACCGGCTGGTAATCGAGCGTCAGCGAAAACCATTCGAAAGAAAGTTCAAAGGAAGTCTAAACCATTCATTTTCTGTTAAGGCTAAGTTAAAGATGTTAAGTTTATTTTATCCCATTAGTTCTTAAATATAATTTTTGGCGACTAGAATACTTGTTCTGGCGACCAAAAATGAAAACTTGGGGGCCAGTTGGCCCCAAGATTTTTTTCTGAAAGTCGAGCACTGCCTCTGTAACTTTGATGTGAGAGAACAATAAATACTGAACCTCCATTTACAGTGATGGAAAAATGGGTCACTGCAAACAGAATTGTTATTGACAGTTGTACAACTTTGACCATTAGATTTTATGATTCTAAACATCATCATCATCATCATTATTATAATCATCATCCCTGCCATGAACAGGGTCTGAAATTGCGACCAGCTGGTCGCCAATGCGCCTAGAAATTGAGGGCTGGTGACCAAAAATTCATGGCTAGTTGCCAATAAACTAAAAAGTTTGGTACAGCAGTTTGAGAATCGGAGGATTTTCCGTATTTGTTCAAACTCAACTTATGTTTTTATCCTGCCACCATGCATCACACAACAGTTAATTGTTGCATTGTTTTAAAATGTCTTGTGCTTAGAATGGTTGAATGGCTGTTTTCGTGGCCACCATATTGTTCACAGCGGTTACCTCTGACTGATGTAAGCTTGAGTGTATTTTATACACACTCGCTTTTCTGCTCGACATAAAGATTTATTAAAATCAATTTTTCTGGTGCTTTGCAAACTGTGCAAAGTTTCCTTCAGTTTGGTGACAAAGAAGCTGCTAAAGATTTTTCATAGGGTAGATTTATCATGGCTTTCAGAGGTGAAAGAAGTTGATCTTGTCAAGTTAAGAAAAGAAGAACGGTAACAATGGCTTCTGTCTTTAAGCAACAGAATGTGACTCGTTTTTCCATCACTGTTGTGGAAGAAAAGAAAGTTATGAAATGAAGAACGAACAGAGGAGCAGAGGAGCTGCTGGTTATATTTACCTTTATGGCCTAAATTACAGAACAAATTCCTTTTTCTCTTTGAAAAGTAATCATAGCCTTCTCCTTACCGTCTTTGTTATTTTATTTATCTAGAAATTAGCTGAAGAAAACAATTCAAATAATACTGCTGGGGTGGAGCATGTGAAGAAGATGTATGCCAGACAGAGAGCAAAGGATCTTGCTGAGCATGCAAAGTCACTCATGTCCAAGGAAAAGGAACTGGAAGACTTGAAAAAGCAGCTAGTTTCACAACAGAATGACCAAGTCCTGCCGGTTAGTTTCACTAAAGATGTTGAGAAGAAATCTATTTACAGTGGAATCACAATTGTCTCAGACCCCAGGTTTTGGAAATCTCCCAAATGTCATTCATTTTATGCTGACTTTTTAACTTCTCAATATTTCAAATCAATGCTCTCCTTTTCCTCGGTAGGTTTGGAATATTAATTTTGATTCCATTGTACCTTGAGCATGATTTGCAAAGCCTCTGTAAAGCTCATGCAGTATAAAGGCGGGGGACAAACGTGATTGTTTTGAAATTTTTGGGGGTGGAAATTTACATGTTAAATCTGCACTGATGACCTTCATGATCAATTATAAATCTAATTTATTTAATTCTACCAAACGTCCATTGTTCTGAGAAGATGTAACTGGTACCTATTGTGCCATAATAAGTCTTATGTAACTGAATGTTTCTTACCTCTTTTTAGCCCGATGACCCTCTGAAATGTTGTTGAAAAATGCATTTGAAGCTAGTCAAGTAGTTTTGTGATCACTTTCTGATTTAAAGCTAAACAAGTGGTTTTGTAATCACTTTCTGATCAAAAAGAAGCAAACATGTACATTTACCCAAGACCTTGTTGCCCTACACGCTGAGCCTAATAGACTGACTTTTGTTTGTGATGTAATTACAGGTTTTAAAGTAACTGTTCAGGCATGTTCAGATGGCAAATTTCATTTCATTTCCTTTGATTTGTTCTTTTTGCTTTCTCTCTTCTTTCATTTCCCTGTTTTATTATGGGAACTTACTAGACTTTATTTGATAGGCAAATGTTTCACAAAAATGCCTTGGATAGTAAATGTTTTTAAAAGAGGTACAAGTGGAGACTGGAGCAAGATTTTTGTTGGAATGTTCTGGTTAAATGTACATGATATTTTGTGCTTTTCTTTAGCGTATTGAATTAACTGTGTTTGTTAGGGTATGGTTTGAAAGATCTCTTCCCTTGCGCAAGCTAGGTGTCAAAAGTGTCGGTGACTTTTAAAATTGATGACGTCACAAGTGGTCCAAGGGATGTGGCTGCACACAGGGTATTGCAAGTAGCTGAGATGTGAATTCATCTTGGAATCTTCACCTCTTATTTCATAAGCAAAACAATGCCCTTTTTATAAGGACATCCATTATAATTATTGGAATCTCCTTTGAAGATTGATGGATTTTAATATTTTGTCATTTTGAAACGATGTTTTCCGTTTTCATCTGGTGGTTAATATTGATTACTGTTGAAAATATCATTCAGTTTCCTTAAGAGACCAGTATTGTTCAGTGTGGTAGCATCAGTCCAATATTGTATCCTGTGGTATTTTAAACATGTTACAAAATACAACTGGTAGCAGGAAAAATAACATCTGGAATTTCGCTTCATGCATGGAAGATCAAAGTGTGACAATGGTGAATTTGCTAGGTGATATTACTACTTTCTAAAGATAATCATTTCATGGCCAATAGGCATATTAGGTTATTTTTACACACAAACCAATCATCGTGCAACTTGCTGGCCCAATGTGATCTAGTTATTATAGTTCAAAACAAGGGAAAGACATGTTAAAACATCGCAGGAGAGCTCGACAAAATAACCATGTTTTGTCTAAATCCAAGAGTGAGGTATAAATTGTTTTCTTCTTTAATGTCTTAATGATAAGTAAAGTAATCACAGTTATTTATTTTCCAAAAGGAAATTGATTTAATTTTCTTTGTCACAAAATGCAAATTGCTTTAAATATGTCTTATTTTTAAAATCAAATAAAAGCTTCATGTTAAGTGTATTTCGAGCATCCATTAAGGAGATTTGTTACTTCTAATATACACTGACGTTTCAGTTGTAAAAACTTAGTAATTATAAGTGAACAGACATTATTCATGCATGTATGTTTTCTTTTAAACTACCAATATTAATGCTATTCATGTAAGTGCTTCAGCAAAAGGAATCTTAGGACTGTGAAATTTTGTAAATTTTGTCACAGTTGAAAGCTGCCTGCCATGTTCGTATTAAGCTTTTACTTATACCTCAGGCTTTAGTATTTATACTTTGTCAAAGAAAAAATTAATTCAATGAGACCCTGATTTAAGGTAATATTGAGTTGAATATTGTATAGATAAACATTTCATCCAAAAGGTATCACTTAGGTTTGAATAAGTTTTTATTGATCTCTGTCACTTTCTTTGTCACCCACCTGACAACATAATTTATATTTTTGTTACACAGAGAAAGGATACAGAGAATATGTGGACTTTTGGTTTATTTTTTAGCAGATACAGTGATGTTTTTTTGCTTTTTTTGTTGTTGGAGCATAATTACAGAAAACTGTAGAAAGTTTCCAACTTAGAAAAAGTGATCTCTGTTCTGTGAAGATTAGAGTAATCTCTTTGTTGCCTATTTAGTTTGTGTAGTAATTTACTTGTCTTGAATAAATGCCTACCCTCATTATTGAAGATTCCCTCCTTTCAAATAAATCTTGCTGCATTTATCCCATAACTTTTTACCACTTATTTACACTTCTGGCCTCAGTTGTTTATCAGGCTGATGGCGTCAACCACACTGTTAGACTTGGGATAGCAGCTTTCAACCTTTTGGACAACTGGGACCAGATCTGTATAAATTAATCTGCCCACTGCATGAACTCAGGAAACTGGTAATGTAGGAAACAAACTACCTGTAAATTGCTGCCTGGTTTCACATTAATTCATATTTCATGTCCTTTTTTAATCTTATGTTTGTAGAAAGAAAAAGTTGAAGAGCTTCAGACAATCATCAGACAGTCAGCTAAAGAGAGACTTTGGTTGGAGAGACAAGTTTCAAACAGTGATTTGTCTCGCTCACCCAGTCCGTATATCTCATCTGGGGATTTTACAGCCGAGATGCGAATAAAGACAGAAAGACTTGACACTGTAGAAGCTGAGAATATAAAACTGAAATTGTCATTGGAAAACCTACAAAAATCAGAGAGAGAGAGCAAAAAATTGGTAAGGATGAGTTTACTGGTTAATTACGTGGCAACTACATGTAATGGTAAAGAACCTGTGTCTATTTTAGTGAAACCACTGTCTATTGCATCTTGATTAATTTTTGCTTAGCTTCTTGGCAGGTTTGTCCTAAACTTAAGCATGCTTTGGATAGCTAGCTCTAACTTGTACTTGTAATTTGGAATCTGACTTACTGAAGTTATTCTGTTTAAGAGCTAGGAAGTTGTTATAGAGATCTCTTCTTGTGTTACTGGTGTTTACTCATTGGAGAGAAATACATTTCCTGAAGTTGTTTGGTAGCTTTTTTGTCACAGGACATTACTCATTTGTAGATCTAAGCTGTGGTCTTCGCAAGTAGTAATAATAATCACAACATTCATTCTCTTATGAAACACTCTCTGTCTTTAATCACTATCATCAATGTTGCACATAGGTGACCATTACTAGATTCTGTGTATGTACAATACCTAGTATGTTATTTAAACACTCACCCCCTTAATGAGTTTGCTGGTGGTGCCTTTTTTCATTAAATATTCATGACTAATAGACAAGCTGTTTGTTCAAATTGTGCATGTTTTAAAATGCTAGTTTGGTTTGAGCGAAAAATAATGAAGGATGCAATCTTTGCAGGCAGATGATCTGAAAGAAAAGGAAAAGGAGAATGAGAAGCTCTTAAATGACTTGGAAGAAAAACAAACTAAGTGTTCTAAACTGGTAACTAAATTGCTTTCATGTTTTTTTCTTTAATTAGCTGCCTTCTCCCTTTTAGGGGAGATTCATTGTTATAAATTATTTTTGGCTGCTCCATTGTCAAGTATGAAGAATTCTTGTGAATGATGCAGTATTGATCTGAAATGACGGAGAAGCATTTGCCTTAACTGAATGACTTCATGTAACTACATGTTAATGTTGAAATTCATTTTAAACTGTTGTATTTTGATTCCGCCATTTAATCTCAAAATTTCTTGTAACAAAGCAGATAACAAAATACAGAAAAAGTACCACATGTGTAGTCAAGGTGAACTTGCTATGTCTTGCTGGAATGTTTTTCATTTCGTGAGTTCTTGTTCAAACTCAGCAAGCGGCAACCAAACAGTGTGATTATTAGATCCAAATATAGAATCAAGGAGGGAAGAGGCTTGATCCCCAGCACTTTAATTCTTGTCTGTTTATCCCTTTGTGTGATAAAAATATATTATAGCACCATTGGTAACTGTTGATTTTAGTGGTGTATACGATTAATCGAATTCTCAATTAATCGTGATTATGACCGTTCGTTTTGATTCACGATTCTTTGCTTCCACATTTTGATTTTGGTTCGATTATTGCACACCTTTTTCAGGGTGCCCTTAGCGAGTTATTAGATTGTAATATCGGAACACAGAATGCTTTAAATTGTGCGTTTATGATTGACAAGCAAAGACGATAGCATTTCGTGCACCACTTTGTGTTGCCTGGTAAAAATGCTGTCCTTCAACCACCCCTTGAGAATTTCCAAATAAGGCAAACTATGTGCGACAGGCTCTTTGTCAGGTTCTCAAACGTGGTAACGAACCAAGCGCCTGTGAATCCTCTTGTCCCTGCTACTATTCTCAAATTGAGGGTTTAGGGTTGCATGTTGTTTACATTATGCGTCATGTTATAAGCATTAAGAATCATTTACATAATCGAATCGAAATAATCGAAATTGAAATCAAATCGAACCGCAAGGAATATGAATCGTTACACCCCTAGTTGATTTAAAGTGTACTGTTTTGATGAAGTGGTTTTAAAATAATCGTCAAGTAGTTACATGTACCTGTTATTAGTTTAATTTTCATCTGAGTCTAGTTTTTAATTTGATCAGGGGGGAAGTGTAAGTGACTTCAAAATGTAGCCCTTGAATCTCTTTTAAAGTTACGTCTTCTTGACTGGCCCTTTGATCAAGAAATTTCTTGCAATGCCAGAGGAATTCTAATGAGACGTGTCTGCCATATAATTGATATGAATGGGATTCTATAGAGGTGGGGTCAGTTAGATCAAGAAGTATTTATATGCAGAAGCTCTTAGTCACGGAGCTTTGGCTGTATGTATTATTAGTTTGATAGCAGTGAGCTGTCGTTTGACAATGTCTTCCATAACATTGGTCAGAGTTAAACTTTAAAAGAGAAAGGCCAGGTCATCTAGACTTCAAAAGTGAAGGTGATGTTTAATGGAACAAAAGCAATCATGAATGATGCAGTCAGAATCGCTACTTTTTTTGCCTTCTTATCCATTCCACTGTCTCTCTTTGCATATATTTTTAACCAGGAACTTGAAAGGGAGAGGTTTGCAGCTAAGTGCACTATGCTCCAGAAAAAGAACACAGAGATGTCAAAGAAAATTTCAGAACTGGAAGAGGTAATTAGTTTAAATTTACAGGCGCAAGGTCACGCACAGTACAACTGTATTTTTGATTCTTACAAGTGACAGTGCAAAATGAAATTTGGGTTGGCGCAAGTACTTGCGGGTGTGGGTACTAGTGAAAATCACCCTTTTCTATAATTACAGCAATGCAACATCAAAGTGACTGGCAGAATGTCTAGTTTTGGTGACAAGGCTGACAAAATTGAATTCTACTTTTTTAGGTCGAAGAGGAAGTTGCCAATCTGAGAGAGAAACTTGAAGTGTCTGACATGAAAAACAGTCTTCTTTCAGAAGAATGCAACAAGATGAAAAGCCAGTTAGAAGGGCTGTTACATGTCAAGGAGGTGGGTATTTTTGTTGGTATTGCAGTAATAAGCAAACTCTATATTCTCTATATAGAATTATTATTGTACCTTGTTATGAAAGATTAGGAATGGAGAGACAGAGTAGAGAAACAGTTGGAATGAATAATCAGCAATAATCTGATTTGGCTCTTGTATGATATGAAGAATATTATGCAGATCGGGGGTGGGGGGGAGCTGTAACATTTTACAAAACATTGTCTGTTCCTTGGCACTTTCAGAAATTGAAGGGATGTTTATTCAGCCATCTGTTTGTTGCTCCACGTCTACACAAGCATCATTCTCTATGACAAAATTTCCCTTTGATATTTTAAGAATTAAATGGATTTGCATCTCTGAGCTTGCCCTGTTGTTCTCTTTCTAGGATCTGAAGAAGATGGAGGAGAAGAAAAAAGTTATAGAAAAAGAGCACATGACAAGCATGGAAAAACTCAAAGAACGAGAAGAGGAAATAAGGCAGCTTCACAAGGTGACATAACATTAAAATAACAAGGCTTAAAAAAGTCCTGCATGTTCGTCAGGGACAAGTGGATATTTTTTGTGGGCAAGTAATATTTTATGCTGACTTGCTTGATGGGCATGGTCCAGGGAAGTAATCTTTTAACCCTTTAAGCCCCAGTATCAACATTATTACAAATTCTCCAAACTGATCTCCATACATTTCCTTAAAGAATTAGTTGAGAGAATTTGATAATAGATCAAGGCATTTTCTCTTGGGTGATTATATTCATAACGTATCTCTTGACAGTGCATGGATGTTGTCAGGAGAAAATTGATCTTGGTCACTATTGGGACTTAAAGGGTTAACTAAATCATAAACCTAGACAAGGATAAAATGGCCCTCAGTGAAAATGTAAGTTTTTTTGCAAGTCCTGATAGCTGATAATGTTCTGATTACACACTCTACACTGCAGTCTCAGTTGACTAAATTGACTCTTGATATTAGCCAAATTTAACATTGGCGACAAATTCAAATTCTGTTTTGTTTTTTTCTCTTAAGTCAAGTTTCCTTCAAAGATAGTACCGGTATTTTGAGTTGCCTACACCTGTTTTCTGTGCTTAGCACTGCATGTGCTGGCCACTTCTACTTCCAAATCTAATCATTGCTTCTTGGAACTTTAGGATCTGCTGCATCTTGCCTACGTTCTTGTGGTTATTCCCATTTAGATTCTCTGATAGTTAGGTTATCATTTTACCAACATTTTCACTTGCTCTTACTCAGATCCAGGAAGAGGCCAATAGGGCTCATGAGATGGCTGTGACTTCTCTGGAGGACACTGTGCGCAGTCTGGAGCAGAAGTGCATTGATGCCGAGGAGAATAATATCAACCTTAAGAAAGAGGTGGAGGAGCTAAGAGAGTTGGAAAAAGCACATATCAGGAAAAACCAAGAAAGAGGCCACAAATCTACTCAAACAGCAATCAGAGGAAATGAAATTGTGATTGGAAATGATGGTAAGGATTAACAGCAAAAATTGATTTCTAAACACAACCCTGTAAGCCCCTACAGTGTACATGCTTATGGTGCTATTGACAAGATTTTGTTCTAGTATCAACTAAAACATTATTCTCTTTGGTGATAATTTGCCAATGAGAAAAGTTGAAGTTTGAGTTCCCCTCCCTCCTCTATTTGCTGCTTTAAACCCATTTTGCTTAGGCACAGTCATGTACATGTAAATGTACATCTGTAGTGTCTATTAAGATTAAAAAGTTAAACATTATTTATTTTTGATAGCCATTGATATCTTAATTTATAACAATCCATAGGTAAGCCCATTCATGATCATCCTTTGCATGAAGAAAAACCTCAGACACCTCAGTCGTCATCTCACAAACTTTTAAATCAAGCATCAGGAGGGCTATCATCCCACATTGCCCCCACTAAGTCATCCACCTATGAATCAAAAGTTGAAATGTCACACACATCTCCTATGAAACAACCCCTAAGTGCTTCCGAGGCAAGCCAGAAGCCTGAGACTGGGGCTGCACCAGGAACAGAAGATCTGTTGGATGTATTAGCTTCTAGAATTGACCAGCTGGCAGCTTCTGATAGTGAGGATGACATTTTTAGTGGTATGTACAAATTGACTGTGTTATGACAATTTAATCCCAATCCCAATCCCAATCCCAATCCCAATCCCAATTACCCTGTATAAATCGTACAATCTAAGAGAAAGTTAAAAACTAAGAAAAACGTTGTTTTGGCATTCGAAAGGGTCAATATTATTGTTAGAGAAAATAGCCACTGAAGTTCAGGGTTCTCTACTGGGGTTTTGTTCATGTTTTGAGGATTATTCTAACAAATGAAAACTGCACCCACTTACTGTAGTACATGAAGCTTGAACCATAGAGTTACTCATCCCTGTGTGGCTACTCCCACAGCTATTACATGAAATATAAAAATTATAACTTGCACTTGCATCCTACAGCTGTGCATACAAAAGGTTTAGTTTGGTAACTGTTCCTTGCATCTTACAACATAAACACTAACTGTTGAAAATGCCACAGCTTGGCAGCATTACCGTGAAACACAGGTCACCAAATTGGTGACTTTCGCTACAATTTTAGTCACCAAATTTATTTTCTACTTACCATGACGACCAAAACATTGGTAGCTTGGAAGGCTATACATTTAGATAGAATATTATTTTCCATTGTTGGGTTTGGAATTTGAAAGTTGTAGTCAGTTTCCACTTTGATTGCTGTTAGGAGCAAAATGATCAATACTTATACATCTTTGACCTTATTTCTTAGAAAAAGCATATGAAGAACAACAGAAGGAATCTGATGAGGATAAAAACAAGCCTACAAGGCCAGATCTAGATCTTGAAGACTTGTCCAAGCGCATCAGTCAAGTGGCAGTCAGTGATGACACAAGCTCGTTAAGTACACGAGATAGAGCTTGCAGTGATGGTAGTCAAGACTTAACAAGTATGGCTGAAGGAGAAATGGGTGATCTAGAAGATAATCAACCTGATAGCTCAGCTCCAGAAGATGAACAGACAGACCTTTCAGAACAGCAGCAGCCGATTGGTGAGTGCTGTTCTTGTGGTTTTTGCCCAATTACAACTAAATCTCAGAATGCCATTAGTTACTGACAAGTTTTATTTTGTTTAACAGGGCTGTTGGAGTACTTTTTAGATAGGACTTTAACTTAAGTCAGACAAAGGAGGAAGGTCGTCAGGCATACAAAATATTGAATTTTGGCCCCATTTGTTCAAAAGTTGGATAGTGCTATCCATCGGATAAATCTCCCTCTGGTGAATACGTATTTGGGAAACCAATTGCATTATCCACTGGATAGAGATTTAGCTATTGGATGGCGCTGTCCACCTTTTTAACCACTGAGGCCAGATTTCTTTATGTGGTTATGCAGATCTTCTGCCTTAAAATGCAAGTCATTCTGCAGTCAGGATTTAGTTGCCCAACAAGGAAATCTGCTTGTCCCAGACGACTGGACGGAAATTTTTTTGAGCCCTGGATTGCATTTAGTAACCATTTTGTTTTTTATAATTTATTTACACTAGGTGTACTGAACGTTCATCATCATGTTGAGTCTACAAGCTCTGACAAGCAGGTGCCAGCAGATTTCAACAATGAATTCAACTCAGAGGACCAGGCAGTGGACAGCAGATATCTAGAGGGAGATTTTAGTGATGTGGATCCAGCTATTCTTGAGAAGCTAGCAGTGTATATAGCAAGATATAGTTATGATCCTTTACAGCACTCACCTAATGATAATCCTGAGATGGAGCTGGCATTCCAAGCTGGAGATTATCTGTATGTGTTTGGGGAGATGGATGAGGTAAGAAGAGGCCCTGGTAGGGTAAAATTCCTGCAAGGGACATGGCCTTGAAACAGCAACATAAAACTAGACTAGTAATCACCAAAGGTTAGGGAGTGCAGGGGACAATGATTGAAGGTCCAAATGCTCCAATGCTGTGCTTTGCGTAAGTTTCACGTGACAGAACAAAACGCGTGAACAGATTACGAGTGATAGAAGGTCCAAATGTGCGAGATTAAATTGCGTTTTGTGCGTTCCATTTATTCTTAGTGGAAGTTCAAACGAATGCTGGCTACATACATGCAACACATGAGTAATAACTACCTGTAGATTAGGATTGCAGGCTCCTCTTGTCGCCTGCAATGAAATGGCGACAAATGACAAAGAGATGGGTTGAATACCAACAGGCTTGCTCCTCAAAATGCGAAACGATGGCATTTAAAATTTAGACTAGGGACATATGTACCCCACCCTAAGAGTGCCTCTAAGAGGAGTCTGTACCATCTCTTTTTCCCTCAATACTGTTTGGCGGGTGTCAAAAAAAAAAAATAGAAAGCTAACTACGACAACAAGTGTGAGCGAGCAGGATGTTAAGTGTGGTTTTCAATATTTAGTCTAATAAAACTAGAAGAAAAAGGTTTATTTTGCCTAAGTCGCTCAAGCTATTATATGAACCAATCAGATCTCAAATCGTCAGCATAATAGTTGACACCAAGCTCTATAAGATGTTTCTCTGAAAATCACACTCGGTTTTGTTTGATTGTTTTAAAAGTTGGCCAATCACAAACTATAGCTACACAAAGCCAATGTACATGTAACACTTAGTACCAATACCCAACTAAAAACTGCGGTAGTATCTTATTTAATTCTTTGTGGGACATTCCAGGATGGCTACTTTCTTGGAGAACTGATGAGTGGGCAAAGAGGATTGGTCCCTTCCAACTTTGTTGAAAAAGTAGCAGATGAAAGCGAGATGAACAGGATGATGAATGGTACAGGAGAGGGAATTGGTAGGAGAAATGTCTATTATGGCTGTGATTAAGTTTTATTTTCACATGAAGTTGAACAATGTTACACCCTTTGAAAAGAGGCTCTGCCTGAATCACATCAAACCATTAAGGTTGCCGCAGCCCAAACTTCAGGACTGGTCAATCTTGTTCTCACTTTCGAGTGCAAGCTTCCATTTATTGGTCCTAACTGAGCCCGCTGTACCAAGCATGTGGTTATTAGGCCTGAGTTGGAAGCTGTATCCTAGCAACATGCTGTGCATGCTCAACAAAGACCTTACTGGATTCATGCAGAGTCTTTCTCAAGTACGCCAAAATAGAGCAAACAAAACAACGGCTCTACTGGCAGGGTGCACATGTTATAGCTTCAGAAGTTTGTTTCTTACAATATTATGGGTTTTACTAACTTTATTGCCCAAAATGTGCCTGTGATGGATCCAGGGGAGGGGCCTGGGGGAACTGCCCCCCCCCCATATTTTTAGACCAGACTGAGGCCCAAAGGGTCAAAAAAAATTTTTTTGAGACCGCCCCCCCCCCTTAAGTCAGGGTCTGGTTGACCGGGCACCCCCCTTATCTGAAGGTCTGGATCCGCCACTGTGTGGACATTTCATATCCTTTGAAACTGACATGTGAATCCCTAATTTTTACTTTTAGATGAAATTGTGAACAGTGACGAGGAGGATACTGATGGTAATTATTATCTTTTGAGTTTTAGCAAAACGTCCAATCAAATAAAATGCCTGACGTTTGAGTTTTTTTACTTTGTGCTAAAGCTTAAGGGTTGTTGTTAACTGTTAAATAAGTAATATAAAAAGTAGTGAATTTAAATTTGGGAAATCATATCATAGGATTGCAATTTATTTTAAATACAAAGATTATCATAAAGCTGAACGTTCTTTGTAAATCAAGACTAGATATTGTAGACTAAATTTCTGAGGAATATCTGAAACTTAAGTGAAAGACTCCTGGATTATAGGCGATACCGTAAAAGTTATATAAAATGGTAATCAGTGGTTTAGAGTATGGGTTTGTATATTCCTTCTGAAAGCTAACTTGCTTTGTCCTGTGTTTCTTGTACTTTTTTAAAGTTCTTTTACTCACAGGCAGTACGACAGTCGTTATAAGACATTTTGATTATTTTAGTGTCATTTTAAAGCTGACTTAAATTTGTCTTCTTGTAACACACAAACATCATTTAGAAGATAGCGCCTCTGAAGATGGCGAAACAAGCACAGAACTTGTGCTACCTGAAGAAAATGGTGAACGTCACATGAAGCCTGTCAGAATGCTTAGATTTTCCGGTATTTACTTTGTTAGTTTAACCCTTTTCCAGCCTTTTTTGATTCCTTGCTCCTTACTTCTTGACAAGGGCATCGCTGACTTCGCCACAAGTTTAACTTCACTTATTTTGAGAATAAACGGGAATTATAGTGATAACCTGTGTACAGTCGCCCCTTCCACACGCTAAATTACCGAGTTACAGCTGCTGAAAAGTGTCTTGATTGTAAATCCAAATTCGTCAAGATAAGTTTTGGAAGATATTCTGCAAATAATCATTCACTAAAAGGTGTTAAAATAAATTTTATCTCATGATAAAGCATGAAAGTTATTAATTCTAAAATATAAAACTTTTGAAAGTTGATGATGACTTAAAATTGCAGTTAGACTTTTTACTGTCCGTGTGAGTTGTCTTTACGCTTGGAAAAATAATTTACTAAAATTAGAAACCTTAAAATATCATAAAAACCAATGTGGTAACATTGTCAACTTAACTACTAAATCTAGTCATTTGTTGGGGAATCCGTTTGTGTAACTGTGGCGTACCCTTCCTTATGTCACGCTAGGTAAACTTCACCGTGCGTTACGCTTGTCAGTGGAGCACATACCTGATGTCGGATTGAACGACATCAAAGAAGAAGACGAGGAAGAGATCGAGGAGGAAATCGAATCGGAGGATGACTTTGACGAAGAAGAAACTCCAAAAGTATTGAACTTGAGTCAAGATGGCGTTGCAAGTGAGGAAACCGACTTTGAGCCTTTCAGTAAGTCACGCAATTGCTTTATTGTTCCTATTTCAACAAGTGCATGTACTGCAACTACGAAAATGCTGACTTAATCGTTACAGTAAGTAATGGCAGAAAAGTACTACTAAATTTCTCTTATTTGATTGACGGAAATCGGGGAATTTATTTCGCATTGGCTTGGTTGTCTAGAACTAACTTGTGCAGCTAGCATCATAAGTAATCCTGCGATAAAGAACCACTCTGTATTTTTGAGAAGTTAAACTCCATGTTGCTACTAGCGGCCTTTAGTACGACGCTAAGTGCAGGTACGACTTGCGAAAGCCAATCCAGTTATGATCCCAGAACTATCATTCTTTCCCGTTGCGGACCAGGCCCCAGTTGTTCAAAAGGTGGATAGCGCTATCTACTGGGTAAATCTCTATCCATGGAATAGGGTAATTGGTTTCCCTAGTACTTATCCGCTGGATAGTGATTTATCCGGTGGATAGCGCTATCCAGCTGTTGAACAACCAGGGCCAGGACATAAAAAGACGTAAAGGACAAAAACTGGTGTGACAAGTGATCAGCCAGATCACACGATCTTGTCTTGACCACTCACGATATTTCCCAAGAATAGAGAGGCAAAACTTTTTGTTGACGCCGTATATTTGTGTCGTAGGAGTTCCATCCCCAAGACGGCTCTACCTTGAGCGCCAGTTTACACGAAGCGTGCTGTTGAGTTGGAAGCCCGCTGACCTGCCAGCTAATCTTGTGAAAGGCTACGGTGTGTACGTAAATGGAGACCTTCGGCTCATGATCAGTGGAGGGGGCAAAACAAAGGCTCTACTAGAAGATATTGACCCTGAAGAGGTACGGCTGATAGTATCCTGTAAACTTACTTTAAGTCAAAAGTAGGTTGTACATGATCGTGTGTATGTCTATGAGGGTAGTCCTGAATTGGCCTGCTGGAGACAATAGAGATTTTAAACTCGAGGACGAGGGTATCTATGAGGGCTATATTTAACTTGACGTTTTTTGGCGTATTCTCAACCCCCCCCCCCCCCCCCCCCCACCCCCCCCCCCGCTCTTTTTTTTATGTTACCTCAAAAAAAAAATATTTTTTTATTAAAAAAATTTTTAGTTTGAATGAGCGGGGGGCGGCGCCCCCCCCCTCCCGCGTCTTTTTTCGCCGCTCCGACTTGTGTGCTTTTTTTTATTATTTAATAACTTATACATTTTTTTGGCGTATTCCCAACCCCCCCCCCCCCGCCCCAGAAAGCTTCATTGTACTTTTTATCACCAGAAAAGTAAGCATGATTATTTTAATTGAAGAAGAGGGCTGTGCATTGGCAGAGCCCGGGGCCCCCTGCGCCTAACTTTTGCTTTCAGGCGGCTAGAAAATCTTAGTGTTTTCATACAAATCATAAGCTGGGCACTCTAAATTGTACAGGCTCAGAGCACAGGGCTCCCTTAATTTTTCCTTAGTATAGAGCCTTGAAGAAGGTTAAACCCTCTCCCAAGCGCCAAACATTTGATAACTAGATTCTGTCTCCACGACACTCTATTCCCGCTTAAACCCGTAGTAGAATGAAGACGGCTATCACGTTTTCCCGCCAAAATGACGATGGTTCACGTGTGCGCACTACTTAGTATTGAGAAAATTTAGTCCTCGTAGTCGCTCTCGTCTTAGAATCCAAAGGTCTCTAATGACTGACTTTTCAAGACGTTTCAACAACATGTGCGTAAGTCAAAGCATTTACATTCATATTACTAACAGCGTCACTTCATGTGACATTGTGTTTCAGCCTAACAGGATATCCGTTAGAACCATAACCTTCAAAGGAAACGAGTCATCTGATCGCTCAGCAGTGGTCACCATTGGCAAAGGTTGGTTAGTTAATGACTTGGATATGAATGACTTGGTGGTGATTGTTTAGTTGATTGTGTTTTCCATCCTTTAATCAACCATAGTCTAGATCCACTTTTCGTTGGTTCTAAATACAAAGCTATTCCTTTCATTCTGCAGATGCTAATCTTGCACCAAGTCACGTGCACGTCACATGTGTATCCCCTACGTCAGCCAAGATTGAGTGGTCACCAGGTAACAGCTCATTCAGTCACGAGGTTCTTGTCAATGGGGAGCTTTACAAGACAGTACGCCCAGGAACGTTCCAGCACACAATCACTAACCTTGAGCCAGACCACATGTATAAGGTGCATGTTCGCGCGAAGAACCCCAAGCGGGTGGTGGAACACGACAGTGAAGTGGACATTGAAGTGGATCTTTTGACAGCAGAAGCTGAATTCAGGACGGAACCCGGTGGTAAGTAGCTAATTCGCCACTTCACAAACGATAAGGAAACTGGTCTCAGTTAACTATCCAGATTCAAATTCACCAAACTGATTTCCATACATTTACTTAACGAATTGGTTGAGAGAATTTGACAAAAGATAATAAAATTCTCCCTTAGGTGATCATTTCAATAATTCCCATTGCCTTTCCTCTGGATTCTGTATTGACACTGTTGAGAGAATATTGACACTGGTCACTCAAGGGACTTAAAGGGTTAACTTTCATAAAGATTTCTGGGACTGTTACTAGAGACGGGGGAAAAAATTGGCCAATAGCTGACCTGCGCGTCCCAGAAACAATTGCGGGACATATTTTCGCCCCAGTTCCCTTTCTTTTTCGAAAGTGGAGAATTAGATTTTAAGTAATGCAAACTTAGCGTTGAAACATACTGTTAGAACTTTGCGTATTGAACTCTGCCTTGCCATAATGGGTTTTTCTGAGGTCATGTAATACTCTAATTGGCAGAGTCTATTATTATGGAGACATGTAACCCAAAGGGTGTTTTTACTAGGGTATTGGAAATTTCCTATTGAAATCTTTTATACTATGGCCTTGAATTGTGTTATCTTGAGTCGTTTTGTTTTTATCTTAGGTCTTCCAGATCCTCCTTTAGAAGTGGAAGTCGCTGTAGGCCATGCCAACTCCCTGGATGTTAACTGGATTCCTGTGACTATTACGGAGAGGGGTACTTCAAACGGTGCTCGCGTGACAGGATACAAAGTATACATCAACGGCTTTCCTTGCACCGAGGTCACGTCACCCACAGCAGACAGCGTGACAGCCGTGTCATGGATGGTGGAACGTGCGTTTAAAAGAAGTCACAGCGAGGTTCTTCGTGTTGTTGTAAGAACTCAGTCTCGCGAAGGAGAATCTGTGGATTCAAACGAAGTTGAACTTCCTGCGGAAATGTTGAACTTCAAGGTGAATAATTTGATAAAAGCTAAAGGCGCAGGTCCGCTTCCTAAAAGAACAGACTTGACGCCGCAAAGCTCTGTTGAAGAAGAAAACAGTCATGACATACATGATAAAGATTCGGCCAATGATAGTAGGAATGCTGAGGAATCGAGAGAGAGAGCTGATAGTGTAAGGCGTTACAGCCGAGGTGAAAACGGACAGCCACATTTAGTGATAAAGGATGACACTGATAGAGTGAGAAACGTTGTGCAGGGTGATACAACGATGGCTCAACCTCGGACAAAAGGTGAGCCTGTGGTATGGAAAGACGATAATGCAGATGAGTCGGAAGCTGCCGACAGTGTTACGAAGAGCGTCGAAAGAGTATCCGATGACGAAGATGAAGAAATCGAAATTTGTATTCCGGACGCTTCGGATGATTTTGCGCACTCTACACAGAAGGAACCTGACATGAACGCTGAACAACAAGGTTATAAACTACTTGAGGAACAGAAAAATGAGGAAGAGGAGTTGGACGAGAGGAAAGAAGAGGAAGAAGAAATGGAGGCAAGCTCTCTTTTGTTGTTGTTGTTGTTGTTGTTGTTGTTTTTGTTTTTGTTTTGCTCGTCTAGCCTGTATTCCAGGAGTAAGTCTCTCCGACTCTAGCGTCATTTTCGGTTACCGTATAGGGTTTAGAGAGGGCATGAAATTGCAAATTACTCTGTGGTCAAACAGTTTGCTAGGTTATAGACAAAGAGAAATAAAATTCCAACTGCACGTGCCCGGATAGACATTAAAATTTTGGCTGAAGTTTCTAATCATTGAAAATTAAGTAGTGAAACTTACAGTCAACTCTTTTTGGATGGTTTGACAGATTAAACGCTACGATATTTGGCCCATTTCTTTTTTTGTTTTTGTTTTTTTGTTTTTCTTTAGGCTTACGCAATGATGCGCTACTTGTAAAATATCCGTGCTAAATCTATCTAACCATAAGCCGAATATTATTGGTGTTATAGGAACAGGTTCATAGTTTTTTTGACCTTGTTTAGTCATTTAAGTGACCTTCTAACGTGCGAGTTACCGAACTTGCTTTTCATACAGTCGTTCAATCTGGTTTTTTAGGACAACGAAGAAGTCGAGAATGAAGAAACTGAGATTCCCGAGGATGACCAATACTTCGGCGATGAAGACGTTTTACCTATCGAGGAAGAAACACCAGACATGCCAGACGAAACCCTGCTTATGCCCAGGAAAGAGAACAGCGTGTCCGTGGTCAGCGGTACTGACATGGATGAGTTTGAGGAGGCGTTAGATGAAGCTCAAAGTATACGAGGAAGAAGTCCTGAGGGCTTACATAGCCATGATAAGAGACCCTATATTCGACCACTGGAATACGAGGAGAGCGATTATGAGAGTGAGTCAAGCGAAGAAAAGCCTCTGTCTGTCATACAAGAAGAAGACGAGGAAGATTTGTCCGAGTCAGTTGTTTTCCCGAGCAATTTCTCACGACAGCATTCCACTTCCGACGATTTTCAGAGCGACGATGACGTCATGGATTTACTTGACGATGACCACGATCGGGATGAAACGGCAGTGCATGGTGTCGACTTCGGAACTGTTCGTAAGATCTCGCAGAATGAACGCAATGCGGTGCTATCACCCGAAGGTGAATCATCGGGTGATGTAAGCTTTGGAAGATACTTAGCAAAGAGCGACGAAGAAGGGAACACACCTCTTAATTCTCATTACAGACTTCTTGATAGTATTGAACTTGAGGAATCTGAAAGCGGTGGAGTTGAAACCTCATTCAGTGAAACAGAAGCTGATCGTGGTGGAATGGATCAAAGTTCAACTCCGCTTGATTACCGCGATGAGGAGAATGTTTACTATAACGAAACAGGGCAGAATGAAGCTCCTTATGATCCCACGAGTGATCCCTCGGGGAGGGGCAAGGCTCCTCTTCCTGATCAGGATTTTGAGGGTGGTATAACCACAGAGGAGCAAGTCCGTGTGTTTTTAGCACTGTATGATTATGATCCCTCTACCATGTCCCCTAATCCTGATGCAGAAGAGGAGGAGTTAGCATTTAATGAAGGAGATCTTATTAAGGTAATAACTAAACCGACGGGTGCTCTTTACATTAACTTGTAAACGATACATTGTAATTGTAATTGTAATTTCCCAATTAGTATGGCAATAAACCGCAAACGAATTAGAAAATTGACCCGTCACATGGAGGAGAGCAATAAAAAGAAAAAAAAAGAAACAAAACAAAACAAAAAAAGGTAGTTTATCTGGGATTCGAACCACGCATCATGTACTTCTGATGCTCTAGCAATTTCCTTTGTAAGAAATAATTTTTATACCGGAAAAAAGAAACAAATGGACTGTTTCGAAAAAATGTGAGGAATAAAAGAAAGGATATTCGTAGTCGGCAGGATTCGAACCTGCGCGGGGAGACCCCAATGGATTTCTAGTCCATCGCCTTAACCACTCGGCCACGACTACTCAGATGAGAAGGAAGGGTAAGTTTGGTGTACTGCCGCGTCCGTTATGAATTGCGCAACCAACATTATGAGTCTCATTGTACTTAAGGATCCTCGAAAGCACAGACGTAAGAAGAAGCTTATGAAAAGACAGTAAAGTCACAATATTTATGGACGAACCAAGCAACTTGCTCACTTGACGGCAATACGGCTTTACAGCCATAGACAGGTTCACGCTTATAGTTCCATCATGGGTAATCAGGGCAAGATGGCGGCAAATTCAAAGATTTGAATTGGAATTCAAAGCCAGCTAATTCTTCCTGAATTCATATATTTGATGCTTTCTTTTTGAAAAGAGTAACTTACGAGTTCAAGGAAACAATTCACTAAATCTGCAGTGCAAAAAAGATCATTTTTTTCGAAAACCCTGATTTCTCCCATACTTTTTCTGTAATTCGACAGTATCAAAATTACAGAAAATGTATGGAAAAGTTGAGGTTTTCTAAAAACTGATCCTAGAGTGTTATGCACTCCTGATTCAGCTTATTGTTTCTTTCAATTCATAAGTTACACTTTTCAGAGGAACGTGGCAAATATGAATCCCGGAAGAATTAGCTGGCTTTGAATTCCAATACAAATCTTTGAATTTCCCGCCATCTTGCCCTGATTACCCATGATACAACTATAAGGAACTGTATATGTCGCCTTTTTTTAGCTTGGTAGAGTAAAATACTCGACCAAATCAAAGACAGCTAACTTTGGTTAAGTTATAGAGCGGTTTTCACTTGACTGTCGAATTGGGATTGGTTTTGGTTTTGGTTTTGGTTTTACTACGTCCTTTGGTTGGCTAGTGTATTTACTCTGGTTTTGGTTTTACGACAGTCAAGTGAAAACCGCTCTAAATATGCTCAGTTTGCATTTAAAAAGAAACTCTTTTGAAACTGTTCGTGGGGTTATGGTGGATGTTTAATGGAGAGCAAATAGTCGAAGTAAGACTTTTTCAGGTCCGCGACCTACTGGGCCATGTTTGATAATCCTTCAGTTGCCGTTGTCGTTCGCGATCAAATGTAAACAATTACTTGGTAAAATGTAACTAATTCAAACTAAGTCGTATTCTTTGGCTATTAGTCTCATGAGTCATCGTGATATCTTATCAGGTTTACGGTGACAAGGATGAAGACGGTTTCTATTGGGGTGAATTGAACGATAGAGCAGGCTACATTCCATTCAACATGGTGTCAGAAGTGCAGCTTGAAGACGAGGCGACCGGAAGCAATGTTACCTCACCTTCTAGTTTAAATCTCACTCAAGAAGTGGCCCAGGTCCCTGAACAGAGCCCCAGCCACGAGGCTGAAGCCGCTTCAGAGTCCACTGGAAACTTGCTTGATGAAGTTATTCTTGAAGAAGGCGAGTTTGATGATCCTCGAGAAAGCGAAAATTATCAGCTTCCACCTAGACGAATGGTGGCTCTGTTTGATTATGATCCACGAACTTTGTCACCAAATCCCGACTGCGAGGTGAGGAATTATTAGTGTCTTTTTTAAAACGAGGTCTACCTCGCTGGTTTTGGTTTGAACCAGGTGTTGAATAGTCTGCTACACAGCCGTTTTTAGTGTCGTCACGCAACGTTCCTCCCCACAAAGTTTGTGGGGAGAAACGTTGTGTGACGACACTAAAAACGGCTGTGTAGCAGACTAGGTGTTGAATTGCGACGTACCTTAATACATTCTCAGCAAAGTATTTAGAACTTGAAAGTTTATTCAACCTCCCGAAATTGCGACAAAGTGCTCGGCACTTCCTCATACTACTCTTTAGCCTCCCGCGCAAACGTTCTTAAGGGTTCGTCACGCGTTCCTACCACACGTGGGAGAGGAATGATTGCGTGGCGAACCCGTAAGAACGTTTGCGTGGGAGGCTAACTACTCTTTTGCCTCAAAAGTTTGCCGACGCACTATTGTTTTAATAACAGCTTTAGAAATTGTTACACAACTAGACAGTGCACACAACTACAGTCTATTAAAGATATGATAATTGTTTTTATTTTGTTTTAGGTTGAATTGAAGTTCAAAGTCGGTGATGTCATTTATGTGTACGGTGGAATGGATGAGGACGGGTTCTTTTCGGTAAGTGGAGAAAGCTAAAATATCTGGCACAAAATTATTGTTAGACGTACGCTTCCGGTTAGTAGCGTTTTCGAAATTCCCGCCACTTTATCAGCCAATCAGAAACAAATGCGTTTTCGCGCGTGGCGCCGGCTACAATTATTTGCTTCTGATTGGGTCATTGCATTGTTTGAGCCTGTTGTGATTGGCCAAACCATGGATAATAGAAAGACTTTCTATTATCCATGGCCAAACTTGTTACTATGCTGTAAAGACACCTGTAATCGAAACTGTTTGGTAACCAACACAGTGTTTTGCGTCTATGCTTCTATTTTATCGATTGAATACTAATTATCTGCTTTGTGTTCCCTGTAGGGGGAGTTACGTGGAATTCGTGGTTTGGTTCCGTCGAATTTCCTTGAGGATTTGTCTGATCCACCTGAAACAACGCAAGAAGACTCTAGTCATAACGACAGCTATGTAAGTGGGCCTTCGTTCTTCTGTTCTTCCTTCCTCCCTTCCTCCCTTCCTCCCTTCCTCTATAGACACGCCTACCTTTGTAGTTCTCGTATTACTGTGATTTGATTCGAAAAGACCACCCGCGAAAGCGCGCGAAAAAAACTGCGCGCGCCGCCGTAACTGTTGCCATGTTGTCTTTGCTAAGTCTGTCTATTCCCTGTTTCTGAAACGCTCTCAACTGAGGGTATGAAACGCTGGAGTATATTCACTTAAGATGGAAGGTGACCCATAGATATGCGTCTTCAGTGCTTTTATTCTGCAGTCGTGGCGAACAGGAAACTATGAAAGTGGGAACCTGTGTGTACGAAAGACACTATAGTTTGCTAGTCCGCCTAAGGACTGTGTGTATTTTACCCTATGGCACGTTACTCGAAAGCTTTTACTGTACTTATCTCTCTGTTTCATTATTTACTACAGCTGCTGATTGTTTAGTGGCTTCTGCTGATCTAACTGCTGCGGGAGACTGTGCTTTCCTCTTTCTGGTATTTAACTACCCTTCTTGTCTTTCCTCCTTTGCTCATTCTTGAATAACATTAAGAATATATTGATACTTTTAACCAGCGTAACCAAAGTGGTAAAAAACTTGAAGCGTCTGAGCATTTTACCGTTCTCTGAGATGTGTGCCCAATTTTCCACAGAGCACTGGCCAGGAAAACCTTCTACGAATAATGTTAGTACGACTATGCACGATACTGTTGCACGTTTTAATTTTCAGTGAATAGTTTTTTTACGCGATCGACGGATTCACGGAAGAAATATTAGAGAAAGGGTATTATTGAAAGGATTAATCATCACTATAAATATGCTATAAACCAAGAACTATAAACCTTTATCACTCTAAACTTTTTTAAAATTTTATTTTTACGCCAGTATTTGTTTTGCCTTTGTTGCTGTTTATTTTAATCTTTATTTATATAATTTTTGTCAGAGTTTAACAAACTTTATCACAGTTTCGTTTCGCCATGTTCTCACTCTTATTCTTTTATCTTAATCTCCTTTGTTGTTCTTTTCATTTTGCTCATTTTTTTTTTTTTTTTTTTGCCTTTTGGTGGTTTTTTCCGTTGGTTATCTATTGCCGTGTTCTGTTCTCCACTTACGTGTTAATTCACAGAACTGATGTTAGTGTAGACTACGAGGAGACCCTCATTTTCCACAGCAAATTTAGAGCGCGCATAATACGGGAGCTCACGTGAAAGTCGCGTCCTCCCACCCACCCGCGTGTGATCTTCGTGGATGGTAAACCGCGATCAGGCGTTTTGTTAGATAAGGAGGGTGGTGGGGGGGGGAGAACGCCCCTCCTTACCAGAAACGGTCAGACAAAGGGAGGGCATATGGCCGTGGGTGGCGATTTTCACAGTGGACTACTCCTGATCTATTATCAGCGTGACTTGGGATTTTTAAGCGACCAGGATCCGCTTTTTTCCCCATACATCAAAACTACTTAGTTGAACTTAAAGCTGACGAGAATAAAGAATAACATCATCCAACACCAAATGGCTTTTTCCTTTAATAATTTTGTTTTGCATAATTTTCGTAACAAACTTGTTGAGAAAGTTGTGCATGGTTGCTACAGATTAGGAAGTAATAAGTTTCTTCCTGGTCAGATTATTGGCCACTGTGAAGTTGCGCGAGAGACGGTCAAAATTCGTCCCCAAAACAGTCCTACAGTTCAATTTGACACAACACCGACGAACTCTTAGTAATAGTCTTAGCCTGTTCTAGGTTTTCAGGTAGTGGAGAGTGGCACGAAATAGGGAGCGGAGGGAAAGAGGCGGAAGGGAGGAAAAGGGAGAGAGAGGAGGGAGGCTATCTTACTACTACCATCACTACTACCACCACCCCTACCAACACCACCACCCCCACCTCCACCCCCTCGCTGTTTTTTCGCGCTCACTTTTCTTAGCGTCGTCCCCACCATCTGAATGCCTGTAACAGGCTGTAATAGTGTTTAATAGTGCTTTGCTGTAACTTACTGTAAGCTAACTTTGTATTCCAGGAATCTCCATTGGTTTCTGCAGACAAGTACAATAACGTGAATGGTACCCATCAAGTGGCGGCCGAGGATACTCCCAAGAAAAAGAAAGGAATCTTATCTAAAGGAAAACAGATGTTCAAGAAAATCGCCAAGGGGCATAACTCGCCCAGAGGACACAGTTCCAAGAGATAGCGTAGCTGATAAATTATATTATACGCCCGAACTGTAACTTATTTTGGCATCTTTTGTGTTATATTTTGTGTTTTCAGGGTTTTCCTCCTTTATCTAGATAGGTCGTGATTATTTGACTACGTTTCGGAATATAAATATATATGCTATTATAGTCTCCGTATCGGATTTTGGATTTAACTTATAACTTAACTTGGGTTACTATTTGAAACCATGGATAGTGTGAATATCAAAGCTTATCCCGTTTTGTATATACTTTGAGTGCGCTCCATTTCATAAGTTTAAATGTAATTGTAGGCTTTTCGGGAGTGGAATTAGTAGGGACAAAACCTGAGGATGATGTAGCTCTAGTCCACAAGAAGTGTAGTACAAAAGATGCCAAAAAAGAAGTAGAACGTGTGTAAACACTAATCATATTTTCATGAAGCGGTGATAGTAATGCGCGTTTCTTAAATTATGCGCAATATTTTGTAAAGTCGAATTGATCTGAGTGAACTTAGTTTAGTTTTATAGCTTTAAGAGAATTATAATATAAATTTTACAATATATCGCCTCTAAGCCAGGTGAAGTATTTTATCTAAAGTAAAAAGTTGTCTACATGTAAATATGGGTTATAACACCCCTTAAATTATCAATCCAGATTCTGTACGGACCGCTGGCTCGTGCCGGATGTACGAGATATTTACTTGTCTGCTAGTCAGATAAAAGTATGATGGTAAACGTATGGAAGGCTTTTTATAGTATTTCCTGAATTAAAATGTCCAGGTTTAAATGGTAAGGTCCAGTATATTCTTAACGTTCGTTCGCGTTCTTACTCACACACCCGTTTGCCTTGTCTGGTTCACATCTTTTACCTTTGTAAGTACGAGTTGTGTGTTCCTATTTAATAGTACTTGTTTCAATAGCTACTGTAGGTTTGAGATGTAGATATTATATATATAACCATATAGTAACCGCAGGATTGTTAAACTATTAATATATTGTTTAGAGTTTTACCAATTTACTCACAGACGTTCGCTATTAAAACTATTTTACGGAGAGAATATATCTTGTTGCGAGATTTACCAATTGTACCCTGTTTCCGCGCTTGAAATGAAAACAAATCCTTGGACTAAGAAAGAGTCGTTTTAGGACAGATAAAAGGGGAAAGCATTGCATTGTATCAGGGGAGGCCTGAATGAAAATCGGGGAGCGAGGTGGCTCGGCTGGAATGAGTCTGAGAAAAGTAAGAACTAAAGAAAACCCAAAGTATTCCAGTCATAAAACCATTATAATACTTAGTTACAGATCAAAGGGGATAGATACTTCTTGGGTGAATTTCATAGAAGGAAAGCTTAATTGTCTTTAAGGCGTAACTCTGTGTTATCGATTGGAGCAGGGGACAAATAAAGTTTGAACTCATGACGTGTGATCGGCCCCAGCTAATGTTCCTCAACATAAATTAATCAGACGTTTAAATTAGCTTGAATAGGCTCTATAATCAGCAGTTCATTAGAAATTTCTAGTCTATAGCCAATGTCCAAGCGGCGCTTTTCTTCGGTTCTAACAATCACCGCTTGGAGTACTGGAGCGGATGACTGGCGTGATGTAACCAAAATTTGCGATTGAGACTCCCCAATCACAAAATTAATACTATTTCCATGGTAATCTACTCCAATGAACTTCATTTGTGTCGCTCCTGGTGGGAGCATGGGATTGAAGTGCAGTTGGTGGTTACCATGGAGACGTAATCCACCGTATCCGAACAACAGTGACTGGAGAAATCCCCCAGCGCCAGTGATGAAGTTGACTGCTCCGCCACCGTCTGCTCCCTCAGTCCAAACCATGAACGGCGCCTTTGCGTTCACATAGCTTTCACTGAAGGAAATCTCAGCGCGAGCGTAGTCTCCTACATCTAACCAGCCAATTGCAAACATTGACTTCGTCATGGCGGGTCCTTTCGGATTTGTCCTGGGTTCATAGAAACTCAGATCACTGCGCCGAACGTCTAAGCTCATGTTTACCATCAAAGGAAATCCAAGCAAAATCACATCCGCTTGCTTCACTTCGTTACCTCGATACCCATCGTATTCAGGATGGTAATTATTCGTAGCATCAAACGGGACATACATATGTTCGGCAATGGTTTTCCAACTGTCGGAAGCGTTCGGCAGAACTTCGTACGCGAATTCAAGATTCATCTTCGCGATCATGTTCGTGTAAGCCGAATTGTTCACTACTTCAGCATCTTCGTCCGGTGGCATAACGTTATAGATTACATACCCGTTTTTAGAATCATTGTACACTGCACGGTTGGCCCAGAACTCCGCGGTGGCTTGAATGATTGGGAAAGCTTGACTCTCAAGCCATTGTTGATCTCCGGATGCTGACCAGAGTTGTTTGACGGCAATTGCAATATCACCGACAATATGTTGCTCATAGTCGGAGTAGATTTCACCAGGGCACACTTCTGAGCCAGTCAGGGCGCTTTCCCAGGGAAACATGGCGCCTTTGAGCAACAGTGAGAAAATTAGTATTTTTGCGTTGGGGGTCAGGAACGAACCCGTTCTGAGGGAAATAATTTTATGTGCAAACAAGGCGAAGCAGTACCTAGTTAGAGTTGATCAATTTGCGCTTACCCTTGAAACCGTATTTTTTTGCCTTGTCTTTGGCAGCCTGGAGTCTTTCAAACCTGTAAGCAAGACAGGTTCGCGCCAAATTCTGGTGCAGCAGGACTAATGGCGGAAACATCCAGGTCTCCTGATCCCAGAACACGTGACCATCATAACCATCTGTAGCCAGGCCTCCTGGACTCAGCCCGAACACCCAAGAGGGGCGAAGAGAGCTGATGATAAAGAAAGGAAACGTACTTTAAAAAAGACAGATCAGTTCAAGCTTTCCCTGCTTAAGTTCCGTGTCTTCATAAAGCAATGTACATCAGAGCACAAAAATAAATAAATAAATAAATTACTGTATAAATATCAAATAAGCTACGTAGTCATCAGAATGGAACAGCACTTCACGAATGTTTCTTTTCCATTTCCTTCAGAAGTTATTCAGTAATAAGTTCCTTCAAAAGATTTAGCAAGCCTTTCGGAAGCCTTGTTCACCTCCACGAGTTCTCAGTCCTAGGACTGCAAAAATTCCGACCTTGGAGATAAGTGGTTCAACTTTTCTTACCGGTTATTTTCTCGTTTGTGAACGAAACCTATTCTGTGTCTTTAACGTTTCAACTGCCCTCACTAATATTAATCCGGAAGCGTTTAAGGTCAATATCTACTTTGTCCCTTTACACTTAACAATTCCTATTGCTGGCCCTTTTCCAGAACTTCACGAAGTTTTCTGAGGCACGTATGGCTAGTTTATGCAACGTCTGGGTCAATGACTTATCAAGATGTTCTTTACATGACGTCAGTTCATACTACTGAAAGAAAATTGATTTTGGAGAGTCGATACATTTTTTCAAGACAAAGACTTAGAAGACTTTTGTGTCTTTTTTATGGTGGCAGCTACCAGATACATTGAAAACAGCTCTTTTGCATTTACCCATGGAACAAAGAGAAGTTGGTACCCTCTTCATAAGGCAATTTTTGAAGAGTATATTCTATAGTGACCCACCCTTAACATTGGTTGAGTAGCCATTTTGTTGGCAGTTCCGACAAATCGACAAAGCCGCTTATACTGCGAAAGGTACCTGTACGCCCGAATGCACGTTCTTACATGAAAAATGGCAGAAAAAAAAAAACGCACACACACACACAAAACAAAGCAGTACGAGAACAAAAGATGCTGAAAATAGTGGAATCGCCAATGAGACATCGCTCTAATTTAGCAAGATTAATTTTTAAAAGCATAATGCGCCGCTCTCCTCGATTTTCCACATGCGAGAGCAGTCACCGCGTGCTGCCTGAAGGCTTCGAGCAATGATTATGTGGCCTAACTGACAAAAAAAGCAAATCTCATCACGTCTAAACGGCATCAAAATGATTTGCAAGACGTGGAGTAGGGGATTGGGGGGGGGGGGGGGGGGCTAATGTAGAAAACTGGGGGCAGTATCTCTGAAAAAGTCGGGGCTATGCCGTTTTTAATCAGGGGACTTTGGTTTTTTTTAAAAAAAATTATATGAGATTTATGAATCCTCTGCTGCAAAATTCACATAATTAACAAATTAAGAAAGAACACACTCTATCACGTTAATTAAGTTTTCTACATTAACCACAATCCCGCCCCCCCCTCCCCCGATGTCACACAGTCAAGGATCAAATCCTCAGGGGCACCCAACGACTGTCTTCTTTCTTGTTCGTTGGTAACACTCTATACGCTGTCCAGAGTTTTCTTTTCTGCACCCTAGAAATGCCTTCTCAGCGGCACTACAAAATGGGTAGCGCCTCATTCTTTATAGAATTCCATACTAAGGACAAAAGTTGCGTGAGGGGGGGTTGGGGGGGGGGGGGAAGGGGCTAATGTAGAAAACTGTGAGCAGTATCTCTGAAAAAGTCCGAGCTATGCCCTGTTTGATCACGTGACCTTGGGTTTTTTTAACAAAAAATGTATGAGATTCATAGATACTCTGCAGGCAAATTTACTATAATTACAAATGCAAGAATAACACACTTTTTCGGTTACATTTTTCGCTAATACCCTATGCATGTATGAATGTCAAATCAGGACATCAGACCATTTAGCAATTCTCGTCTTTGAACCGCGATCTTGAATCTATGGCGTTGGGAATCTTGGGAGCTGTTCAGTAGTTTTCGGCCGACTTAATTTGTCGTAGGCGACATATTTGCATCCATTCCTAGTAACTCAAAGATACAACACCCACAATCCACAGCGACAGAAAAGAAGCGACGTGCTCAAAACCTTGTAAAATGGATGTTTTTTTTTTCTACAAACTTGGAGCTGCCTAAGGTCTCCATGTCTGACCTGGAAATTAATCCTATTTGATTATGCATTCTATCGAGGTTTCCATTTGGCATTTTTAAGCCTTCTAATTATCATTGGCTTTCCGCGCCAGAAGTCTGTAACTTCAACTGTAGTAATTTCAGGCTGTGCTGACGAAATGCTAAGGTGTGAACATTCAAATGAAACTTCTTTGGCATTACTTTCCCTTAGTACTATTTAATGCCAAATTTAATTCTCTTTTAAAAAATTCTTCAGCTTTACAGAAGGAAATTTGGGATTAGCCCCGAAAACCTAGAAGTGATAGGGTCAAATTCCTCCTGTAAAACTATTAATGGTGGCAAGAATAATCCCTTTCACTGGCTAGCTAGTCGATCGAGACAAAACTTTCGGCATATTTAAACTGAATAATATCCTAACCCAAGCTGATCTAAACTCCCCGGCTGAATAATATTACCTCAAGTTCTCCTTGCTGATGTTAAAATAAACCTATCAAGGTCTTTGGGATCTTGGATCTTAATCTGGTGATTGAAGGAGTTTATTGCCGACTGGTGTGTCATCAGATTTTTTGAGGTGTAACCGGGGTCATGCATATTAAGAATAATTTAACTTACCGTTATGCGACAATAACCTTGTAATTAAATAATTGTACATAAGGAAATAATGACACCTACATCTGACAGACATTTGTTTCTGTAGCAATCCTTTCGTGATCCATTTCCGTCTGGTTAGGATTTTTTCACAGGGTCATATCACAATATTAACGGTTATTAAGAGGGTCGGCGCACGTTATTACGCAAGTATACTTGAGGCTTAAAATATGGATCATTCTGTTCAGTGTCCTTATCTCCCTGAAAACACTTTCTTCACGTACATAAAACCACTTTACGAACATAGTTACACGCTTGTAGGCGGATCGTTAATAAAATCCAAAACTTTCGTTAGGTTTTTGGCAATCCTTACCTGAGTATGTAATAGAGACTGCCGGAGATTGCCTGAGCTAAAGTGAGATTTCCTTCCAGCTCAATCCGTCCTCTATCCCATAATTCTTTCCACTTACTTACGTGACTTCCAAAGAGTTCTTCTGGTTTCTCGATAGCTGCTGTGTACGCTTCATGAGCAATGTTTTCAAAATCATTACCATCTAAAGTGGTCGCTATTGCCGTGATGTAGTACAAAGTTTGAGTCTCAGAGTAGGGCTGGATCACAACATGAGGAGGTATGTTCCCCCAGACGACGGCCACGCCTTCCCTTTTACTGTCAGGTTCTTCTGTTATTTTGATATAGCCTGACATGGCATTGATCTTGGGGTCATTTGGGGAGCTTCTTGGTAAATCTTGTATTTGAAATCCAATGTCAGCACTCGGCGGTCCGAAAACGTTAGTCAGAAACAAGTTTACAGGGTCACGCATGTTGTTCTTGACTTCGATCTCCGTGACAAGCAAGTGCCGGTGAACACGATGAGCGTAAATTTTCTCCTCTAACGTGAAATTGTCGACGATTAGGCGGTGATAAAACACTCCTTGTTCAACGTTTAGGCTAAAAGTTTCCTTGGTTGCATTGGAGCTTAGATTGCTTCGTAGAACAATAGCTGAGGTTGAAGGAATTCTCGCTCGGTGGCTTGGAGTTTGCGTGCCTCGTCCGTTGTAAACACCAGACACATACACAGTGTCGCTGTAGACAGTTGTAGCTAAGTACCCGTTACCGACGCTTGGATTCAATCGAGGGTCCCACGGAAGAGCTGAAGATTCAAAGTTGGTAGTATTTGGAGCTGCACTTGCAGAATGACGCATATAAACCAGAGAAAAAAGTATAGTCACAAACCGGGTTTCCATCTGTCCTCTCGATGGTTTCGCTGTGTGCCTTTTCTTCCACGTGCAGGTCTGTATATTGTTATTGTTTGATGATTAGATTAGATCACTTGAGTTATAGATACGCAATCAGCAATGAGCAAAGTTAACGGCGCTATCTAGCTATTTTCTTGAGTACCGAATGGACACTCGACGCCATATCAGTGAGTCTTACGACTTTCAGTAATATGATACCATCTCAATATTTCAACACTTTCCCGGGACTTCACATGTGCCAATGTAACTCAGAGGGAGATAAGACTACTAGCGTTTGCATTCGTCGATGAAATCACTACGGAGGACATTTAAAACGAGAAGCAGGCTTAGGAAAAGCGTGAAAGCAACTAATAAAGTTCTTGCGCAAGGATGGGCCTCTCAATGGGTTATAAAGAGCTACACCTCCCACTTTTTGGGGTGATCACACAGTAAAGGCCTTTCACAACTAGAGGCTCATCAATTTGGCTTGAGTTTAGTGCAGTCGACTACTTCAAAAGAGTGAGGTCTCGTCACTATGACTTAAGGATACCAGTGCTTATGGCTGACACTGCAGTGTCTGTTTAGTTACTACATATCTACAAGTGACGCGATAGCGATCACTATCAATTTTCTCCTAACAAATATCCATACATTGTAAATAGCAAAGGCTATGAGAATACATCAGTAAAATGACCACTAAAGAGAAAAAACTTCAATGAACTTCTTTCAACAAATTCCTTAAGGAAATATATGGAGATCAGTGTGAAGAATTTGTATGTGGATCAGTGGTGAATGGTTTGTGTGGCTATAAACGGAAGTGTTTTTAGTGAATATCCACCTCCAGTTGGAATTAATACATATTTGTTTTCATCATGAGGGATAAGAGCTTTATTTAAAACCGATAAAAACGAAAATGGATTTCAAAAAATAAAAGCAATTTTAATAGCCATCTATTGTGCTAATTTCATTAACATCAACTTTTCGACTTGTTCCTGGTAGCTGGAAGGTCATATTTTGTTATTTTAAATAAAGAGAACCTCTTAAAAGCGGCGAGTTTGTCGGTTTCGCACGCGCTTCAATATTGAAGCACTTGTAATATAGGAAGGTGTACAAGATGGACTCTCTTCTCTGTCATTACAACTGACTGGCAGTGATAAGAGGGTCTGTGGTGTTGTATATTGCTACCATGTCCACCGGCATCCTTACAAAGAACTTTATGAACGACATGTCACTTACTGTACTTAACAAGAACTGACTCAGCTGAGTTCAAGAGCGAACATCTTTCCTTATCGGATTTATATACATCCGAATCTCATTCAAGGATTACAATTTCACGGCACGTTTACAAAAGTAACTACACGTGTAGTAAGGGACACCAATTGGACTCTAACCTTACCTTGGAAACATTCTCGATCCCAGTGCAGTCATGCGCAGAAGAGCTCTGGGGTCGAAAAGTATGCTTTCTGCGCCTGCGCTGTCACCTTTTGCTTATTGCAAGTGTAAATATCCTTATGCATACGCTTGCGTCGTATGGGTTTAAGAGTCTGGATCTTTGATTAGAATCTAATTTTGACGAGCCTAACCATTAACTAAGATGATAGAGCGTTATCATCGTTAGCATTTGAACTTGCCTTTATCTAGTCTCCATCGCGCGGCAAAAATCCGAGCAGTGCGTTGCGAGGAACGCCCCTCCTCGCAACGCACTGCTCGGATTTTTGCCGACGCTACCTCTGATCGGAAATCGGCGATCCGTTTCTTCCGTCTTTACATTGATCTAGGAAAATCTTAGTCGTAAAAGTTCACTTTTTTTCTATGAAGGTGAACTTGAGCCGTAAGTAACGTGTGATTCAGGCTATTTAACATCGGTTTACCCGTAAAACGGATTATCTCTTCTCTCTCTTTTTTTAACTCAGTTAACAGCTGGTTTCCTGTAAAAAACTGCTTATCTACCTTGACTCAATGAAAATTATAATCTAGTTATCGCTAAGCCTGGATTACACCTTTTGCTCGACTCAACACAATTCGGAGAAAACAATAACCATTAGCGTAAGAGGAGAATCTAATTCGAGGAGTCTCATCCATTAAGAAAAGGCGTGTTCAAATATGACTCAATGTTTTATTTTCGAACAACCTTCCCACGTAAAGTAGGGATAGGCCCTGACTCGTCCTCAGCCGTCTCTCATAGTTTGTAAATGATCACAGAACGGTTGCGTAAGACTATGAAGGGGAAAATGGGAAGGAGAGTGGGAAAAAAAAGAAGATTTCATTTTCGCCCTAAATCCTCTGTTAGTTTATCCGCCATATTGGAATTGAGATCTTCCAATAGCTCCCCTAGTCTCCCCATTTCCCTCCTTCACACCTCCCCTCGGGTGTATCTTCATACGCTTCCATCTTAAATATTTGATTGAGAGACAGAAGAGAGGACTGGGGACAAGTCAATGGAGAGGTTTCTTTTCAAAGACCTTTAGCTCTCGAGATCTAGAGACCTCATTATATTCCCCCACCCTATAGCTATAGTAGGCTATAGTAGATCAGACTGGGAATGCCAACATTACCAAGGTACGATGCTCTCTCCTCCCAAGAGGCGCCCGTTGGGTATTCCCCAGGGCCCCTTGGTATTCCAGCAAAAACAGAAATAATTGAAAAATAATAAGCGCGCAGTGGGCGATGGTCCCCCGCGCGCCTTCTTTCACCTCTTCCCAGTCTCCCGGTGATACAAAGAGGCAGCTGTGAGGGAAAGAGATAACTTGGCGTAAAGTTTTGATTTTCAATCTTCACGGTTTTTACAGTTTACCGATACAATGAAATTTTACCCAGTCAGGAATTCACTCGGTTTAACACTTTTGCACGATATTCACCAGAAAGAATAGAGCGTTTTCTCATGACGTCACGGCGGCCATATTGGTGTTCCAAACAAATCCTGTGGGAGTTGGACTCTTTTCTTATTTAAAATCTTTTTTTGTTCTCATAAATTTACATAGATGCTGGCCACGTGAGTGAAAACGCTTCATAAAACGTTTCATTCATTTACATTATACAGTTCATGGTTCAACGCGAATTGTTAACAAAGCAAAACAGCCATTTTCAAATGGAGCACGTGGCATAAGAATCGTGTCACTCGCAGGTGTGGCTAAAAAAGCCTATATAAGTCGTCAGAATTAGGGACAACATGTCTAGCTGTCTGTCATGGCCAAAACCTTGGGAGCCAGTCTGAACATATAATTTAACAGAGTGCAGTAAAATATTTTGAAAAGGCATCATCTATTGGGTGCGTCCACCAAAGATTTCATCCACTAGAAGCCTGAAATGTATTCTTGAACTGCGGAAAAGTGCTGCGTGTCGTATTCTTAAAAGAATGTTGATTTGTAGTTTTTCGCCTTGGATGCGCACTTTGTATTCTAGTTATTTGCACTTCAGTCGGAAATATTAGCTTATTCATGATTACCGCAATTTCCGGGCAAAATTTTAAGACTTTCGAATATTTAAGTCCTTGAAATAACAAATCATTACTTGAGTCCTTTTAGTTCTGAAAACGACTCTTAGGTTTTGTTCGCCTGATCGGACTCAAAGTTATGATGTTCATTTTTTAAAAAGATTTGACACATTTTCGAGAAAAAACTCCAAACCATTGACGTTGAAGAAAAAAATTAGAATGTTGTGACGAACATCCCTTTTGAAAAATAAATAAAATATCAAAATAAATTCCTTGAATTCTAAGAATTTTGAATACCGGATGTCCATTTGAATGTATTGCTTAGTTTATTTACATTTTAACCATGACAGATCTTAGACTGGTGTCTTGAAAGGCTGTCCGACACAATTGTCTTGGGTAGCCATTGGTAAAGCCAGCAGCTAGGATCACTACTCTTTATTTCTGACCTCTGAAATCCTTCATCTTTATATTGTTTCCTGTTTAAACAGTTTCTGCCATAACTGCGGTTGTAATAATTCTAGGATTAGCAGCGATTGGCCGGTTATGTTGGACTTTCAAGCAATGTCAACAATAGAACGCGACGCTCATGTACCTATTTTCGGTTAATTTACTTCAGGGTGAGTGACGCAGACATGCGAAATTTTGTCTCTAACCCCAGTTTGGTTATTTATTTTACCGCATAGAAAAACAAACAAGCTTTCAAATGTTCCTTCGACGCGGGTATTTGGGACAAAACAAAGAAATGTTTAAATCAAAAACGCAAAATGGCCTTCTTTTGCCCTTCCCAGTTGGCACTTAAAAAGAAAGGTAACCCTCATGAACTTTTTTAAAGTTCCATCAGGCCATTTCTTTTCCATATACTTTGCATAAAAGAAATCATTAGCATTTTTATTTCTCGAAGTCCACATTGCGCGGTTATTGTAGCTTAATTAATCGCGCTGTTTCATTTTATCGAAGTTATTTCACGCTTATTTTCTTTGCTTAGTGTTGCAGAACAAGAAACCTTATCCCCCGGACGTTTATCGCCCTTCGACTAGTTTACAACAACATGAAACACTGCCGCTCGAAATTACAAAATCTGCTCTGAAAAACGGCTCAGTTATAAAACACAAGCAAGGGAAGCGGAGTGTCAGAATAAACGAGTTTGGATTCAAGCATGAAACACTAACTGAGCGTAAAATTCGAGGGGCAAATATCGAAATTACAAAATCTGCTCTGAAAAACGGCTCAGTTATAAAACACAAGCAAGGGAAGCGGAGTGTCAGAATAAACGAGTTTGGATTCAAGCATGAAACACTAACTGAGCGTAAAATTCGAGGGGCAAATTTAGCAAAACCTGCAAACATCAGAGTGAAGATATTGCAAAGTTACGATCCGGTTGACAAGGAAGAACTGAAAGTCCGCAAGGGAAATTACGTTAAAGTTCTTTACCAGCAAAATGATTGGATCTATGTCGTGGATTCTTCAGGAAAAGAAGGATTTATACCGTATTGTTATTGCTCCACAACCAATACATCTACAGACTCCAAATCAAGCACTTCGGGTTATGAAGACAGCTTCGAAGATAGCGAAGATG